CCTACTCGCCCTAACCCGGATCGAGCCAGAGAAGTATTAGCACTCCAGACCCCGTGTAACACTCTAGTATTAGAATAAGGTCCTTTATCTTCTAGGCGGCGTAGTAGGGAGGGTAGGTGTCTATTATAATAGCCTTAGCAGTAGTACTTATAACACCACAATTATAGATATAGCCCTATTAAGGTATATATTTATATAAGCTATTTCGTTTAATATACTAATAGCTACTTCCCTATTATAGAATAATACTATTCTATACTATACTTAGTACTACTATAGGCGTAGGCGACCCTCTATATAAGAGAAGGCCTAAGGCTAGTAGTATCTTACCCTAGATAAAGAGAAAGCCCTTACTAAGTATCTTTTGCTAATATCTAAACTTAGATAGCCTATCTGAATTAAGTATATACCCTTACTAGCCTTTAGCCTTATACGCCAACAGACGACGACTAGTAAGCCTATTAGGCTCCTAGGTAAGAACTAGACCCACGAAGGCTATTGGAGCATTCGATTTGAGATATCCAGGAAACCAGCATGGAGTAGCCACTCCGGGAAACGTCCGAATGGGCGGATGCGCACCGGGTATGCATGGCTCTTCTGGATTAATCCTTCAAAGTAATTACGCCAACTTCGTCTGGCGAATTAGAAAAGAGGAAGGCAGAATTCAACAGTAACCGCGATAAAGGAGGTGGGTATCGATTGAGGATATGAGGGATACAGTACAAGAGACCTTTCATAACTCATTCGGGCTATGTTGGCATGGGCCCGATGTGCATGCGCCCTGGAGATATCACCGTTGTATTTATGATGGCGAGACTGCTTTGCGTCATTCGTGGCTGTGGCGGCGGGAGTTTTCAGTTCATTGGGGAGTGCTAGTGCGATGGGATTATGGATGGCGAGATTGTTCGATAAAGACCAAAACAAAGTTTCCATCTTGTATAAGTCTGTGATTCAAAGCATATAATGGCGTGGCTGCAGCAGGTATGTGTTAAGCTTATCAACTTTCAACTGTATGGTGCTGTAGAACGTTCTTCGCTTGAAGTAAAATTAGTTACTCTCTTCTAAACTCATATGAAAGAGAGTCGTATCCCTACCCTGACTCATTTGCCGCCCTCTTTTTCCAAAACAGAAAATAGTTCAATCTCTATGCTAAGATCTTGGGTAGTAGTCTCTTGCAAGCTCCCCAGATATAAGCAGAATCCTGTCCTGCCCAAATAGCACCCACATAGTACGTGCTAGACGTGCCTTGCAGATCATTCAGCTTAGTGTAGAAACCAGATTTTATATCCTCGTTAGAAACAAAGTTCATGTATTGATCGTGATTGAACCATTCGACAATTTCGTTCTTGCTCGCTGGCAGTACTCCATTCGCGATCAACTTTTGAACCTGCGACTTGAACAGGGTCTGCGCATACTGAACAGAAGCTTCGCCTATAAAGCAGACGTAGGAGAAGTACGATGAGTCACTGAAGCCAGTAGGAGAGGTATTAATTGCTCCAGGAAGCCTGGCGATGCCAAGTGAAGAGCTGGGTCCGACGCCGGTAATGGAGGCGTTGTTCCATTCTGGATTGCGGGTAATGGCAATGTGAGTGTTCTTGCTCTGAAATTTGCTAAAGAGCTGGAACTCATTCGAGGATAGATCCCATCCAGCAAAATTCTGGATCAACGGAGGCGCGGCCATGGCGATCTTGTCTGCCTCATAACAGATTCTCCCGCTAGGCGTCTTGACGATGACAGTGACGCTGCTCTCGCTCCTTTTTAAACTTTGAACTGTCGAGCTGAGCAATACCCTATCTCCTAGGATCTTCGCCGCGTTAATGTAGATGTCGTCGACATTTTTGGGGGCAAAGCTACCGCCAGGTTCAAGAAAAGCATTGATCGACTGGAGACCATAATTTTTGATGACATAAAGCGTTGATTATTTCTCGAAGTCGACTGGCGCAATGACAAGAGATAGGTACGGAAGAATAGCGTCAAGTCCGTACTTGCCAGAAAATTGCGAAAATGGCAATAATAGCTCGTCCGGGACTGGGTCCGGCAGAAAAAATCCTTCTTCCAGGTACGAATATTTCTCCTCAATGATAGAACGGAATGTCTTCCAGCTGGCTTCAGCACCGGATGGCGCTGTGTAATTCTTGACTTCCAGGCCCGTCATGTAATCCACGTTCAGATTTGTCGGGGCATTGTACGAGACATACGGACCGGCGGTGACATTCACTCTTGTCAAATAGTCGTTGACAACTGAGATATTGGGCAAAGACTGAACTCCCACATTCCGAGGCGTTTTGAAGATTGGATCGTAATATGTGTTGGCGTGGCTTCCGATTGCGCTTGACTTTTCAACAATTACTACATCTTTTCCCGCGTCCACCAGTGAGATTCCAGTATAAATGCCACTGGAACCACCGCCAACTACAATGACATCCTTTTTGATCGTCCGAAGCCCTACAACCCCTTTTAGGAACAGAATGATAGAGAAAAGATTCTTCATTGAGGCGGAAAGACAATCATAAAAAGAATTCAGTACTTGAATTGTGAGATGCGAAACTGAGTACAGCTGATACACATCTTATTTATACAACAATTCTGTTTGTGCGAAACCTGTCCAGGGCCTGTTTGTACTATGGAGATTTACAGCAGAAACGGACCAAGCTCGCATGAATGCTGAAGCTCAGATGCGCTTGCGTGTTCAAATCAGCTCTCGTCATCGATATCACTTGTCAATCTACAATGGTTTGTATCGAGACTAACCCCAAACACCTGATATGAACGGTAGTCGGCCCTAATCTTGAAAGTAACGGTATTGGATACTTCTATCATTCAAAACTCCTGGCTAGGACATTTACACCACGCTCGGGCCGTTTACACTACGTTTGCCCAATGCCATTGCAGAAGTGGGAGATAATTCTCTGAGAAAGGAAATTTATCCTCAGGCTCAACTGGACATGACGTAGGACCAGATTGCAAGAAGACAAAGTCATTCAATCTCAACATAGATACTTTTTGGAAAATCTTTGTGTAGAATGATGTTTACATGATTGCTCGTCTTTTTGGAATAAACCTTAGGTTTTCAAGAGAGACTTCACCTCGATTATTCTGATTATGCTCAAGATGTTCTTAGTTCTCCATTTGAGAATATATTCTCCAAAACTATGCGCATAGCACCCCAGATACAAACGCTGTACTACCTTATCTCTTCATTGATCGCATCTTTAGAGTTCCGCCAACATTTCTTCGCGATCATGACTGCTTTGCTTGCATCCCTTTCTCCCAAATTCTATTAAAAGTTCTGGTCGAAGTGTCATAGAATTATTGAGGTCCCCTAATTCAGTACTCTATACTTCTCTTTTTACTGTATATTACGGTAAGCTATGCTCGATGACATGTACCAAACCGAGAGGCTTTCCTCGTCCATAAATTTCCATTTGCAGACTGGTCCGAAGTATATGCTCAGATTTAAGTAAAGATATATACAGGTTCCGAGAGCTCCGGTACCTATACAGGTTCCGAAAGTTCCGGGTACTATACAGGTTCCGAGAGTTCCGGGCAGTATGCAGATTCCGAGAACTCTGGGTAATACCCTGTACCTAATTCTTTACTTATCGAAGAAAAGTTATACCGAAGTATCTGAGCGTGTTGTCTGAGCGCGCTGTCTGAGCGCGCTGTCTGAGCGCTGCTCGGTCTGAACGTAGTTCAGATGGTACGCGCGCAGCTTGAACCGAGATTCCATCGAGGAGCTATCCGAAGGGCGTCTAGCCTGTTACACTTTAGAGATGTAGAAAACGTTACTTTAATACACAAACTCTATATTTGTTCTTAACTACTATTCGCGGTGAGCCAAAAGCTGTCTATTTAATCGTAAGCACGTCCGAACACCTTGCCTGATAGAGTAGATGGGGTAGCGCACCCTTGTCTCCAAGTTGGCGGAAACGATGTTGCAACTATGGCCAGGGGTGAAGCTGTAATTGATAGCGACTGTAACAGGTACGAACCTGCAAGGAGAAGGTGAAGATGCCGACGCTCCAGTGCGAGCTGACAACATGCCTGGGCTGCGTGAGCCAGAGACAGGACTATTATGGAAGGCACCTGTTGCAAAAATGTACTAATGCATTAGTACGCAATTTGGGTCTAATTAGCTATAATGATGTATTTGCTCCCAACTGCCAACTACATTCTAGGAGGAGTTATGTGTTATTAGGTCTAGCCCGTAAAAACTTATATTTTCTTATTTTTTACTGTAAGCAGTGGTTTATATGAAAAGCATATTGTTGTCTTGTACATGATACTGAGAGTAAGTTTAAATACAGCGTTACTAGTCAGTGGGCAACCACGTGACCATACATGGTATTTCTGGGCTTACATTTACAAAATGTAACTACATAGTTACTAATTATAATATGTTTACCTCACAATTAGGATTCCGCCTATAAGATAACAAAGAGCAATCTCGCATCCGCTATAAAGCGCTTCTTCAAGCTATATCGGCTGGCGATAGCGATCTTATTAGAAAAGTACTAGAAATTCTAGACTTTGATGTTAGAGCGTTGCACACAGCATGTAGTGAAGAAACGGAAAGTACGGTTAAAGTAGTCTTTGACAGAGGAGCTGATATCGAGGCCAGAGACAATCAAGGCTATACAGCACTCCACAATGCAGCAGCTAAAGGCAAACAAGACACAATCAAAGCGCTAATTGATCATGGCGCAAAGATTGAAACGAAGAACAAAACTAGCTGTACTCCGCTTCACGAAGCATGCAATAACAACTATATCTTCGCAGCGAAGGAGCTTATACAAGCGAAAGCGGACGTAAATGCTAAGAATAATAAGGGAAGTACACCACTCCATGTTGCAGCTACTAAAAACTTCTCTAACATAGCAGACGAGCTACTTGTACAAAATATAGACACTAGCCGAAGGAATAGAAACCGCGAAACTACACTTAAGGTAGCAAAGAAGAAGAAGGCTTGGGATGTAGAAGAACTTCTTCTACCTCCTGTTACCTAACTAACTAATTACTTAACTAGTCAGCAATGACTAGTGTAGCCATAGGTTGGCAATAGTCTTACGGCGATATCTTGTAATTATGCTATTGGGCTAGTCAATGAGGCGTTATTGTAGTACAAGAGATATTGTTACTATAAAGCTAATGCTAACTACCATGTGATCTTCAATTTACTAACAGGATTCCGCAGCTCACACAGCCATAGGGCTTTAAAGCCATAAGCTTAGCGGGGAGAAAATTACGCTATAGACGGTTCTATATTAGCTATATACGGAAGCTGCTTACTGTAGAAGTACTAATAGAGGTAGTAATCACGCATAAAAATAGGCGCTACACTATACTAAGGACTAGAATTAGCTTCTTAGTATAGCTAAAGGTTACCTTAGTATATAAAGCTATATTTATTAGTATAGGGTTGTATTAGAGCTTAATAGAGACTATCTATAGCGGTGCTATTACTTATCTCTAGAAAAGACGTCTTTTGTGTATTAATGTAGATGCAATAATAATAGTGTAATTTTTATAAGGAGAGGTACCTATACGTATAGAAGAAGGTAGAAAACATAAGTATCTTTAAAATTAGTATAAAAACAACGCGTGGATAAAAATATTGCTTTCTAAGGATAAAGTACCCCTCTTTTCTTGCGGCACGGGGGGATTTGCGTGACACAGGGAGGGACATTATATACATATGTAAACTGAAGCCAAAAAAAATCAAGCCCAGAGTGCCCGCCACTCTTCTTCTCCCAAAGCAGAAGCTACAAATAGCACGTCTTCCTCGTGCTCCGTTCGTAATGCCCATTTCCCTTCACCCCATAGCTGCCTCCGAAGCCATCTTAGCCCCTCGCTTTCCTGGTCGTTTCGGCAGTCTTGCCATGTCTTTGCTAGGAATTCGTCGAGATCTTCGTCGTCGAGAAGATTGGTGGTGCTTTGAGGCTCTTGTACGGTTCCCCTTCTTTTACCTTCCAATGGTGTGATGCCTAACGCAACGTATTCTCGGAATTCTGCTCGCCGAATCATGTTTCGGACTATTGGCATGGAGAGGGGGTGGGTGGTGTTGAGGGGCGTTTTGGGGTAGGCGGCGGTTTTTTTGACTTTGGAGGTGGTGGAAGAGGGTTTCTGCGTGGGTGCGAGGTGAGCATGGGTGGTGTGGCGGGGGGTTGGGAGGAGAGTTTCTTCGATTTCTTCTTGTTTGATGTATGTGGTTTGTGAAGGAGATTTTTGTGGTGATGTACGCGTTTGATGGCTTCTGGTGTTGCGCTTGACTTTAGGCGGGACTCGCTTGGTCTTTGCGGCTTTCTTGGTTTGTTGTGGTGTCATTTTATATGTGTGTGCGGTGGAGGATTTGGAAATGATGTTGTGTGGGCTTGAGAGTGTGGTATAGCAGTGTGCGAAGATGGAGTGGAAGACGCACTGGATGCGTGAGGGATGATACAGCCTTTATACATTGCTGACAGTATTTTCTTCGTGTCCAAATTTTTCACAGTGTCATTTACGACAAGTGTCTTGTGCGGAATTCAAACCAAAGTTGAGCTCTTTAGCATTCTATCGTCCACCAATCCTGTGATGCACAATCGTCAACTATTCCCACTATTGTAATCAAATGGCGAATTCACTCACTACCATTTAGAAACAAACTCTTATCCACAGGCTACTGGTAACGTTTGCTACCATCGGGTCTTGTTTCCTGAACACATTTTGTAAATCGACTCATGTTTGTCGTGTGTGCCAAGAGTCACTACCACATCTACTCTTCTTCACTATCGTATCCTTCTATCACCTTCTCGCACCCACACGGCCACAGATGCGCAACTGCATACCCCGGATACTTCTCGACAAATTCACCATACCAAATCTGCCACTTCTCCCATGTCTCCCTAATCTCACGCTCGGCCAACATGGCCTCTCGTCCAGATACAGAATGAGGCTTACGATGACGCCACATTCCATTGAACACTATGAACTCGTTCCATTTATGATGGTCATGTGAAGCAATCTGATGGCCGAGGCCTGTGGTACGATCAGGGTCGTGTACGAAGTCGCCGTGGCGGCCGTGGTTTCCATGTTTGAGAAACGGGGCGTGAAGCATTGGTGGAATGCTTTTGTTTCTGTGTACTGTTTATATGTTTAGCCTACAGTGAATCCGGAATATCAAAGGTGAAAGTATTGAATGATAGAAGTGATGACTGTAATGCATTACATGTTGACAGTCAGTTGAGGGACTCACCTGTTGTGTCAAAGAACTGGATCGCGCCAGTACGAGGATTAGTTGTGGCGGTAAGAACTCTGTCAATATTCTTGCCGTGAAAGATCGTGGTGGATAGGTCGAGATTAGAAGCATCCATCCCAGTATCGCTCATGAACTGGATATGTTGCACTTCGCGATCTCTAGCAACTTTGTGCGTTTCGATTTTCTTGCTGATTTGAGGCAACGATGATACGATTACGGGACTTGAATTGACCTGTTGAACGGCATCGGCTTGATTTTCATCAGCTCCAGCTGCTGGTTCTGCCGGAGTATCCAGCTTCTGGAGCTTCTGTGGCGGTTGGCTATTTAGCTCATCTTCATGGATTCGTCTCTTCCGACTATCGGACTGCTCATGTGTATCATTTCGTACAGCTGTATGTGATAGATTTTCCTTAGTGGAAGGAACGGAGAGAGTTGTTGTTCCATTGCTTAATGTCGGAGCTGCAGGGGTACGTGAAGGATCGAACGTGTTCTTTGCCGGAACTATGCTATGTGCGGTATTTGCATCTGCAACTATAGTGATGTCTCAGTATGTGCGGTACAACTGTTGACTCTAGTACTTACGTGGTAATGTTGATTTGGGATGGCGCCCAAGGGCAAGAGTTTCCTTCTCTTCAATCCAGGTTGCTACCTCAACCTTTGAGAGTTCAAGCATACAGAACTCTATTCGCTTCTCAGTGCCTGCATACTGCTCTACAATATCGAGCAGTTCCTCCAAGTCCTTGCGGAGGAGAGCCTCTGCTAATCGAGCGTGTTGTCTCTTCTTGTCTCCTAGGCCATCTTGGTCATTCAATGGAATCTTTAGCCCATTCGCCTCATAGAACTGGCCCCTCAGATGTTGGCTTAGAGTAGCAGTGACAGGCGTCCTTGTTGCCTTCCTCGCTGCAGGTACGGTGGTGGTCTTGTTGGGTCTGATTGGAGCAACTGCACCGCCTCCAGTTACCTTGCTCGCTGCAGGTACATTGCTGATCTTGCTCGGCCTAACTGGAGTGGATGTACTGCTTCCAGCTACCTTGCGCACTGCCGGTGCATTGCTCGTCTTATTCGTTTTGACCGGAGTAGATGCGTTGCCTCTTGTCGCCTTGCTCGCTGCAGGTCTGGTCATGGTCTTATTATTTTTGACCGAGCTAGGTGCACTGCCTCCTGATACTCTGCTTGCTGTAGGTACATTGCTGCTCTGGTTCTGTCTGACTGGGGTAGATGTATTGCCTCCTGTTGCCTTGCGCGATACAGGTACATTGGTGGTCTTGTTCGATCTGGCAGGAGTAGAGGCGCTGCCTCCAGCTACTTTGCTCTTACGCTTTCCCTTGGCCTGTGAGGCTGCGGCCATCGCTCGCGCGACTTCATCGTCGTCGATAATGTTAGTTTGTCGGTTCATGATGCAGGTCAGTGATGATAGAAATTGTGCGAGTAATTGTGATGGTTATGGGATGGGAATATAGAAACACACAAGTTTCAGTAGTCACAATGAGAGTAGGTTACAATGACAGGTGAACGTGAAAGGGAAGCCTCGCGTGTCTGGGACCCTGTCACAATGCAGTGAATGCTACGCAAGTCAACCATAGCACAAAACAGCGCATATAATGAGACATTTTCATCAGTGCAGCCTGAGAGCCAACCAGTTTGTAATCCAGGACCTTTGATGTCTCAGAGTTTCTGGTGATGGAATATACATATTCCCGACGTGCAATCTAATACGCTGTCCATATTATGACCCCAACACGCTTTGAGGAGGCCACCCATGGTTCCTGGAGGCTACGGACCAGACTGCCCGCAAGATGTACAACAACATGTCAAATACAGCGAACAATGTGGACGTTTTCAGTTCACCTCAACTGCCTGTGAAGCCTAAATATTGGTAATGTACTATTGCATCTGGGGCAACAGTGACAGATGCCTTGGCGAAAATGACAAACCCACTTGCGCAAAGTCAATAAAAACAAAGAACAGAATGTGATGTAGGACTAAGATAAGAATCCAATGTCGTTTCCAGTATCGATCCTGGGCGCAGTGTATCGCGTGTGTGGCCTGGCAGTCTCGCGTGAAAGGGTCGAAGTCGGAAAAGAGTTGCGGCAGTGCCACGTGAGACAGGCGCCGACCCGACCGCCGACCGACGCAAAGGAGCCGAGGCATTCCTGTCTCGAGCCCTTAGATCGTCGTTTCGCGACTCCTCAACTCCATCACCACCCGCCATCTTGCGCCTGTTACGTGTGTTGCGTAACTTGTAGCCAAAATGGTGCGCGAGGACCTCATCACATCGGCCGTCTCGTGTAAGTAAATATGACGGCGATTGCAACCCTGCACGCGACGATGCTAACAACAACACCCAGTCCTCCAGGACCCGTCGGTTGCCAGCGCGCCCCTAGAGAAGCGCATAGCATTCCTGCAGTCCAAGAACCTCACCCAAGAGGAAATCGACGTCTCCCTCGCCCGCGCCGCTGAAGATGCCGGCCAACCTCCGCCTCCTCCCCAGACGTCCGCAGTAGCCACCAATGCGTCATACAGGCCACCGCCGGCAGCCCCATATGCAAGCTATCCGCCCCAAGGATACTGGCAACCACCACCGCCACCACCAGAGTAAGTCATGAGATTGGCAGTCCTAGCGCACCAGCTGACAGACACAGACCACCGAAACGCGACTGGCGTGATTACTTCATCATGGCGACAGTCATGGGTGGCGTAGGCTATGGACTCTACTTTACCGCAAAGCGATACGTCCTGCCCCTGATACAACCGCCCACGCAGCCCCAGCTAGAGCAAGACAAGGCCTCTGTCGATGAATCATTCAAGCGCGCCTTCGACCTTCTCGAGCAACTCAACACCGATACTACCGCACTCAAGGCATCCGAAGAGGCCCGGACAGCAAGACTTGATGACGCCCTGGGTGAGGTAGAAAGCGTATTGTCAACCCTCAAGGAATCATCCAAGCGACAAGGAGACGATAACCGACGGATTGAAGATGACGTCCGCGGCCTGAGAGATCTGATCCCCAAGGCATTGGAGTCTCACAAGGAAGCCACCGACAACAGACTAAAGGAGCTTTCTACTGAGCTGAAGAGTCTGAAGACATTGATCGGAAACAGAATGGGTTCAGCTGCTCCCCGTCCGCAGAACGCCTCGGGCTACTATGGAGCCGGTCAGCAAGCGAGTGCTCCCCAGACTCCCAACGTAAACGGCACATCCTCTGTTTCAACACCGACACCCCAGGCGCCATCTACGCCCGCTCCCGCTGAGCAGGCAAACGGCACTTCTGGTGCTGACAGCCAAGCCAACGGCCTCGCAACCCCCTCAGCTTCCTACAGCAGCAGGATGCCCACTGGACGCGCTGCTATTCCGGCGTGGCAAATGGCCGCCGCAAAGAAGACGGAGGAGGCCAAGAAAGATACTAGCGAAAGCGGAACAGCAGTTGAGGCGAGTGCAAGCTCGTAGAATGCGCACAGAAGTTTGATTTGACAGCGGGTTTGCATCTTGGCGTTGTACCCTTGTACTAGTAGTAGTAGTATTAACTAAGAAGCGATGGGCATATCCTTACGTTGAAATGTAACTTTTTCTAATGCACAAGTAATATTCCAAGCTGTGTTTTGAACATGTTGAAATCTGCTCGTCGCCCATGGTGACCAAAGTGGCGTTCTCATGTCGTGACGTCGCGATAGCGCGTTTCGCGTCAGTGCCCATGTCAACGTCACACTTCCAGCCATCGCCAAAACAAACGTTCTGGCCCGTCGTCATCGGATTCTCGCAGAATCCACTTTCTTTATGCATGATCGATTTCGCCAATCTCGCATCCACACAAAGAGCCCCATGCGACCCCTGACGCTAATCCGGTGTTGACGTCGACCGTCGCGCGTTTTGGGACTGATGCTGATCAACGGCATGCGCAAATGGTCCCTTGGACGGTAGGGCGTATCTAAGTCTCGGGAGCTTGCAGTATAGCGTGCCTTTGCGATGGCATGACGCAGGGATGAAAAGCGTTCCCATTCTCGCTGACGTCTATTCAATGTGATACTGTCTCAGATTGACTGTTATGATGCTATTCTTGTGCAGGTGTGATATGTACAGACAAAGAGACATTCAATATCTTCATTGTATCTTTTTACTTCAAGATTGACAATATCAAAACATGGCGTAGCACTCCTCACGTCAAGACCATAGCACAAGCGGACTGCTCCCGCATCTAGTGCCAGATCCCTCGTATCAGATCGACACATCATTATCCACTTGCACCATACGCCATCTTCGACGAGGCTGGTACCTTTGTTGAGTTAATCTTTCTCAAGCCCATGCTGTCATAGTCTCGATCACAACATGGGATTCAGATCGCCCATGCTAGCTGTCTATGATACCAATCCTATGTCACATCGGAGGCCTGACCGCATCTCAAGGGCACCATGACGTATAGTTACTATGAACGAAACCTACATAAAGACATTCTGCCACTCCTCCTTGAATTCATCACAACATCACAACACTTCTTCACCTTAACACACAAACACCGACCACCTTCCAACAAAACCCCCAATCTCCCACCACAACCATGAGCTCCAACGAAGTCCCCACCGGCAACGCAATGGACAACTCCTACCAATCCCGCACCGGCCAATCCGAAATCCCCGTCATCAAAGACGAAGCCCCCATTGAGTCCACAGAGTACGACGACGGTGGTGATTCTGACCAGCAGCTCGGTTAGTTCTCCCTCTACATTTCTAACATGGATGTTTACTAATACAACGCAGAGCGCGACGAAAAGGAAGCCATCGACCGCGATAACATCATCAGCGAGCGCACTCGTGGTGCGGCGAAGCAGCCTGGTGCTTATGCTGAGCCTGTCGATGATGAGGGGCTTGGGGATGCCGCGGATGGTATGGATGGGACTTCTTCTGTCCGATAGATATTAGTAGGTTTTTGCTATGAGGATACGGATGCTAAGCAAAGGCCGTTTGTCATTTCTGATAGTGTATTATTAAGAGCAGGGTTGACGTTAATTGAGGGGTTCCTTGTGATTACAGTTGACATGGTGGTTGAATGTTTTGTTGGTTCTATGTGTGATCACGAGTACAGTATTCAGCTGACTTCTCATTTGCCTCGCAATTTCAAACTACGAGCCAAAGATCTTTTGCCTAATATGATATGTGGAAACACTGGAACATGGTTTAGGTCATTTGCATCCAACAGTCATCCAAAAGACATTCGAGTGCAGTGCACTTGATAAGTAGGTGGCAAGATATTCTCCTGTGCTACATCCGGGTAACGTCTGGGTAACATCTACTTCTGCAACATGAACGAACTGAAATTTGCATATTAAATAACTCGCGAGCATAGCATAGTGGCATTTGCTCCTGGAATTGGTTCTCAATTGTCTCCGATAAATTACTTCAGCAAATCAGTGCCTGTTCGATGGTCGGTCACCAAGAGTTGCTAGCATCTTCTTCACATAGTAGTGGACAAATCACACGTGCTAGAAACCCCACGCAACGTTTTTCCATGACTTCATCTTTCCACTGCGTGACCTTTTGCTTACCCCATGATCTCCTCTGCGCTTTGTTCCTCCATTGTTTGGAGTGAAAAATCTACTTGTTCGGGCCTCAGCCGCCATCCAGGACAATAGAAAATGACGCATTAGAGACAGTAGTACCATATATCTCTTCATCAATCATGTCCTCCTCAAGTGAACAAACAATATCCAGGTACGCGATTGAGTCTCCTCGCAGGCAACCAGGTACCAACAAGTGGGCCGGAAGATACGCGAAACCACGTGGGCCGGCACATGAGCTATAGCAAACAATCGAAAGAGCCAGCATGCCGGGAAAGCGGAGTGAATGGCGATTTCTGGAGGATATATATAGGTGCAAGTGCCGTCGTTTTGGGACTTACAGAATCAACCAATAAGTTGCTTCTTTCAACTCCATGTATTATTACCCTATATTGATATTTCGATATCAAAGAGAGAAAGTGTTTATATCACTTTATATAAATATGGCATCCAATAAAGCCATGAGGAGGATGGAGGGTAGGTCTCTCCCCACCAGCCAACAATAATGTCCTCCAAAACACTCAAGCACCATTCAAGCATATCTTCTCATTGCTAACTCCTCGCTATCAGTAAAGAAGACCTCTCCTGTCGACCCTTTGGCTCTGCAGTAGTCTACCATCAGCTTGGCCACTGCGTATACGCCCACCTATTCGTCATTCCTATTGAACTAATCCCATTTTCTAACAAAACGGGAATAAACATTGTGGGCATAAAACCAAGTTGCGCGCCAGCAAATGGCCCAGGTGATCCGGGTCTGGTACATGAGAGCCGGATCCGCGCGTTTAGACGATCCCTGCCGTCATGAGCGGGAGTTCCAGAGGGAGCAAATGAAGAGGAATTTGAATACGACCGCGAGAAGGTACTATTCTCTAATATGGGCAGTCATGGATTTCCAACTGTTCTATCGAGACACCATTCACAACCTAGGGTGGGCTAAGCTGGACGAGCATTGCAACGTAACTTTTGCCAAGGGCGACCACGCCCTCAGTATCCATCTAAAGAACGGGGGCCACTGTATATCAGCGTCTCCCCAGCCCACTGGATGGGCACCAACGAAATATATATCTTGATAGAAGTAATATCGCGGAACTCCATCGAAGCTACGTCGACATACCACGCTGTCCTTACCTCACAAAAATAGCACTGCAAGTAGTTCTTTGCAATCGCCATAGCATTCCTAGCTTTGCTAATATATATATGATCGCTCCATATCGCAACCGAGGGCCGATCGGCTTTCTCAAATTACGCGCATTTTGAGGAGTTGTACACCAATGCGAAGAACCATATATCAGCACTGCGCGAGGATCCCTCGTACTTCCCTGATGAGTTCAAAGACTTAGTAGAGACTGCCCAGCAAGTTCTCAGCTGCTTGCGTCCTTGGATTCTATTCACAAGAGCGAAGGCAGTAATGATGTTGAGGGGGCGGGAAAGAACAATACAGAGTTGATTGTGATCAAGAAGGTACCGTTAATAAAGCGACTCTAGCGCGTTGAAGATATACCTGCTGGAGTTCAATAATACCTCATTACACCGACAAGTACTGGGATGAGAGCAAAGAGATACACACAAGCGTCTACAAGAGGCAGCAAGGTCATGTCGTGGCAGTCCGGGAAGAGGTCTACGAGATAGGCAAAGATTTATATACAGCATCAGCACACACGGGTTTCTCAGAAACCTCAAAATCAACAACAAGGCTAATTTCTACTGATTGGAATCACAAAGTGGAAGGGATCCTCCCCTAACATCCACACGTACAAAGAGATCATTCACAGTTTCCGCACACTCAGCAAGCCACGGGCCTGGCCAGGCGTCACCGGGATTACCGGCTCGTCCATGTCGAGTGGCGTCACCACGATTACAGCTTTTGCCAAGGGTGCGCTGCAACCCCATATGCTCAACTATAATCTACACCCAGCTATATAATACTTAAGTCAAAATTCCGATCACGAAGCCTTCATAGAGTATCCAACGTGGTTACTATACGGAAGATCCATAGGGTCGAACGCTCGACCTGGTCCCCTCGAAGCTTGACGTCAGCTACGAACCCATTGAGTACGCCGCTGAGTTCCACGCCGTGTCCAAAGACGCGGAGGACAAGATTCAAGCAACACAGAAGGAGCTGTAGATGGAGAACGTGCGGGATTGGGAGGAGAAGGGAAGGCATGGCGACAAGCCTGAGCGGCCTACCCTCTCCGCGGCCGATCCCACGGCCTACCACAACGCCCGAGTACTGAACACATTCCCCAATATCATCTGTGCCATCGAGCAATGGCAGGCCGAACACCCCAGCCAGCCTCCCATCCTGGGCGACAGATGCAGCTAGGGCGACTCCCTTGGCTCAAAGAATGTCCCTCTAAGCGAAGCCTTAAGGACCAAGGCTACCATCAAGGAGTCTTTCCTATAGGACATTGCCAGGGAGGCCTGTCGGGGCTCTGCAAAGATGGACTTTATCTTAAAAAAGATCAAGGAAATCAACGGCCAAGACACGACGATTACCCACCCCGACCCAGACCGCCGCGCCAAGGGCGAGACATTTGCGTACCAGACAAAGTACGTTGTCGCCAGCAGCCTGCGGCTCTGCCGCGCGCTTCTCTGGTGCCGCATCGTCCAGGAGGTAGGGGAAGAGTGTGTTGCCAGCGTAGCCGACGGCGTGGATCGTAACGAGACGATGAACGGGTGGAGGGATCGATACGATCCAGCCACGTACACTCGCAACGACTAGGTGTAGATCATAGTAGCAGCGTTATGCGCCATCTATCAGTCAATTACGCTAACCGAAGGGAGCATCCTCCATGGACTGGAGCCACCAGTCATGAACGGCATGGCCGTTTAAGGCGCCAATCGGCAGTACCGAATTGGCCAGACCCAAGCCGTGGTGGAAGTCCGCTGGCTGTGGCACAAGAACTCCCTTATCGAAGGCAAGATTGTGGCAAAGAATACCGCCAAGGACGGCAGCAGCTGTTGTGTTCGAAATATTTGACAGGGTTGATTTTGACGCTGGAAGACCGGGAAGCTTGAAGTCTGGATTCGAGTTTACTTGAGGCTTTGCTTGCGGCCCTGGTAGCGTCATCCTTCTGGATAAGATCGGAGGCGTTATTCGGCCTGGGGTTCGCCAGCAATCTTAGAAGCATGATTATCGACGAGAAGAAGAAGAGGAAGGAGGAGAGAGTGATTGATTTAACCTAGGGCCTTGACGTAGTCTAAGATGATATTAAGTGGGGTGTACTTAAGTGGGTTTGTATCTAAACAGCGGAACCTGTAAGGTAGAACGTAGTAATGAACCTAATAATATGGAATGTTAATATTCAATGATGGTAAGGGTACGCTTGAAGTAATGCAGGATATAGACGTGTGTGTAGAGAGTGAATAGGTAGTGCGTCTCTGCCTATAGGGGATGGCAGATAGGGAGAGCTGAATATCAAGTGTCTCCCCAGCCTAATACTGGGTGGGTACCAACGAAATATATATAACTTGATAGAACCGATATCGCGGCCTCGCTCCCCTCTAACTGCTCCAAGCCCACTACACCCACGAAGGGCTATGTTTCTATATATTCCAACGCCCTTCCTCCCGACTCATACAGCCATCCAAGTCCTCAATTCAGTCTATAACGCCGCAAATAGTCTTATCCCATCACCGGCACCCCTCGATCTATCCCTGCATAGTAGCGCTTGCGACGTATATACCATAGATGAACTTCATACCAAGCTGCATGCGCAGGGGCAGTTAGTATTCTAGAGCGCAAAGAAGAGAAATGATCGAGTGTGTGCACGAAGGAGTACTAACTGCAATTCTCTACAATCGACTCCACACTGCATCTGTCTTCTTTACCCACATCGCATACTCTACCACTCTACTCAACCCTTTTTCGCAGTTACCCTCCACTTGTATTCACACAATAGCCATTCCAAGCCGTACCTCCAATCCCGGCTCTGTCAGTCGCCCACCACCTGATCCCCCCCTTTGCCAACCTGACAGCGCTATAAAACGCAAGTAACAAAAAGAGGAAGTCTATTCGAAGATTCAAGAACACGCTTTCCATACTGTGTCGGTGCGTGGGGGTTGCTAAGTGTGTGTGGTTCTTGTTGCAGACACTTACGATGTGACTTGATAGGCATGTATAAGGATGGGAAAATATTTGTGTACGACAGAGACAGAGAATATTTGTGCGATTTTTTTTAGCGAGTTTCATGTTTTGTACTGTTTTTTTTTATTTTCGTTGGATTATGGTTTTTGTGTCTGGCCAGGCGAGTCTGTTATAGAAAGGAGGGAGGGGTTGAAGGAAACAGGGAGCTACTTGAGTGCGGAAAATGATGCATGGGTCAGGTCTGGGTGGATTCGCACATCTTTTCTTCTGAGTCCTGTAGGTCAGTGCGGAGTGTAGGGGGGAGAGAGTGAAAGTGGTAGTGATAGTGTATAATTAGAATAGCGCCATATGGTAGAATGCTTGATCGAGACACCCAGGATTGAGATATATTTCAAACAAGTATAGAAGATACTGATTTATTTATTACCTAACAAAAAAGCCTGTGTACGTGTCCCTTGAAGTAAATTACGTTTGGGTATATCTTTCTCTCTTTGGGAGGATAACGAAGAAGACGCATCCTGGTGGGATATACATACACACACGAACGCCCCCTAGCCTACCGCGACTGCGTCGAAAGGAATGAATGTCTCTCTTCTGGAGGACACAGAATTACTCGGAAGCCTTCTTGCGGCCCCTGTATCTTGGTTAGTACTGAGCAATGCACCGACTGACAATTTGATTAAACATACCTCTTCTGCGGCACTTTCTTAGGCTTGGCCGCCTCCTCTTCAGCCTCACTGCCCTCCTCGGCCTCAGCTTTCTTAGCTGCAGGCTTCCTGCCACGAGCCTTCTTAGGGGGTGGGGCTTCATCTTCTGTCTCTTCCTCGTCCTCCTCTTTGACTACTTCCTTCTTAGGCACAACCTTCTTGCCCCTAGCCTTCTTAGGTGGTGGGGCCTCCTCTTCGCTCTCATTCACGGGCTCCGCGGCCTTCTTAGCTTTGGTGTTAGCGCGAGCTTTCTTCGCAGGCGGGACTTTCTCTTCTTCTTCTTCGTCATCATCTGCTGCTTGCTTCTTGGAGGGACGGCCGCGCTTCTTGGGGGCGGGTGCGGGCTTGTCTTCTTCATCTTCGTTCTTGACTTTAGTGGCTTTCTTTTTCTTGGGCTTCTCTTCTTCGGAAGCATCGTCTTCTTCGCCCTTCTTGGGCTTCTTTGCTTTGGACTTCTTGACACCGAGACGGTTGAGCTCGGGATCCTGGGGTTGTGAGTAGGGATATTGTAATGTGTTAGTCAGATCCTTACGCGTGTGCAGTCTTCATCTGGAATGTGGTTGTGCTCGAGCGCAAACTTGACCTTTTCTTGGAACTCCTCTGGCAGTTCATCGTAGCCATCGACCATGTCTGTATCGCCTCCGCAAGTCTCATTCAGATTCTCAATCTGCTTAGGGGTGACACATCCCCTACGCTAGTTAGTACTTGTCCTTTCATAAAATCAACAGAACAAACTCACCAATGGCGGTATTGCCAGCTAACATGCTCGTGAATGGTAACTTGGACGGCAAAGCGAAACTCGCCCTTTGTAATCTTTTTGCCTTCATCTTTGCAGGCCTTGACTTGGCAGCCAGCGCGGTTGTTGGGAGACACCTCTGATAACTGATTAGTTTTGCCCGGCTCATTTCCAATTGGTGATTTGAAATGCGATTCATATTCCATTGGACATGAGCGCACTAGAAATCATGTGGTGACTTACCGACACGGTATACACCCATGGTCGCGGTAGGTTGCTGTGTCGCGTGAAAAAGGGGTGAAGACTCCTGGAGAACACGCGCAGAGCAAGTTGGGTATATATGTAGCGATTCTAGGATTCAGGCAATCAGTAAGGCGTTTCCTTCTTGCAAATCCCTTTGTGAGTCGTCGCGACTTGTTTGCGCTGTCGACGCGTGAGGTTACTAGCGGCAGGCAGACGTGGGAGGTCTGGCAGGGGACCCCTGTCGGGCGGTGTTAGTGCGTCTCGGAACTGGAGAGTGCAATTCGTCATTATCCTAGTCGGAAAAAGTCAAGAAGATGCCGCCGTCACGAGCAATTCACCTCGACCACCCATTCGCTACCCCTCAATGAGCACTGCGCATACATGCTTTCGCAGCGCCCTCACACAGGCATTCCGGACCAACACTCGTGGGATCGCTGCTTCCTGTTCTGTGGCCGCATTTCTCGTTCCGACGCTCGCCAAACCCGCCAAACGCACCTTTGCAAGTGGAAAACACCGCTCCAACCACGCGCAGCCATCCCTGTCTCTCCCGGATACACATGTCCAGGATGAAGACGCTCAGACACGTCCAAAGAAGCCAAGGGAACTCGTCACATCGCAGATACCCTGCCCGCAGCCAGAGGCTCGTGGTGACATCAAAGCATGGCTTGCCGTCCTTGAGCCCTTCTTCCCAGCCCACTTGCGACGAGAGCCTTCAGATAGCCCCGACATATCGGTGAGATCGTTCGACCTTGCCTATGTTCTCAATTCGGCTCAAGTTGCGTCTGTGGATATTATCAGTCACATAGGGCTGGTCGAGGGTCGGTGGCAGACTGTGGTTTGGATGGTCAAAAAGCTTGCGGAAGACAGACAACACTCGACCGACACCGCTCCTCAACTTCAACAATACGCAGATGTCATGTGGCAAGGACGCGAGTATCGGAACATGAAAAGCCTGACCGAGAGCCCTCTTGTACTCCAGCGAAGCCCGCCATCGCAGAGACCGAGGTTTACCCTGGACACAGTGACTTCCGCCCCAGAGTCGGTCAGATACAGGAACGTCACGATAAAGCGAGGGTTGGGACAGCTGTGGAGGAGCTTGGGAAATATGATCTTGGCAGCTACAGAGCAAGGAAGTACTGGGCAGGAGACCATTATGCCTCATGTCTTGCAAGTGATCGCATATCTGCATCATATAGGTCTTATCCCCGACTCAGTCTACACATATCGTCCACACGAAGACAAACATGCGCTGCAGCAACCCCCGACTATCCATATGCTGTCATCCCAGATTCTTACCGCGCTGTCAGATGCGACATGGAAGGCGCATGAGTCTTCTGTCAAGACTGCAAAAGATCGGGCCAACGCTCAATACTTTCTTGGACACGAAATACCAGGATCTCGCTACAAGGCCTACGTGACAGAAGTGACGCCAGAACTGTGGCTGGAGCTTGTGCTCTGGTCCTGTCTACACGGTGGCTGGGTATTGGACGGAGTTTCTATCTTGGAGCAAATCGCAACTAAGAAAGGAGAGCAAGGATGGGCGCTCATCAGCTGGCGAGAGATTCTGGAACAAGAAGAACAAAGGAAGCCAAAGCCAGCAAGGAGTTGGGGTCTGTTTCCAATGTATGAGGATGCATCGGCAAGCCCCGAGGACCGAGCACGAACACGCAAAACAATAAGCGGCGAGGTGGTCACGGCATTTGTAGACGGACTTGTCAACCAGATGCGACTTGGAGTGGGCACTCGCGGCGCTAATCCCGAGCATGTGGTTTCGTCCATCAAAACACTCAAGACGCTTCTTGACGCCAACAACCTAAGTCTTGGAGCTATGGCTTGGGACTCGATCATGGCACGACTGATAGAGTCTGGTGGCTTTGTGCCAGAGAAGCGACCCGAAGTGCTGTTGCGCATCTTTGAGCTTGCACCAGGATTCGGAGCTGAGGTCGGCACTGCAAACGCAGCTACTCAACGGAGTACTGAGATTCCCTACTTCTTTGAGCCGACAACGCTACCATTGAGTCTGTTGCACCGCACTATGCGAGCGTTCATCAAAAACGGAGATATCAATGGTGCCATGGAAACACTGTCGCTTCTCCAACAACATGCTGATGACAACAAGCAGAGATCTGTGCAAGAGTTTTTCACGTTTTTGAGAAACAGCCCGCAGCTACGAAAGGACGAGCCGTTCACGAGCAGGCTACCCCCTGTCAGCTTCCCAGCGTTTGACACCAAGCTTCCCGTGCCACTTCTAGCGCAGCTTCTAGACTTGGCGACGGAGTTGAAGATGTACGACTTTGGACGATGGATGCTCTTCTCGGGAGACCTGGACGGCCCGCTGATAAGCCCTTCGCTATATGGTCATCGTAACATATCGGCATCTATTGTGCGGTTTGGTACGTTGGCTGGGGAAAATGATGTGGTTCTCAAAGTGATTCAAAAGGCTGGGATATGGAATGAAAAGCATCAACAGCAGCGAATGCCGGCAGAGATTCTGACAGCTTTGATCTGCTGCCAGGTGAAGCTGGGGCGGTGGCAGGCTGTACGGAGCATGCAACGATACGTAGAGCAAAGTGCCACGTTTAGACCTCGGCCTATTATCATCTCGACCTTTGCAGCGGAGCTTCTCCGGACGTCGAGTGGTTCTGAAGAGAGCAGACGCGAAGCCCAAGAAAGCTTTACGGGGCTGCTGTTTGGATGGGAACGCATCATTCTGCAGAATATGCGGGATGAACTCAACTGCATACTCTCCATCATGTCTACGGTCGATGGATACTGGAAAGAGTACTGCTCGCAGTTCTTGGCGTTCTCGGCGCGGCACGACATCAAGCTTTCGACGGCCGAGTTCAACCGGGTGCTATGCGGTGTGCTCGAGGGCTACGGCAGTGCCAAGGGCAGGGCGATTGTGGAAACGTGGTGCTACAAGCCACCCAAGAGGTTTGAGCCATATAGGGCGCCGGGAGGACTGCCTACTATGGCTCGGTACCGGGTGACTAGAGGCGGAGAGTACGAGGATCGCCCCGAAGACATTGAGATTGTGCAGCAGTCTGGGGCAAGGATGATGCTGCAGGGACGGGTGCACGCCAACCACGAGACGATATGGGCCGTTGTCCGAAAAGTGCAGGAGGAAGTAGCAGCCAAGGAGGGAGGTGGCGAGGGATTGACAGAGGCCACGCGGACTGAAGCGCGGGATACACTGCAGTGGGCGGCACGGCTGCTTTACTATCTAGGGTTCGACTATGAGGACATTGCACGCGATCTGGGTAGCCTCGTTGGGCTTGCGGAGCTCGAGGTACCTGGGGGAGGTGAAGAAGCAGAAGGCGGCAAGCAGGGCGAGTGGTAAAAGGCCAGATTTTCGGCCAGTTGCATGTCGTGTAGAAAAGGCAGATATGATGTGCATGGAATTGCGTAATACAGCGTCTAGACGACGGTGGGTACTTTGTATACACAGTAGTAGTAGTAGTAGTGTATGTACATACGTGGTTGGTGACTGGGGCAAGGCGAGGCGCGTGATGGAGAAATTGGCAAACCCTGAGTGTGTTCGTGGGTTTGGCGCTCCACTAGGGGGCCCCACTTTTTCCCAAGCAGCCGTTGACGTTTTTTGCCTGGGCCAGACCACGGCCGACTATGAGAAAGAGTGCGTTGGTGCAGCAGCAAAAGCGAACAATGGCCTCGTGAAAAGCAAAAGTCGTGGTAGTTGAGACGTCGGTTGACGTGACTACAGCAGGCCAAGAGGGCTGGGAGGGCGAATGGGAGGCGAGGGGACCTGTGTCAGTAGAGGGCTGAGAGCCAATCAAGGGCTCCTGTAGGGACGGGCTTATGACACGTCGAGGATAATTGCCAGGCGGCCCCCAGGTCAAGAAAGAGAAAAAGAGGGCGAGCCGGGGGGTGTGTGTTGCTGATCCAACCAAGAGGCTGTGGAGACGGGAGATGCACCAATGTTCTGCATGCTGCCATCCTCCCCCCACTAATACCAAGGCATAGCCCAGTCCCAGTGTGGAGGGGCGGGTAAAAAAAAAGTTGCCTTCCTTGATGTCTGCGGGTTTACTTGCAGCAGCGGCAGCAGTGAGGTGAGGCATTGCGGGCGGATGAGGGCGCGAGGGGAAAGTAATTTTGAAGTGCAAATAAAATTAGTGGGATTGGCATCGGTGGCGCATAAGCGAGAGGGAAGCGATAGGCAGCAGCAGCAGCAGCAGCATCAGTGCAAGTGTCAGCACCAGCAGCAGAAGCAGCAAGCAACGGCCCGCCGTGGAGTGTCAGTCTCAAGGCTGAGGCGCCGGGGCTACGTCTCCAAGGCCCTCACCGCTTCTTTCTGCTTCCCACACACGGGGCAGTGCCTATGCCCATGGATAGACGATGCATCTGGAGGGGCAGCAATGCCCGGCGACGTCAAGCACGGCCATGGGGGTGGGTGCTGGGTGTCTGGAGGGGCAGCCGCCCGAGGGCTCGACAATGCCATGACGACGACGGCGGCGCCAGAGGGCAGTAGCAGTAGCAGCAATATGAGAGAGTATGTACATGGACACATGGCTCGCAGGTGAATGCATCCATACATCCATACATCCATACAGAGCCAGCCAGCCAGTCTGCTGTTGGCCGCAGCATGTGCTGACCAGGGCACTCCGGGCAGCCAGCAGCCAATAGGGTGCAGCCGTTGGCAACGATTAGCCCCGTGTTGCCTCATCGCCATGTCCTCATCCTCGTCCGCATTAGGGCCAGTGGGGCAGTTCGGCCAGACGACCAAAATTTCCAGCGAGCTGCGAGCAGCGAGGGGCACGCGACAGACGCTGCGGGATGCGCCCCGGCCATGGCCTTTGGACACTGCAGACGGCTAGCCACCAATTGCGTTCCAGAAAAAAACAAAACACCAAAAGCCTTTCATCGTGCCATCCGTGCCGGTTGCATTTTACCGTGTCGTGTCGTGCTTGCTCGACATGGAGTCATCGCTGCAGCCAGGCAGGACTAGGATGCCCGCCCGGACCATGCGATATGCCGCTAGGGCCAAACTAAAAATTAAACATATCCTTTGCCCTCGCCCGCATCTTTTCTCTCCGCACCAGCCCCAAGACGTCAAAGTCGCTCAGATTCTTACCAGGACCACTCCAGACCCCCCCCCCCATCCCTACTTCCTACTTTCGTCGAGACAATGCCGCAGGCACGCGCTGAGCTCTAAACTCCTGGTGCAGCCCCACCCACGGGCTGCATCAGCCCGACAGCTCACGGAATTCCCAATCTCCTCGACGATACCAATACCAGACTGCGTGCAGTACCCTCTGCCCCAATCCGTCCCACTCAATTGGCATTCGTCCCGCCTGCGCTAGTAAAAAAATTCCACCATTGTCTCTCGCAGCCCTGCTCCACAGCTGCTGCAACATCGACGAAGCTCAAAGGGCCCAACATAGTTCCCACGCCCTGACACGCCCCTCACAGTACACCACATACATTACACCTACATACTCACCTGCACGCTATCCTTCTTGAGCACTTCCCAATTGCGACATACTTACCCGCCATACCAATCACACCTCTCTCGCTCTCTCTTTCTCTCCGACACCCTCATCTACCTACTCCACCGCCACCATTTTCATCAAAGGAAAAAAAAAACACCGAGAGTGAAAAAAATTTCCACAACACAAAACAGCCCACCATGGCGCATCGGACACACACTCGACCTTCCATAAAGGGTCTTTCAGACCGCCACCAGCAAGACCGCAGCCCATCGCACAACGCTGCCGCAGACATCCACCGCTCTCACCAACGGTCTACCTCTCCAGACACAATATCAGGAAGCACACACCACTCTGAAGGCCGTGGTGGTGACCAATCCGCCACAGAAGGTGCTGCCGACGACGAAGATGACGAGGACGATGACAGTAGTGCTGTAAAAGATGACGAGTTGGATGATGAGACCGACACCGACGACGTCCCTGCTCGCCCCTTTGGCTACAGCAGGGGAGGAAAGGGAAAGGGCAAGCAGCCTGCTATCCGCATCGACCCTGTAGATGACGACGAGTCTCACGCTGAAGACGATGAGACCGCGTCCCACACAACCGGGCTGCGCCTTGTACCCAGCAAGCACCCCGTGAACCAACTACTAATGAGTAATAAGAAACGTACCTTTAGTAATCTCTCAAGCACTTCAGTTCTCTTTGGCGATGACTCGACCGATCAAGAGTCATTTCCCAGGCGCAAGATTGCTCGCAAGCTGAGCAATGCCGCCAGTGTCCCCCTGCTAACCTACACCGACAATGAAGACGCGCAGACCAATGACAACGCCATTGAGACCGACGATGAAGACTACAGTGGCGTCAATCTCGTCCCTGATGACGATGAGTCTGACTTGGAGCTGATGGAAAAGCAAGAAGAAAGCTACATTCTGCAAGAAGAGCAGCAAGCTACTACCCTTCTCAATGAGTATCGTGATGCTCGCCGCCTCAGCCTTGATAGCTGCCTGAGCGACAACATCTTCGACGTTACTGCCCCCTTAGATGATGCCTTTATGGCGGGGCTTCCTGACTTTGGCTTCACTCCCTTCTTTGAGCCTGAAGCTGTCCCCGCATCACCCGTCCCCATGGCAAAGAGGAAGTTTTCAGATGGCTCTGCCAAGCGTGTCCGCTTCGATGACGATGTTCCAATGTCAGATAGCTCTAGCTCAGAGTCATCGGAGCTCGATAGCAGCATCTTTCCAGATCTCTTCATGGATCAAGACAAGATCCCGCCTAGCTTGCATCAGCTGCTTGAGATGGACAACGATGATGACAATGGAGACATGGCTTCTCCCCAGTCTGACATTTCCTTCTGGGACTTTGAGCAGAATGAGTCTCGTATCACTCAGCTCGACAACTCGGATGAGTCCGAGGGCGAGTCGAGCGAATCTAGCGGCTATGAATGTATGGTAGTGCCCTACGCCAACTTTGATCACCTAACTAACGTACATTCTCAGCCGACATGGGTGATACCACTGACGAAGAAGATTTTGAAAACGACATTTTGCCACGCACTCCAACCCAAAACAAGTCTGTCCTGCACCGACCCTCTTCGGCACCTGGGTCCCGCGCAAGCACACCCAAGCCCTTTCAGCGAAGCGCGCGGCCCGTCGGTCGTCAGATTCCCCCCACGCGTGGCATCTTCATTCACGACGAAACCGACCAGGCCATTGCCGTCACTAACCGTGCCACCAAGGCCGTTAGCTTCTATCGTCCTCGCACAGTGCTGATCCCATGGATCCCTCTAACAGACTATCACAGCAGTACTAGCAGCACGGTCAACAACAGCCCTAGGAACTCGGTTGCGCAAATCAACAATGCCTCTGACAGCGAGGTCAGCAACGAGGTCTTCAATAACGGACTCAGCACCGACATCATGCTCTCGGGTATCTTTGGGTCTGGTCCAAACGACTTTGTGTTTGGAAGTGAAAGCGTCGGTCCTCCCGAGGCTTTCTATCCTTTCGTAAGCATCTCTTCCAACGGCAACATGGGCATCGTTGACGAAGACGAGGATGGTTCTTCGAGCGATGATTACGAGGATGACATCAACATTACCGACTTTATGGACTTTGGTTCTGACGGTGATGATACTGATATCGACGAAGATGAGGATGTCGACGACACTGATGTGCCAGCAACTCCAGCAACCTCACAGGTGGCAAACCATGGCTCGACTCCCGCTGCACCCTCGACTACCACTCCACAGACACGTAAGAGAACAACGTCAGATGTCATGCTCGAGCACTTTGATCGCGGTGTCGTTACCGCCTTCCGTACCAACCAAAACCGATACCGCGACGTAGCATCCCTGCCGTCAGACCCAGCAGCTCGAGCTTCCGTCTCACGTCCAGTTCGCTCTGGAAAGTCGGCTGAGGCGTTGATCACACCACTTCGCAAGCGTTCGCGTTCAAACAGAGTGGCCAAGTCACCTTTGAAAAACCACACCAACATGAACCAGAGTTCGCCTCTATCAGGCGTTACCAAGGCTACCGGAAGGCTGCAAAGCTCGGTCATGGGCTCCTCTCGAGGACCGCCTCGCATGGGACGCTTTTCTTGAACACACTTATACACACTTGGCGCTGGTTGTCGCCACAAACTTCAACCACGGCATGCCAGATGATGGGCAGCAAGGACGAGGAAGAGGAAGAGGTAGGACTAGAGGAGGTTTGCCTACGATGTTACGATACCCACGGCCTTTTACTTCTAGCTGTTCTCCACGGCTATGTCGTTAGTACGGACTTGATCATGCATGTGCATGTTTTTCAAAAGTTCCTCTTGGGGTCCTTTAGACGGTCCGGATAAAAGTTGCGGGATACTACTGGCTTTTAGAGCGGAGATTACAGCACGCGGCTACGCACCGGCTTCGTTCGGCTAGTGCAGCCTCGTCACGCTTCTGACGAATTTCCTTTGTTTTTTTTTTCTTCTCCTTTCGTCCCTGATTTACAAGCGACTCTTGATTTCCATCTTCTTCCTATGTGGCTACTTGTTTCCCCCAAAAGGAGTAAACAGGCTGTTTTGGGAATGATACCATGTGTTTCACCCGCAAGCACAATCTGAAATGGGATTTTCTGCTTCCTCTGGCGTTTTGGGTTCACGGCCTGCAGGCTGTCGACCTGATGGCGTTGAGAGGCTGACGGGGTTGCTCACGGGTCCATCGTGTACTCTTTTTCTTTTCTTTGTATGGAGTCGGGTAATGGGATAGGCAACAGACATGGTGTAGGATTAGCAAAGGGTTCTTTTCTACTGCTGTATTGCTTGAATGAAAATTTTATTCCATGACTTGATGGGTTTGGGTTGAGCTGTGAAGTGGTGGAGTGACGTACAAGTGTTTAGTGCATGTGGTCTGTGCAAGCTACGTCACAATCTCAAGTGCGGCGCGCGACAGCATGTGAAGATCCAGCGCGTGTGAAAAGACGTATTCCAACAACCACAAACGTCTGCTACGCAGTGTAGCGGATAGTTATGGAGGAAATCGAAGATGATGTTCGCCAGGACAGGTCAATTGTACAGGTTGTGATTGTAAGGTATCCCCTGACCCGTCTTCGCGACGATTGCACCTCCCGCGTCTCCCCACCCACCTGCGCACCGCCCACCCACGCGTACCACTGATTGAAATACCTAGGACTACCTACTTCTCCCTCTTCGTATCGCGACATCGCCCGCTCTGCTACGAACCTACCTCCGCACCGCCCTTTTCTTCATCGCATCCACCATCCTCTTCGGCTTTGCCGTCGTAGCCTACTCCTCCTTCTACTACGCCTACATCCCCGTCCGCGGCATCGTCGTACCCGTCTATCTCCAATACGACCACGCTCCCCACTCTCTCCACGCACCCACACAAGTCAGCAGCGTTGTGCCAACCGTCAAACCAGCAGCAGCAAAATGGCCCTACGGCCTCGCCAACATCCCCGGACTAGTCGCCCGCCAAAAATACGACGTAGTCGTTGAACTCGACCTACCTAGAAGCGAAACCAATCTTCGCGCTGGGAATTGGATGGTCGGACTCGAATTCCGCGGCCCTACGACACGCGGGCAGGGTGTAAAACATATGCTAGGCTGGGATGAGGAGTGGAATGTTGAAGATCACAGTCAAGGCGGTGTGCCGGGGACTACGGCTGAGAAGAATGTTGTTGTAGACGATACTACTACTACGACGACGACGACAACTCAGACTCCGACGGTGCTTGCAAGGAGTAAGAGACCGGCGATATTAACGTACCGGAGTCGTGTGCTCGAAATGATGTATCGCCTCATGCGTCTTCCGTTGTATTTGCTGGGGTGGCACAAGGAATCTGAACACGTGAGGATTAAAATGATGGAATCCGTCATGTTTGAGTCTGGATACCGTAATATCCCTTCTAGTTTGCGTCTGGAGCTTCGCTCGAAACTTCCCCTAGAGGTCTATCGTGCTAGTGTGCACATGACCGCGCGGCTCGAGGGGATACGGTGGCTCATGTATCGGTACCGGATCCTCGCTGCTGCACTTGGAATTCTGGGGTTTTGGGGGGTGGAAATGGGGGTGCTGCTGTTTACGTGGGGGGCGTTTACGCTGCTTACCTCTTCGCTTTCATCTTCCTCGCGTGATGGAGATGGGGATGGGGATGGGGAGGAAGGTAAGAAGGAAGAGAGGAGGAAAGTTGAGGCAGGGGAAACGGATCCAGGGACGCCGTTTAGTGAGACTAGTCGTGTTTTTCCCACGTTGCCGTCGCAGTATCCACTTTCGTATAGTTCGTCGGGTGGTGGCGGTGGTGTTAAGCGGGAAGATGGTGAGGTATCGTTGAAGGATATTCCTGTCAAAGAAGAGGCCGAGGCGGATGATGAGGATGAGGATTTTCTACTTGAAGTACCGCTTCCGGTGGGCGTGGAGAGGGAGGCGGTATTTACGGATTCTGGGTTAGGTACGGGGTTGGAGAGTGGGATTGAGAGGGGGAGTGCAAGAAGGAGGGGGGTAAAAGGGGAGTAGTAGAGTTGAGTTTGTTTCTTTTTTTTTTGGTGAGGGGAGCTTTTGTTTTCCTAAGGGAGGAAAGTATGGGAGGGGAGTGGTACTGGTATATATCTTTGCTTGTGTGTGTATGTGTGTGTGTGTGTTTAATTTAACTTCGAGCCTCTTTTGGGGGGGATACCTGATTTCGGCAGGTTGGGATGCGTGGCCTCTGTCATTCTTTTTTTTTCTGCGAAGAAGAAGAAGAAGAAGAAGAATATGATATACTATACGCCTATGTTGGTTTAATGGGTAGAGGTAGGGTAGAGATTACATAAGACCCTACCTCTACTTCTACCCGCGGCCCGTGCAACCACTACCATACCTCTGGGTAAGGGAGACCCATTTCCCAGTGTATAATACGCCGAATAGATACAACTACGTCAAGTCATAAATTCAAGCAAGAAGCAAGATGCATTGTATATTGAATTGCCCACCCAGAAAAGGAACTTTGTTATATATGTTTTAAAAGTCCTCAAAAATGTACCTGCCAAAAGGAACAAGAAGAGAAGAGAGAAAAAGAGAAAACAAGTAACATAGAGAGACATGAGAAGATTACAACATGGGTCTCTCAGCCGCTGGATCCTTACCTCGAGCGAACTTCCTCTCGATCCTCTCCTGGCCTTTGATCATCATTTCTTTAGCTTCTTCGTCTGTGATTTGTGTTAGACCCGTGCTTACGTCTTTCTCTTCTCTCTTTAGTGTCTTTGCGCGGATTAGGACTGCGGTGCTTTCTGGGGCCTTGTTCTCTGGCCCCTCTCCTCTCACCGTTCCACCCTCCTCCGCCACTACTCGTTTGATAAACTCCAGATGCTCCTTATAATGCACCTCACTCTCCCCCAGCCCCTCCAGCAACACGGCAAAAACATGCGGCATAGCTTCGAACTCGCGCCACGTAACATTGACCCCTTGCCTCACAGCGCGCTGAGCGAGGACAGCGGCTTCATCTCTCAGCATCTCCTGGCCGATGGAGAAGAACAAGGGCGGGCTACCGCTCCAATCTTGAGCTGAGAGCGGGGAAACGAGGGGATGGAGTAGGGCGCTGCCTTCACAGTAGAGATCCGCACGGGGAGGGTTGGCAGGCCATACTTCATCTTTCGGGAAATCTCTCTTGTCGGTTTGGCTGGGTGGCGGGAGGTAATCGAACGTCGTTTCGTTTTCTATCGATGGCAACGCCCTCGTGATATCCAACCAAGGCGAGGTCAGCGCCAGGCCAGCCGGTAGCGGTATTTCGACGTCTTTCCCGTGGAATCGCACTGTAGGCGTCTTCCCATCCGGCGTGCTCCTGTGGATTTGCAAGAGAAGTTGCAACAACGCCGTGCAACACAGTCCTCCCGCCGAATCGCCCCCGAAGACAATCTTACTCGCGGGAACAGCTTCGTGAAACGCCCCCGGCGGCGGCGACAAGAGGGAAAGGTACGCCGTAAACGCATCCAGTAGCGCCGCCGGAAACGGATTCTGCGGCGACAGCCTATACCTAACATTAAACACGCGGCCCCCCGTCTCTCTCGCAATCCTCGCCCCCAACCCCCGATACCCCGCGGGATCGAGCAAATACATTGCTCCGCCATGAAAATACAGCATCGTCGTTGCACTCGTCGTCTCGCGCATCAACCGCTCAAACTTCTCCTTTTCCCCCATGCCCACCGGCTCTCCCTCCCCTTCCTTCGCATCCTTGCGAAACCCATTCCACTCGGCCTCGACCCCCTTCTGCTCAGGCTCCTCCCACTTCTCCTCCCCGGTCCCCATCTCCCTAATCGCCCGAAAAAGAAGCTGTCGCACATCGTCTTCCCCAGGCACAGCCATCGCCACCCGACTCACCCACATTTTCCCCTTTACACCAGGGTCCCGCAGCGTAAACCGCTGCGTTTTGCCAATAGGCTGCGGATCGGCATTTGGCCCCACCATCTCGCGGATCATGGTGACGGTGAGGGAGGTTTTCAGGTCCCATTTTGACGACTGCGGGGTGAGGGAGAGGGAGTGCCAGAGGGCGGTTTTGACGAGTAACGGCGTCTGTGGGAGGAGGAGTTTGAGGAGCGCCGTTGGTGACGAGTCCATCTTTTTCGTTTTGCTTTTCCCTTTCTCTCTCTGTTCCTTTTCTTTCTTCCTTCCTTCCTATATCTCTTTTATGTGGAAGTCGGAAGTGGAATGTACCCCAGGCAGCAATGTTGTTTCTCGATAAGACGAAACCAGGAAATGTTGCGATTATTTATAATCGGGGAGGGGGGGGTTTCGAAAGTGATGGTATATCAGACGAGTCAGGCCTTTAAAACCAAAAAAGAAACAAGTAAGGGTAAGGTCTTCTCCCTCAGCGGCGCAAAAAAAAAAGAAAAAAAGGGTTACAAAAAGTCTTGACGTCGTTTTTTTGGTTGCATTTCCCACCCCCCCCCTCCCCCAAACCCTTTTGAAAGATGCCGAGGCAGCAGGGGAATGAGTCTACCCGAGTCATGCGCGTCATGGGTTATGAGAATACGGTCGATACGGCTCGGGGCGTGCGTGCGTGCGTGCATGGGGGGGGGGGGAGGGCATGTTTTGTTATCATCTTTTTTATTATTAGGCAGCAGAGATATATACACGCACGTGTGCCAAGTCAACTTCGCCAAAGTAATCTATTACCATGTGGCTGTGAAGATAAACTTATGAGCTTATGTCATCTTTTTTTGGTATTTCGCACTAAGTACATACTACATACTGCGCGCTTATCGTTCCTTATTGCGGAGTAAAATAACAAGCTAAAAAGCATGTTGGACCTCACCACAATACCACACACACCAAAGATAGTACGACTGCATAGTGAATAATGTCCCATTTTCCCAAGACGCAAATAAAAATAATAATGGGGGAAACGCAGAAAAAACTGTGTGTGTGTGTAGTATCCCCTGGTGGTATCTTTGCCCCTGTTTCCCGAAAAATGCCCTTATTGCGCCTCAACAACCCAACCCGCTTCACATACAAACCGTACGCAGCAGCAGCGTATCTTCTTTCCCAACTAATTTCCCACAAACAACTCATTATACTACAATGGTGACGGAGTACTTGTTTTGCTACCCATCGCCTCGACAGAAGACTCGTCAGCTGAAGAGTCGCTAAAGGCCGATCGCAGTTCCTCAATAACAGAGGCAGAGTCCGGGTCCTCACCGGAAGACGACTCATCATCAGCCGGATAGTCAAGCTCAACCGACTCCGGATCCTCACTAACAACAGACGACTCATTATCAGCCATATAATCCGCGGAAGTCGACTCCTAGCCATCCAACTCGCCCTCTTCACTGCCCCTCTCCGTCACGTTCCCATCCGCAGTGCCGTTAGCAGTCGGCTGGCTTTGACTGGTCATCTGGACTCCTTCCATGCTCCTAGGCGTGTCGCCAAAGTCGATGCCATCTTCGGGTGTTCTAAGCCCGGCGTACATGTTAGGCTCGCCGTCCTTGTCCGGCGTCTTCTCATACAGATCGGCCATCAGGTTGCATGCTTTTCTGATGTCGCGCAGCTGGATGTGCTGAATCTCCCACCAGGGCTTGCCATCGTCGTCGCTTAGCTCAACCTCGGCCATGCGCGCGCCGGCATACAGTGATGCTGTGGCAATTGTTCGTGAGGGAAACAGCAGACACATTTGTGTGGATGTCGAGTCGGAGAGAAAAGCCCAGGCTGAGTTGCGCAGTTTTTTGTTATGCTCGACACCGTAGTACTTCATCATATCGTACATGATCTTGTATGGCGATTCAACGTTTAGGTCAAAACATAGGGCCTCGAGTAGGACATCTTCGCTGTACAAGATGGTGTCCCGCCATTTCCAGAAATCTTTTGTTTGCTCGTCGACAAGCTTGTTCGGGTCTTTGAGCGCAACTCGGACACATGACACGACGAGTTCTTTCATCTTGCGGCAGTTCTCTTCGACTTTAGTAGCGAGAAATAATGCAGTCGCAGCGATTTGCTGGTTTCGTCAGATGCGCTCGGACACAGGAGCCATTGTGTGTAGACTTACATAATGGTGAAGGGGCTTGTAACCGGGCCGTGGCTTGAGGCTCATCCGCATCAGGTAGCGGTTGAAGAATACGGCAGCCGTGCTGAGAGTCGTCTGTGGGAGCTTGAGCATCATGCCCACCTGCAATATGAAGCCCACACCTTTCCGTCGCAGTGTCCGCTCTTCTTCCGGAGCCATTCCATCGGTTATCGACGGCGCCAAAAGCAGCTCTTCTTCTGTGAATATCCACTGCATTTCGGCTTCGACTACCGCCGGCGGCGGTGGGCGAGGAGGCTCGCGCTGTGGCACCATTGCGCTGGACGTGGTCGAAACCATAACCAAAGGCTAACAGCACCAACGTTTGGGGGTAGAGATAGAGTGCTGCGCAAGTCGTAGGTGCCGGCACAAGTGGACGCGCGTTGTCGTAGAGGCCAGGTAGCGGGCTATAATAGACGGCCAATCAGACGGAAAGGCTCACAGAGCGCAAGAGCGGATAGCGGTGTTTCGCGACGACAGATAGGGCAACTGCCGGATAGAGAGGAGGTTTTGTTCGTGAAGTGTTAATGAAGCTCGAGTGCTGCAAGGGCCAGCGGGTCTCTTCCGCGGCGAAGGCAGGGATTAGCGCCAAGCCCATGCCTCCACTCCATCACCCTTCCTGCACTACCACATCACATTGATGGCGCCCGTCCTAAGAGCTTATTCTTGTCACACTGCTGTGCGTGTAACTATATTGAAAGTTTATACAGTATGCTTCAAGAATTGTTTCAAACCATGCGAGGGGCTTCATCTGAAAACACTAAATCCGGGACCCGCAATGGTTCAAACAAGAGTGTAACTTTGTAAATAGTAGATCATATTTTGTGGGCTTCATTGCTGGAATCCTCTAGATACCCCATCCGGACACAGTTTTGAAGAGTTTACAGTCGTACATAGAGAAACAGCAGGTAAATTAAAAATACTTAGAAATAAAGCCACACATGTGAAAAGTCACGGCATTCGAGCCCAAGTCCGTGATCCCTCCCACCCAAACACGCCCAGTAATGCTATTGCTTGATCGTATCCTCTAAGAGAGGTAAAAGGCTTCAAAAAGGTAAATGACACCGAAAATGAGGAAGGCAATCGCGCCACCAAGAGTCACTGTGCAATGTTAGACGTGCTTTATGACCATAGAGAGAGATCTTCTTACCATTGCGCATACTAATGCGGCCAGCGATGGCACGGCCGCCAATAACGGCACCTGCAGTACACAGACCATGGCCTACCACGGCACCAGCAGTGACATACCAATAGTCTGAACCAGCAGCCATGGCAACTGTGGCAATCTGACTGCGGTCGCCCCATTCACCGAGGAATGTCATGACAAATGTCTGAACCCAAGCGGGGCTTAGAAGCAAAGAAAACAGGTTGTTGACAGCACCCATTGTGCCGGACATTGAGCCCCCGCGTGGAGATGGCATGCGGTCAGGTGAGCTAGAGGGGCTTCGAGCAGGTGCGGGTAGTCGCGAATTCGATCGTGAGCGTCGTACACCACGGCCAGACTCCAAAGCGTAGGGAGAGACAGAAGCCTTTCGGCGGCCCTGGTGTCGTGCAAGTTGCTCCTTTTCCTCCAATTCCTGCTCCACCTCTCGCATCTCTTCCCCAACACCTTCATCCGGGCTCATGGCGAGGCCTTCCTTAATGAGCCTTACACCGAAGACGAGGAAGAGAGCGGCGGCAGCAAAATGCGTAAAGCGTTCAGAGAGCAGTGCAGGGACAGCATGGCCCATGACGGCAGAAAGCACTGTCATGACTACCAAAGCAGAGAAGGCGGCAGAGAAAACAAGTAACCGTGGGTGTCGCATGGCCATGAGAGCGGCTACGAGGAACGTCTTGTCACCGATTTCCGAAAATATAATCATGGTAAAGGCAAGGATCAATGAGTGGAAGGGCTGTACAACGCCGGCGTCGGCATCCCCGCCGGGCGTCAAAGAGGGTGTCTTGGATGACGAAGAAGTGTCTAAAGGATCTTTGCTGGACACCGAGTTTGGAACGGGGATGGGATTGTCATGAGGAGAATCGGGAAGGTCGGTTGGTTTCTACAGTCAAGTCAGCATCATGTCGTACTTGTGGCCACTTTGAATCCTACCTCCAAGCCGCCTGCACCGAGTACGCGCGTAGGAGTTGCTGCATCTCCCGCGTCTCCCTTCAATTGCTTCTGGTCGTGGGGGTGAGGAGGCGCCTCCTTGGGCGATTCAGGAACCTGTTCCATCTTCGAGCCCGTCTTTTCTTCATGCGCCAAACGCTCCTTGTCTTTTGCAGAAACTCCACCCTCGGTGCCTTTGCTGCCCGTAGCCAGTTTCCGTGTGGGATCTTGCATGACGCTCTTGTCGCCATCGAGCACATCGTCGACCAGAACGGTGCTGGCTGCTGGCTTCTTTGCTGCCCCTAGGTCCTCTACGACATTCGGAGCCTTGCCATGAGCCTTGGGTACGTCGGCAACATATGGACCGTGGTGAGGCAAGCCATCGTAGCCGTCGACGGGTGCATCTTTGGTGCCTTTTGCAACTGTCGGCGATGCAACAGCAGGGTCGGCGAGAAGGGTGGCGTCGGGGGAAGCGGGTGCGGCAGCTCGCGCGAGTCGTTTGTCGGCAGTGATGTCAACTGGGCCTGGTGTAGCGAGGACTTGGAGAGCGGGCAAGAGAAGCAGCAAGATCTGCGGCCCTGGCTGTCGTAACTTCATGATGAAAGCAATTGGGATGTGAGCGAGGGAGGGTACAAGGGGACGAAAAGGGTCTTGGGCGACGAATTGAAACGTGGACAGGAAAAGGGTCGTAAGTGTACGTATGTAGAGAGAGCGACGAGAAGAGAAGAAGATGTGGCGAAGGAATGTGGAGGTGCAACGGGTTAATTGGATTCAAGTTGGAAACAGGCGTGCTTGGCGTTTGGGCGTATGCGTACGCCAGTCGAGTTACACTGGGGTGAGCGGCGTGTGGAGGAGGGCGCAGGCACAGGTGTGCAGCCAGCCCACGTATTATATTTAGTCGGCGTGTGTACGCAAGCACACCAGGCACTAGTTTAGGGGGGTTTTTCTTTTCAGGCAATTCTGACAGTGGAGTGAGCAAAGGCGGAAACATCCCTTGGATGCCGTAGTCCCGTCTCGACCTCAAACGCTTCGTATGCACGTCTTCACTGGCCTCCCCCCTGCCCAAGTTTGAGGCCCACCCCTAGGCTGCGACGGCCGCTGGCTGACTCATGCCTGGTGCCGGCCACGTGACTGCCCGTTGGGCGGGCGTCCTTAGTCAGCTGCAGTCGCGCATCAGACGGTAAACAAGTCAAGTCAGCATCACCACCGTTGATACTCACGTACGCCGTCTGCACTTGGTCGCGCCACCCACGCACCCTCCGCCGCATGTTCTGCTTGTCGATACAACGTGCCCTTTCGAATCCCAATGGCTGACAGTAGAGGTGTGCGGTCTGCAGGCCGACGCGAAACCCCTACCCCACAACTACCACTCTCCAAAACTGCCGCGACACAAATAGCGCGCACATCACGCGCAAGAAGCTTGCGCAGTGCAAGCCGCGAAATCACAGACTTTGTTCCTGTTGAGAAGCCCACCCGTCGATCCGCGCGCCAGGCAAGCGTCACTTCCGTAACCGGCGAGAATGAGAGCGAGGAAATCCAAGCGCGTCAGACAAGGCGCGAAGCCATGAAAGAGGCGTTGGAAGGTCAGTAGTCACTTTGCGGCCCGCTACATAACCTGCGAACCCCTACGCAGTCGCGAATGGATTACCAGCTGCTAGACTCGCCCATGGCTGATCATGAACGTGCCTTTAGACCTCACTGTCGTAGAAGAAATAGATACCCAGTTAGCGCTCGACGAGATTGAACCCCCAGGCACGCCCGAGCACGCAACTCCAGAAATTCCCATGCCATTCCGTTCCCCCGGCGGCATATCCGAAATGTCCGGAACCACTGCGATCTCTTCTTTCAGCATGGTCGAGGCCGAATTCTTGGAGTCCAGGTTCATTGTAAAACACTTGCGCAAGCTTTGCGATTCTGCGGACGAATTCTTGGAACACATTGCGCCCAGCGGTGCGACTATGCCGGACGATTTACGAAACATAAAAGAGATGCAGAAGCCGGGCTCCGCCTATTCCGAGGAGTACCTTGACTATGAGATAGAACTGAATGTGCATCTGAAGCACTTCAAGAGCGAAGATCACAGCTACATCCATGTTCGCGCGCTCCATCGCGCTCTCTTCGGCATTGACAAGCAGACTGCCGCATCGGATGCCGGCCTCGATCTGATATTATACCTGACGAACTTGCTCGTTTTTGCGAAACAAATGATTTATTCCGACCGAGATGACAAGACCATGTGGGATGTGCTACGACAGCTAGACAACACTTTCCCTGCACAATTCATGCGCTCACTGGACCCTAATGCACATCCGTCCGGTAAAGGCGAGAGCAGACTGTATAGAGAGACATTCCTGCTTGCACTGGAGCTGCGGACACAACTGGCGATATTGGTGCTTCAAAAATTGACCGACAGTCTCGACTTTGATCCCGAAGAAACAATAAACGAGATCTTCCTCCGCTCGGAATCATCACAAGCTGTAGATGGCTCTCCAATTCGTGGTTGGAACACTGCAGCGTTGGGAGGCGACGAGTGTCCATTACCCCAAGAACTTCAAGATCAAGTTGTAGCACGTTTGAATGAGATTCAGCAATACTTCCTAACGGACGAGGATTCATTGCAGCGTGGTGAGCTTGTCGAATTGGAACGGCTGAGAGAGAAATTTCCTTGGGAAGCAACGATTCTTCGCTTGTTAGCATGGGTGCGTCTGCGACGCAAGGAGCTGCTTGGTGCGATTGAGGATCTTGGTGGAGCAGTGGCAATTGCGCGCGACGTTAAGAAGCTCTACGAGGAGCCACAGCCTGTGATTGAGCAAGCGAATGGTCCGTCCAATCCACAAGAATCGCCGCGGAGGAAGCGGACCTCATTCGGACGAGAGAGGCGACGCAGCAGCCGCAAGTTTGATCCCAACGCTGCTGTAGACTTTCGTGCCATTGATATGCTGAAGGCCAGGGAACGCGACTCTGGAGTAGATTTCGAAGTTAATCCTTCTCGACAGGACCAGAGCAAGGAGCCGGCTCAACACGTAGAGGAAGCAGAAGGAAAGAAAGGAGAAGAACAGGTGCAGGGAGAAGAAGAGCCTCTCGCAGAACCCTCGCAACAAGATGACATTCAGCCGATACTAGAAAACGACAAACAACAGCAGCAAACAGAAGAGGAACCACAGGATCACGCACAGCCGGAAGAGGTTACTGAGGAAAGAGGAAATCAATCTGAAGAACCTGCCGCGTCTAATCCGCCGCAAAGTTCAGCAGCTTTACTCAAACGCTTGAAAGCTGTAGGGAAACCTCAGAAGGAGAATCGCCCAGTGTCAATATTCGACCGGCAGGTTTCTGCGCAGCGTGTCGAGTTTGGGGATGGCTTCGACGAGACACAGCCTACGCCGGGGCCGTCCAACACAAACAAACCAAAGCCGCCTCCAGAACCATCATCACGTAAACGCTCACGACCAACGGACGACTCTGACTCTGACGATGCATTCGAAAGCGAAGACCGTGGTCTCCGCGTCCCAGAACGCCGGCGCAACGCCCCAATCAGCAAAAGAGTTCGTATCGACCCTCCATCATCCGCTCCTCCACCGAGTCATCAACCTCCATCACAACAACCACCAGAGCAAGCAGAGTCCGTCTCCGAGCCCGAGGCCCCTGAGATGACTGAAGAAATTCCATCCTCAAACTACCAGGCGCAACGTCAACTTGCTCAGGAAAACCAGCGACTCCAGACTCGCAGGTATCGCAACGAGCGCAAACCCCGCCAAGCCTGGTCCAACGAGGAAGAAGACGCCCTATGTGAATACATGCGCATGTACCCGGCCAAATACTCCACAATCCTCACATACGACAAGAGCAACGGCAACTTCCTAGACGGCCGCACACAAGTCAATCTCAAGGACAAGGTCAGGAACATGGCGCTTAACATGATCAAGTAAGTTGTACATCTACTATGAGGCTTTGTATTTACGAAATCAACTTGCTAATAACGTGATAGATCTGGTACTGGACTCCGCCCAGGCTTCGAATACATTGTCCACCCCAAAGAGAAATACGGTGCCGCCCTGGTGGAAAGCGGATGGCTGATGCGCGATGATGGTGAGTGGGTGCGCCAGGAAGATGCATGAGTGTGTAAGTATTATGGTTTAATGATGTACTTGTTACCATTTTTTTGACTCTTAACCCCCCCTTTTTTTAACGTGGAAAAGAAATTTTGCTTCGTACAGGTGGTATGGGGTGGAGGAGGTGGATCGTCAACGCTTTTTTTTTCTTCTGGTCTTTCGTTCTCTTTTCTTCAATAGTTGCCGATACTCTTGATACCCACGGCTTGTTTGGCGTATGAAATCGCACGTTTCATTTTGGCTCGCTTCCTGAGCCCATACCCTTTTTTTTCTTGTCCACTTACAAGTACACAAAGTTTGAAATTCTTCATGTGATGTTCTGAGTTATTCTTATATCCGTTCTCGCCATCTAACCCCCCACTCGCCCTTTGCAAAGCTCGCCTCTACAACAGCACCCTTCATGACAGCCTCGCATTTCCTCTTCTCAGGCTCGTCGGGAACGGTGAAGCCAAAGGCACATCCGCGTCTCGCGGCCTTGCGCACCATTTCCCTTTCATCTGCTTTTCGCTGGCCTTCACGGCGCTTCAATTTCATCTCGTCCGTCTCTTCGATACGCTCGGCCCAGCCTTTTTCGCCGCCAACTGAGCCATTGACGTCATTTTGGGCTTGAGGCGGCCGGATCTTGCCGGATCCGTAGCCATATTCTATTGTATCCGGGAGAGCATGGGATGTGGTTCCTGGTGGCGACGAAGGATCCAATACAATACCGCCTTCGGCCTCGCCCTCTGAGTCTGACATGGTGTCTTCGTCGCTGGTAAGATCTGGTGGCGGGGGCTGTGTTGAAGTTTCCGTGCTGCTGGAAGCAGTTCCTGGTGCGGGATGATCGATCATATCTACGCTTCGCCAGTCCTCTGGTTTCTCGACTACGAAGCGTGCTTTGCGGTTTTTCCGACGCCCGTACACTTTTTCGGGGTCTTTTTCGCGCTGGAAGACGATTTCTTCCACAGTGCTGCATTCGACGATGACTCTGTGGTCGCCCTTTGTCGTCTTGGAGGGCTTCTTCTTGTGTTTCTTTTCGCCTTTGCGGCCTTTTCCATGCTCGTGGTCTTCTTCATTCCGATCCGTCTTAACGCCATCACTTGCAGGCTCGGCCCCGGCACCTTCCTTCAACGACTCTATGCTCGCACCGTTTAGCAGGGCTGCGAAGGTGGCTTCGATTTTACGGTCAATCGGGCCGGGTTTGCTGTTGCGGCATCTCGCTGAGCAGTACTTTACTTCTGCGGCCTTTTGTGTTTTACGTCGGTCGCCGATGACTCTACCGCAGCTGTGGCAATATGGGACTGAGTCGCCGACGGTGAGGTATAGGGGCGGTGGAGTGACGGCATGTTTGCTCGGACGAGACCAAGAGTCCATCCACGACATGGTGTTGGTGCTAGTGCTGAGGCTCCTGGTAAATAGTAGATATGGTGACGAGCGGATTTTGGTTACGATACAAATTGAAATGATTGACAATTGTGTTTGATGGAAGTTGGTCGAGATTATGAGGCTCGAGAGTTTCGGGGTACGGGTGCACGACGTCATCGGCACCTGTAGTGGTACGCGATTGTCTGCAGGAGCACACTGTGCCTCGCAGGCGGTAAGGACAGTGAATCTCTCATTGCGAACACTCTCGAATAGCACTTGCAAAACCCGATGGTGACGTATTCGAAGTTACAGCTGGGTGCAAGTAGGCGTGTCTGCGGCACGTGGCTATGCGCACCCATGAGTTTTTAGGCGTCCCCAGCAAACACCTTCCATCGACTTTAATACTACATTCCAAAGCCCATCGCTCGCGGGTGACGGGAAGTGAGATTATGGTCGTTGTTGCACCACCTCCACCAACCCCCAGCCGAGCCCTCGGATGTTACTCGTCTCTGTTTTTGAAAGTTGCCGAGCTTAGCAATGCTCCGACTCGGCAATGTGAGCGCGCAAATTCGACTCACTAAGTAAGGTCCGTTTCACCGGAGGGAATCATGGAGAGGATATATGACCCCCGCCCGGCGCTCCGCTCGCTCTGGCAGCTGGGTTAAGGCGCCGGAATTTTGTTGAACCTCCTTGGGCTCTATTCTGCGCAGAACTTCAGATCACGTCTTGCCCTGGGAATAAAGCCCCGTTGCAAAGCGGACAAATGGAGCGCCTATCGCTATCTGCAGCGACCTCAATACCGACATCTGTCTTCGCACAGTCATCCCCCCATCACGACTTCATCGCCAGCCGACGAATTCCGAGAGTGCCCCGTCGTCGCTGGAAGAAAGTAAAGTCGCTGCCAAGACCCAGAGAATCCGTCGCCATGTCACCTGCACTGGACCCCGCGACGGGTGAAACCGGCCCCAAGGCATCGCGTGCGCAAGCCATAGAGATCAACTCGACCCCGGACTTCGGACGTCCCAGGCGGACTACTGCCCAGAGCGATATCCAGGACACCATCCAGCACCCGGGCAGCGTGCGCATCAATGTTCAGGGCGCTTTCATAGTCGACGAGGAGCAGCCGGATACCCCGAAGAGCGAAGACTACGAGCACGATCCCCACGACATTCGCCTGCCCAACCACACGGCCGTCGTGAGCCATGTAGCCGTTGATGTGAGTGCTCCTGCGCGATTCTTTGCTTGTTGTTGCGCCCGGTACGCGACCATGCGCTGTCGCCTTCTCCCCGCGCCGACCCCCTGGCAAAAGTATAAGCGGCAACATGCTAATGCGATTTGGTAGATTGGAGGCTCTCTTGCCAAACTCGTATACTTTTCGCGCGAACCAGGCGACGATGCGGCGGGCGGACGGTTGAACTTTTTCAAGTTTGAGACGGATCGCATCGACGCATGTATAGAATTTATGCGCAAGCTCAAGGACGACCAGAAACAACACAATGATTCCAAGTCGCAGGATCTGTGCATCATGGCCACGGGGGGAGGCGCATTTAAGTACCATGAAAAGATTACACAGGCGCTAGATGTCGAGGTCATACGAGAAGACGAAATGGAGTGCTTGATCATAGGTATGATTCTTGTCGCTGTCTATATGTTGTGACAGAACATCGCTGACAATGACGCTACCCAGGCCTCGATTTCTTTATCAACGAGATACCCGATGAAGTCTTCACCTACAGCGAAGACAGCCCTATGGAGTTCGTGCCACACCCTCCAGACCCACCAAACATCTACCCCTACCTCCTCGTAAACATCGGCTCCGGCGTCTCCATGATCAAAGTCTCAGGCCCACGACAGTTCGAGCGCATAGGCGGAACATCACTAGGCGGTGGCACACTCTGGGGCCTCTTGTCTCTCCTCACAGGCGCCCGCAGCTTCGACGACATGCTCCGGCTCGCCGAAAACGGCGACAACTCCTCCGTCGACCTCCTCGTCGGCGACATCTACGGCCAAGCCTACAACAAAATCGGCCTCAAAAGCACACACATCGCCTCCTCCTTCGGCAAAGTCTACAAGATGAAGCGCGCAGCAGAGCGCGAAGCAGAAGACGGCTGCAACGGCGACCTCAAGCGCAGAGAAGAAGCAGAACACGTCCAGGGCTCCGCTGAGCTCCCTCACACCCACGGAGCCTTCCGTCCAGAAGACATGGCGCGCTCGCTCCTCTACGCCGTCTCAAACAACATTGGCCAAATCGCTCATCTCCACGCAGAAAAACATGGTCTACCGCGTATCTACTTTGGTGGCTCCTTCATCGGCGGCCACTCACAAACTATGAACACACTATCCTACGCCATTCGCTTCTGGTCCAAAGACACTCGCCAAGCCTATTTCCTGCGACACGAGGGATATCTCGGTGCCGTCGGTGCATTTTTGAAGCGCCAACCTAGGAATTGGGGGAGAAGGGAAAGCTTTGCGGGGCCCGCGAGACCGACTTGAGGGGATTTTTTTTTACCTTTCGTCTTTCTCTCTCCCTCTTTCTCTCTGTGTGTGAGAGATCTCCCCCTCTTTATTCTCTATCCTTCATTTTTTTTCTTCCACTCTCTTCCAATCCATACGGATCGCGCTGTTCTTTTTTTTTCAAGGAAGGGGGGGGGGGGGGGAGGGGAAAGAACAGCTGGCGTACATGGTCGCATAGAAGATAGAGATTTATTCTTCTTTTTTTCTTTTTTTCGGTAGTTATAATATTATCGACTAATACTGCCATTCATCGTTTTTTTCACGATTCAGTTGCTCAGAACGTTTTGAAGGGGAAAAGAAAAATACGACTCGATTGAGTGGATTTTTGCTCGGCCCGAGATAATTGCGGGAATTAAGGAGAAAATTCAAGTGTCTTTTGTTTTTTGGTCTCAACAAACATACCGGTCCGGCTTAATTGCGACCTGCTAGCAAGGTTGGGCCAGGAACGCATGTCGAGTTGCAGATTCAAAGATAGGCCCGTTGGCTTTTTTTCTTCTATGTGACACTAGCTGCGTCTCATTTATAGTACAATATAAGCCGGTTCTTAATAGCTTGGACTATTCCTCTTTTAGGGTTTGAAGTGATGCCGAATCCTTGTCAAGAGAGAGTTATCGGACCGCCATCTCATTCCCGATTAAGCAAAGCTTGTTAGCGAGGTTCGGTCTTCTGAGTATTCGACGTTGATCCTGTCTCGCCTTTCGTCGTATCAGACCCAGCAATTTGTTCAATGGGATTTGCTCTGGACCTTGTAGATGCGCTATCTGGCTGCTGAGTCTCTTTAATACCAACATCTCGATCGAGCGACTTGGCAACATTGCTCTTGTACGTAGGCTTCGGATGGTAGTGTGACGGATCAGGCTGGTTGAGGCCTGGCCCACGAGCCAACACTACATCAGAGGCATGCGCAGGCTCGAAAGTGGGGGGATCAAGCTTCTGTGCAGCCTGAAGGCCAGAGGCACCACTTATCGAGCCGCGAAGACGGTGGATGTTTGCGTGATCTGTATACTTCATTGATTCGGCGTCAGGTCCGACAGGGAAGATGGGATCAAGTTTGTTGGCTGCTTCGAGTCCGGATAAGGCACCTATTGAGCCACGGTACTCGTGTGGTGGATCGGGACCGTGCTGGTGTTTATGAGATGCATGCTAGGTATCTCCGAGACCATGTGAGGGGTTCCAGACGATTTCTTTGTTATCTGTAGATGATTAGTCTACCAATTAATGGAGTCATGTAGAAAGAATCGATATGGGTCGTAACAGAGATTGTGTAACTTGGTGCATACACTGGGACTCACCGGTGCCGTCGGTTTGCTGAATAGGAGGAAAGGTGTGTAAATCAGCTAAAACATTTAGCACAAATATCGAACATGGGAGGGGCATGATATGAAGGGTATAATGATATTAGATTATATGGCTTTATCTATCTGCGTGTATCGTATCCCGTACCACCAATTGTAGAAGTAGGATCAGCCCGATGATCTTGATCAGAGTCGAAGCGCGGGTCAAGCTTGTTGCCCATGTTGGTCGAATGGGGACCAGCATTAGTAGAACCGGTTGCTGTTCCCCTGTGGTCTGTGTCTGAATCAAATCTTGGGTCCAGCTTGTTGCCAATGTTGGAATCGTGCGGGCCATAGTTTGTAGACGTGGAAGTGTTATTCGTAGGAGCAACACCAGCACTTGTTGCATGACCGCGGTAGCCACGGTCCCATTCGTCAACTCCCTTATTGGCAATCTCTTGGTTCTTGACTGCGCTCGCCTTGTCACCACTTGCTTCGTCGACCATGGACATTGCATTGCCACGGATGGCTTCGCCAGTGCCCTGGAACCTGTCAGCTATCGGCTCACGGTATTCCTGTCCAGCTCAAGATATGCAAAGACTTACATGGACCATATGCACACCCTTGCGGATGGTATCGCCAAGGCTGGAACCAGAGTGTGCGCCAGTCATTTTGAGTGTGTCTAGTCGTAAACTATGAATAATAATTGAAAGGATCAGGTAGTAAAAGCTTAGGTGTGGAGGTCAAGAGGGGTACCAAGTAATAGTGGATAGAGAGAGGGAAAGGAGGGCAACATATACTGATGACGCTGCCGGCAGCTTCCACACCACATGCCATGATCTGCGCTGTCTCAGTAGGCAAGCATGTGCATGTGCAAATGTATGGAAAGGGCATGGCGACATAGTCTTGGAATTGTGATGTCATGCACTCGGGATGGTATAGCCCCGACGCCGACAGGGCTGAGCTAGGCTGCATTGGGCGATTGACGTATTGGAATAACGACGATAGCCTTTGATCGATGAATGACGTCGGATACGATACAGCTGAATATCGTAAAAAATGCTGATGATAGAACAGAGTCAAGAATTTGCAAGAAAATCGTGCTTCATCATGTTGCGTAGTGACAGCAGAGATTGTTTTGGTATTATAATGCCACCAGCAGTCTATCTTTATCTTCCAAGACCTCAATTGACCTCATCTTACTTAGTAAAGAGTCTATCCTATATATTTTATACAAATCCTCTGGTGAGGATAGTCTTTTAACCTATCCTGCATCAAAGGTCACCCGTACGCGCGTTGCTACGGGGTTAGTGTAGGAATGGTTACTAGCCTTTGATAAGGCTGCATACGTTCCATCCTCTATAGGACCAAAGCCTTCTAAACTCTTAAATTTTGCCTTGTCCATTTTACGATAGCAATAGCGATAGCGGAAACATAAATGAAGGAGCGCTAAACAGCACGAAACGACACGGAGCCGCATTTGTAGAGGCACCTACAAGACACATGCTGTATTCCAATGATCCGGCCTATCGATGGCTAACACCTGCTGGAAAAAAGTCTTAGGGAAACACAGCGTTAAGTACCAGCGATTGGAACCTATTGCTCCTGCTCTATGAGTATGAACCCCGCACATAAGATGCATTACCTTCTACCTGTTTCCTAATCGATATGAGTTGCACGACATAGATTGCACCTAACGGTAGGCGTTAAATTGCTTCCCCTCGTTCGGTAGGTCCAATCAGAGCCTTAAACGCAGGTTGACGTGTCAGTTGTGGGTGTGGTTGAACTGCGGCTAGACTGCCTGATGCCGAGCAATCCTTCAAGCCTAGGCCTCGAGGCTGAATGCTCGGCATTCATCTTCTTGATCGAGTCTCTCTTTGGTCTCCCCAACAAAAACATTTCCATTCAACTCCTTTTACCTTTTGGGGACGCTGTGTGCTCGGTGCTCTTTTGATCGAATTGGTAGCTGTCGAGCCACCACGCAAACCGACCGCAGCCGATCTGGACCCAAGTCCAAATTCATCCTCTCAAAGACCCTGTGTTTTTCTCTCGCAATGGCTACACAGATGCCTACCAAACCCAGAACTCATAACGACTACACTGGGATGGGTCTGCGCACTACCTAAGGAGCAGACCGCAGCGAAGGCTATGCTAGACCAAGAACACCCGACTCTTTCCAAGCCACCAAACGACCAGAACTCATACACTCTTGGGTCCATCAAAGAGCACAACATCGTAATAGCCTGCCTACCGAAAGGTAAGTACGGTAATAATCCGGCAGCGACAGTAGCGACCCGGATGGTTAGCACTTTCCCGTTCATCAAGGTCGGCCTCATGGTTGGCATCGGCGGCGGTATTCCACCTAAGGTCAGACTCCGCGACGTCGTGATTAGCACACCGGCCGGTCAGTACCCTGGAGTGGTCCAGTGGGATATGGGCAAAGCGGAAAAGAATAGCAATTTCAAACGAACTGGTGCGCTGAATAATCCTCCAAGCGCACTGTTAACAGCGTTGACGATACTGGAGAGTAATCATGAGATGCGTGGATCTAAAACACGTGAATACCTGGACGATTTGGGAAAGAAATGGCCAAATATGGTGCCAAAGTACACAAACTCCGATTCCCTTGAGGATCCTTTGTTCAGGCAAGACGATTCCCGTCGTGCTCTGAGCAGCTGGAAGGCCATGCTCTTAATGTTCTGGGAGATGATGCTATTTCTTCTCGGGTACTTCTTAGGCTAGCGGGCACTGGATCCCATGAGTAGTGGGGCCGAGCAAGCGACAAGAAGCGTAGCAAAGTCCAAGAATGATGGGACTAAGAGGAAACCTGGAGACATGCGCGTCCATTACGGCTTAATCGCATCTGGCAATCAAGTGATCAAGGATGCCAAGTTTCGTGATAGTCTCAATGCGAGCCTAGACGGACATGTTTTGTGCGTTGAAATGGAGGCTGCAGGACTGATGAATGACTTCCCCTGCATCGTTATCCGGGGTATTTGCGATTATGCCGACTCAGAAAAGAACAAGGATTGGCAGGAATATGCTGCAGCAGTAGCTGCGGCATGTGCAAAGGAACTTCTAGAACATGTACAGCCAAGCGATGTTGACGGGGAGCGTCCAGTCAAGGACATACTGAGTGACGGTTAGTTATTCTCGAGATCTTGTGTAGATTTCATAGCAAGCTTCTGATAACATTGTAGTTCATGACACTGTCTCTAAAACTGAGGCCGATGTCAAAACAGTGAGGTCCAGGCTAGACAGAAAAGAAGACCTTGATGTCCTCAACTGGCTCACGCCAACCGACTACGGTCCTCGACAAAGTGATGTTCTCAGAAGGCGAGAACAAGGGACTGGGCAATGGATTTTAGACTCTTTTAAATACCAGAATTGGCTCAAGACCGAGAAGCAGACGTTGTTCTGTTCTGGCATTCCGGGAGCGGGAAAGACAATCCTCACATCTATTGTCATCGATGACCTCACCACACAGTTTTCTGAAGATCCAAGCGTCGGTATTGCGTACATATACTGTAACTTTCAGCGGCAATCCGAGCAGAGTATTGACGATTTGCTGATAAGTCTTCTGAAACAGCTTGCTGAGAGCCAGCCCTCCTCATTGGAGAGCATCAAAGATCTCTATCGTCGCCACGATACCCAACGAACACGGCCGTCACTTGAGGAAATATCGAGTACTCTTCGTTCTGTTGTAGCCAGCTACTCTAGAGTTTTCATTGTCGTCGATGCACTTGACGAATGTCAGACATCCAACGACTGCCGGGGGAGGTTTCTATCAACGATTTTCGACCTTCAGGCTAGTATATTTGCAACTTCTAGGATAAACGGTGAAATTGCGAAAGAATTTGAGAATGCTACATCAATAGAGATCCGTGCGACGGATGGCGACGTAGATGTATATCTCAATGCACGAATGAAACTTCAATCATCGGATATCTTAGACGATCCCATTAGAGCCATGATCAAAGAAGAGGTCATTGGCACAATCGATGGGATGTAAGTCATACAACCGACCAAAATAAGATGATTTGAAGATAGTAACGTTGGAAATTAGGTTTCTACTAGCAGAGCTACGCATAAACTCACTTATAACCCTGCCCACAAAAGGACATATCAAGGAGGCCTTGAGAAATTTTGCGAAGGGAATGGAGGGTTTGAAAGCAATCTACGACATGGCGATGGAAAGAATCGAAAGCCAGGGAATAGAGTCTCGAGACCTAGCGAAACAGATTTTGGCATGGATTGTTTACGCCAAAAGGCCACTTTCCACTTCAGAACTCCAACATGCCGTTGCGGTCAGACCGAACATTACCAAACTGGACAAAGACTACCTTCCTACCATCGATCGGCTTCGATCTCTCTGCGCTGGGTTGGTCACAATCGACGAAGAAAGCAACATCATACGACTGGTCCACTATACCACCCAAGAGTACTTCGAGCGCATCGGAAATAAATGGAAAACAGACGCTCAGTTCCATATTGCCTCAACATGCCTCACCTACCTATCGTTTGATGTGTTTAAAACAGATCCCTGCTCATCAAAGGAAGAACTTGAGAAGAGGTTCCAAGAGAACGAGTTCCTGGCCTATACCGCTAAGCACTGGGGCAAACATGCTGCAATGGTTGAAGGTGAGGTGTGTGAGCTAGCTTGTTCGTTTCTTTCAGACAATAAGTTGGTTTCAAACGCTGCACAGGCTTGTATGATTCAGAAGAGAATTTATATGGATTATAGCCAGGTATATCACGAGAAGAGCACAGGATTACATCTTGCCGCACAATCGGGATTATCACTAGTGTTAGAGGCAATGCTTCCAGAACAGAAAGAAGAAAGAGTAAGCATACTAAGAATAAAAGATGGGTACGGGCACGATCCATTGCATATTGCGTCAAGAGCTGGAGACTATAGAACAGTGGAAATGCTGCTTAACAAAGGCGCCGACCCTAATGGGCAAGAGAGAAATCAAGGCAGTGCACTCTGTGTGGCTTTAATATCTGGCAACATGGAGATTGCAAAGATTCTGCTTGAAAAAGGCGCCAACCCTAATGAGCATTGCCGAAATGGCATTACTGCACTCTCGATAGCTTCATCGTTTGGCCACATAGATGTTGTTAGGATTCTGCTTAAAAATGGCGCCAACCCTAATGGGCGTAGTAGAGAGAGGATTAGGGCATTCCCGTGGGTTGAAGGATATAGAGACGCACTTACTGCGGCTCATGTTAGAAAGAACTACGAGGTCGTGAATCTGCTTGTTGAGAATGGTGCTGAAATCGTGTTGGAAGGAAAAAAGGATAGGAGGTATCCTTTTTGGTCTGATTACTTTAGCGAAGACAGGGAGAAGCCTAAATGGCTGAAGATTAGACAGATATCATGATAGATCTTTAGAAGAACCACACAGTGTGTTGTGTAATGAGAGGTACGGATCGTATATCTATGAGTGTTTAGCACGCAGCGATAGACGACAAGCGCAAATGACGTATCCTAGCTCCTCCTCATAACCGATCCTTAAGCTCCATTTTCACAGACTTAGAACTAGAAAACAAGACAAGACACATCCTAGATGTATTTCCGACGACGTACAGAACTTGTAAAAGTTTCCTTTGTATAGTGCTATTTTAGGTCGCCCACGCCAAGGCGCTTTGTGTGCAGTGAAGGGTGTTTGGTGAATGGCACCGCTCCTACCGTCTTGTATCGAGCGTTTGTTTACACCGCAACGTCACTATTGCATTCTTCCAACAATTGCTCCATTCCTTCCACATTTACACCTCAACCAAACAACATCATCAACAACATCTGAACAGAGGCAGGTTTTTCTCAACACATGCCTCGCACCTCGCTGCAGCCATGCTAACATATCCAGATAGACAGAGATTTGAACAAATACGAGCTTTGTAGGAAACAGCGCGGTCGGATGAAGAAGATACAGCAGATATGGTAAGCTGGAGGGATAAACCAGCACCTCAGCAGCCGATGAGCGCGGATCTACATGAGAACGGCGCCCGCAAGTTTCGGAGAAAGCTCAGTTACGGCCTCTCTCTCATATCTAATCCTCTCTCCCAACGAAAGATCACCCCAGGACGCAATCAAGTTGAGACTAATTCATTGGCTGTCAATGAGGCCTCCATATCTGACGCCATCACTGCGGCCTTTGCATACGATCCCCCAGCATTACTAGCGCGCGAATCGACGTCTCTCATAAACTTCAGTGACTTGACAAAGGGTCTAGTAGGAAAAGAGGATACCGATACCTCGACTCAGAGTGAGGATATTGATATCATCCCCAAGCCACTTCCTCGCTCGCGCACGTTGGGCTTCATCCCACTCTCCACCGGCACTGAGCCTCATACATTAGCGACAGATATCAACGAATCCGTCAAGCTTTGCTCTTCGCCGGTGATTCCTATATCTGGACTAGGTTCATTGCCTTCAAAGATCCCCTCACCTAGTCCTCCGTTGTTCGTACATCGGTGCGCTAGTCCACGTCGATATCTTCACCACCAGACATCCTTGAGTGCATCGCAACAAACCAAATACATTACTGCAACTCAAGCCGTCGTCAGCCCCAACGAATGCTCACCTGAAACGATTTCACAGCCATTACGGTCACGTACAACACCAAACCTTGTGAAGGGATCGAACGCGCGACAGACTGCAGGGTTTATGGCTCCTAGGCAACCAGGACCCAAGAAACCCAATGTATCCCAAAGACCCGAGAAGCAAGTATTACAGGAAAACATCCCTACCGAAAAGCACATTATGAATAGACGGTCGCAAATACAAGAGAGTATGCTGAAGCGTGAGTCTCTTGCAGTTGCAGGAGCTCTATACGACAGGAGGTCTTTTGGACCAAGCACTCCAATTATGCAGGGCAGAAGAACAAGCTTCGCAACTCAACAAATAGCAAGCAAACAAACGAGTTCCCATCTTATTCAAAATACTCCAGCCACTGCAAAGAGAATTCGGTGTGAGGAGCAAACTGTACTGCCACTACCAAGCCGCCTTACTATAAAGCCTGGCCTAGCCTCAATGCCTTCATTTCCAAACACCTCGACAAAGAAAATCTCACACATGGTTCGTTCCTCAAAGCCAGCTTTGCTACGTTCCTATACACAAGCAGATTTGTCGAGGAAAACACTAGGTACGCCGAATGGCCTGGGTGGCGTTTGGCGGCCGTCTCGTGCGCTTGCTGTGGTAAATCACGAGGTGAGCAAACTTCCGCGCTCCAATACCTTCCATTGTCTTGGACTTCAGCCGGAAGCTGCTCCGTCGATGTCTCTTCTGCCACTGCACCACAGAAAGCTATCCCTGTCAGAGACAACGCAGCATTTACGCATGAGTCAAGATACGCCCGCCATGCCTCGCCATGGAAGAATAATATCCGATACTATCCCGTGCCAGTCAATACCTGAAGAGAACGGAGAAGAGGTGTCAATTCAGGGTTGCACAAGTATGCCACTTGAAGCTACAAAAGCCTCTACTCCATCAGAGACGCCCAGTTCATCAACTTTCAGTCTTACGATATTTCCCTCGTTACCAGATACACCTCAGCCTTCAGTTTTGGGAGCACCGCCTGTACCAGGCACAACCGCGAGATCGTCACAGGAAGTTTCGCGCGGGACTTTAGGAAACGTTCGGGGGGAAGAGATGCCAGAAGATGCTAACAATAGTGTTTTCCAGGTCAAAGATTACATGCCACCTCTGTATTGGGCTGGAAGATTTCAGTCTCGGTATGACCAGTGGCGTACTGATGCTATGAATGCGGAGTTGAATGCTCGGCCAGGCCAGCGAGGAGAGGACCCGTTGAGCGAATACAGGCTCGACCAGGGAAACCTTGCTGCATGCCATATCTTCGCGCAGCTGCGTGCTCTATGTACTACTGAACAAGCAGCAGACAGCCTTTGGGTATGTGATCTTTCTTGTTTCTTTGGCTATCTACTGACTGGTTGGTTCTAGGAGTTCGAGTACAAGTATCGAAAGGATCATAGATTGCTTGGCAATCTAGCCGATCTTCCAAGAAGAGCTCCGCCTAAGCAAAGCGATAGCGAGACTGTTCCGGTGACTGGAGCTGGTACCCTTGAACGAGCCTTAAGAAAAATGACCCCCCGCAAGAGTAGCCTTGTCAATCTCATGAAGGGCAAAGGATGGAACAAATCGGATGAGATGAAGGAAAATGATATGTTGGAGCAAGATCGGGAGACACCTTCGCGGAAGTCTTAGGCCCCTGTACATGCCGACGAGCATATCGAGAGTGAAACGGACTTTCCGCTTTCAATGACTGAATGGACCATTCATTGAGAAATAGTATTTATACAAAATCACAGTGGGAAAGGCGTTGTGACGCAGTCAAGAGTATTGCATATATTGCTTGTGAGATTATGCAGTTAGGCCGCAGTGCAACTTTAGGGGATAGTGAGCCCGGAACTTAATGAGTGCGTAGGAGGGGCATATCAATAACGTATGGCCTGACGAAATATAATCTTAATGAATCGCGCGAATTCTGCAATGGCTATTCCTTCTTCTCACTCGGCTTGGGTGATAGCTCTTCAACGATATTATTCGGGTCTTTCCACGCCAGAGCAACATACTTAGTATGGCTTCCTCGAGCAAAGATCTCTCCTTTGCTGTTGCTGAAGTTGATTGATGTGAAGGCTAACGTTTTGCCGACTTTATTCCTATTAGTAAGAAGGCATTGATGAGCAACCGAGATATAGATACATACACTTGTCGCATGATACTTCGGCTTTGATCAAGTCTCCGACCTTACCGCCCGAGGAGAGGTAAGTCACATTCAGGTCAGTGGAGACGCCGGTTGCGAAAAGGCCGCGAGATGCTACGGCTAGAGAGCCACCGAGATCGACTGCAAGGTATCAGAAATAGACGAGTTCGAGGTGGAACTATACAAAAGTACCCATGCTGGCGATCGTTCCTCCATGAAGAATGCTCAACCGGTTCTGGGAGTTGCAGATTAGCATATGGAAAGCTTCGGTAATACCTTGGATGATGTTATGATGGGATACAAAGGGGTAAATACTCACTGTGTGCTCCTTCTTTATGTCTAGCTCAAACTTGACGCGTCCCGGGACTGCCGACGTCACTCGAAGCTGATGAACCAATTGGTGATGAGCCTTGTTCATTCAGTCGAGTTGAATCCCAGAGTGAACTTACGCCGTCCAGAAGTCTTTGAAGTAGTTAGGTCAATGCTGCCGGTATACTATCTAATCGTGGGGGTGTACCTTGGCTCCAGACCCGAGTTGGCTCGGAATGACTCCCAAACCTATTATATTGGTCAATGGCCATAATTTTAGCATTTCTCATTGCCTATAGTACTCACATATCGTACAAACTTCAGTGCCGTCATAATCACGGTCTCGTTTCTCGGTGTGCGAAGAGTGATGTAGTTGGGTCCCGCTCGGCAGTTGGCTAGGTATCTCGGAAGCTAGACAGGGGTGGAGCGGAATTGTGGGGGAGCATCTTTCCGCTCATTGGGCGCGCGCGTCACCTTACTTTCTTTGAACGACCAGCGACTTTCGACTTTCGACTCAAACAGGCTGCAGCCGGCGCAACGCACGCGTCTTGCCCGCCGCTATCCCTCCTGCTCATTGCAGCATCCGAATATGATAATACGGCGGTAAAACAACGTTAATTCTTCACCACATCCATCAAGATGTCGGCCTCGTCTTCTGCTCAGGCGCTGGAATACCTTGAGGGTCTCCCGCTGGCCACACACAAGAAGCTGTATGAGCAGCCTTCGACAGTTCTGGCGGTATTTCGCTGCATGTTACCGCATCTTGGTAAGTAAAGGCAAATCGAATAGTGCTTGCAGAGCTAATAAGAGCATCAGCCAAATCAATAGTCATGGCTATGCTGTACATGCCCACTCCCTTCCCTGCCGCCGACCTCGATACCTGGTTCAAACCCACTGCGCGCAAAGAGAAAGAGCGGGCGACCTTTACTCTCGACCGTCTGCATATCATTACCTCGGCGCGACAGGACAACGGCACTCTATCGTGGACACTCAATCCAGGCTTCCAGCGCAGCCTCCGAAATGCCATCGAGGGCTCTGGCACCCATCGTTCTTTTGGAGTACCGGCGACAAAAGAAGAAAGTGGAAAGCGCGTCAGTATTGAATTTTTGGACGAGTATTCGAGGTCGCAATGGGAGGGCATATTGTACTACCTTGTGAGCGGTGCGGCTGGTCTCAGCAAAGACAGCATCTCTAGAGCTGAGGTTGGTCCTGGCACAAAAAAGCTATTACATACTGGCGATCTAGTGCGTACTATACATGGCAGTCCAAGGATCACAAAAGATGGCTTCTCTTTCGTGCTACAAGAAACGAATGCACAGGTTTGGAGTCTGCTGATTGTCTATTTGAAGATGACAAACGAGGTAAGCATTGAAATAAAAATCTTGCCTGACACCGTTTAACACTATTACAGCTCGGGATGTCTGAAACCGAAGTTCTCTCATTCCTTTTCATGCTTGGTTCTCTTGAATTGGGCCAGGATTACTCCACCTCCACTCTCTCAGCGACCCAACTCCAAATGCTCGAAGATCTCTCTGCAATGGGCCTCGTATACCGCTCTGACAGGAATGCGCAAACCTTTTACCCCACCCGGCTAGCTACGACGCTCACATCAGATTCTGGCAGTGCCATGTCGGCATCCTCCAACGATATTGCACAAGCAAGCACAAGCACCACCGGACCTCCAACTGCAGCAAACAAGGGCTTCATAATCATCGAGACCAATTACCGCCTCTATGCCTACACTAACAGTCTGATTCAAATCGCCATTCTCTCTCTCTTCACCAAACTTCAGCATCGCTTTCCCAACCTCGTCTCGGGAAAACTAACAAAGGAGTCCGTTCACAAAGCCGTCCAGGCAGGCATTACCTCAGCACAAATTATCTCCTACCTAACCACCTATGCCCACCCGCAGATGCAAAAAACCGTCCCCTATATCCCGCCAACCGTCATGGACCAAATTCGTCTCTGGGAATATGAGGGCGAGCGCGTGGAAACGACAACGGGTTACTTAATGCGCGAGTTTGGTTCGGACGCCGAGTATAGAGACGTTTTGAACTATGCTAGTGCGCTGGGTGTACTGGTCTGGCAGAATGATGCTAACAGGTGTTTTTTCGTCAGCCATGTCGAGCAGATTAGTGCATACTTGAGGAAGAAGAAGGAGAATAGAGAGAATGCCAGGGGTCGATAAGGGAATTGGAAAGACATATATGGCGTTGTATCGTTGGCTCTCTGTATAGTTGATCTCATTGACATCAAGGCGTTCTCTTATGCATGGATTGGGGAAAAATAAGTGGTAGTTTGCACTAAGTAGTGATAGACAACATTTGAATTTTATGATCTTGGTATCTCTCTCTTTTCTCAAACTTTCCCAGTCTCACATCTATAGCTCCCCTTTTGATAAAATACGAGGAAAAAGAAGATCGCGTTGGAAAAAAAATAAACACACTATTACGCCATGCAGATGCAAAGAACATATCGGTTCTCCAAGTTCGTACGTTTTCTTGTCAATTAAATGAAAAAAAACACAGAGAATTCATCTCAACCCCACAAAATGCAACGTGATAAAACTATACCTCTCCGTCTCAGATAAGATCTTACTATTCCTCTTCATCTTCGCCCTCAAAATCCTCTGCGGCTTCTGTAGGAATAAGCACATTCTCAGGCCTATCATCATCTTCCTCGTCATCCACCGGATGGCTTGCACCGTTCACGCCCGCCTCACCCATTTGCACCTCCGGTGCCGTACTGGGCATAACGCCGCCATTCGCCTTGATAGCTTCGACCTTTGCTTTTGTCATTTCATACACATACTTACCCAGGTGCTCTACATCCTGCATCTGGGCCTCGCCTGGGATGGTAGTAGCGGCTGAGTCAATGGTACGCTGCGTCTCGCCGAACATTTCGTCGGTGACGAGTTCGAGCTTGTCGGATCGTTGGAGGAGGATGTCGAAGGCGGGTTTGAGCTCGAAGACGGATTCGAAGACGGAGCGGCGGCCGAGGATGTAGAGGCCTAGGCGTGCGCGGGAGAGCGCGACGGTGAGGCGGCGGATGGAGCGTAGGTAGCCTATTGAGCGGGTGCGGACGAGGGAGAGGATGATGTCTGTTTTGAAAAGCACATGTTAGTAATGCTCATGGTGAGTTGAGAGAATAGGAGGTAAGAACTTACAATCATTTTGCTCGCCCTGGTATTTGTCTACCGTAGCTACTATCCTTGGGCGCCCGAACAGTGGGTTGTTCTTACACTTGTGGCCTAGGACATCGTTGATCAAGCTCTTCTGACCGGCATACGTGGTGAGAATCGATATCTTGTTCGCGGGGTACCCAAGCAATCGCATGTACATGTACAAAGCGACAGCATATTCGGCTTCACCCAGGTTAATCATCCAGTGCGGTGTGGGCTGCTCTTCTCCTTTACCCTTGTAGTCTTGTACATCGATGAATTGGTACTCGTGCTTGAAGCCTGGGTTCGCGATTTGGAACTCGGGATTGGAGATGACAGAAGGCAGATTAGAGAGCGAAGGATAACGCCATTTGTAGAGCTCGGCGATGGATGCGCGGGCACGACCTTGCTGGTCGAGCATGATGGTTGGCACACCCAAGCGGACAAGCCGTTGGAAAAGTGACTGTTCCAGGTTGGCATATTGACGGAATGCGAGATTTTGAATGACGGGAGAGTTTTGGAGATGATCACCACAGAGAACTATGCGTTGCAATGGAAGTTCGCCATTCTGTGGGTTTTGTAATGCGAGCGGAATGAAGTTTTCAATCTCAGTGATTTGAGCAGCTTCTTCCATGATGACATTGTCGTAATGGAACCCTAGAGACGCGATTTCCTGTCTTCGCATGGCAGCGTGTGTCGATGTCATTGCAATGATGCGAGCTTCCTTGACGAGTAGGTAGTTCGCCTTATCTCGCGGGTTTCGTAGAAGCTCAAACGGACGAATGTCCTCGAGCTCTGCAAAGATCTTCTGGACATGGCGATAGCAGCCCTGTGCAATATCAAGAATCTGTTGACGGTCTACTGCGGGAGGGAAAAGAGGTTGTGGTGCATTTGAGAAGTAATCTTTGAATGGGAACTCAGTGATTATCTGCTCAACACTCGTTTCTCCTGATGTGACACTATCCCAGTACTGTGTCCACGCTGGTTTCACATAGACAAGATTGAAGTAATCTGCAGTCTCGCATGAGCTACCATGGGCACCCGGTGCACCAAAGTTTTTGGCGAGACGGTCAACTTCGGACAAATAGTATTGTCCTCTCTCGAGGAACGACTCCACTCGTCCGTGTTTGCTGTAGCTTGCATCCGTCTCAAGATCCTCTTCACCATGACCCAACCGCAATAGGTGACGCTCGTCGATATCAAGCGCCACAATCTTCTGGAACAGCTGATTAAGCGCCTGGTTACTGTGTGCAACAAGCAAGGTCCGCTGGTCCGGGAAGTTGTGATATATATTGGATATAATCTGGGTCGCGACATCCGTCTTGCCGGTGCCTGGTGGTCCGAGCACCACTGTTAGTCCCGGTTGAGTTCCTGAAGTGATGGCATCAACTTGGGCAGGTGTGAATCGGACTTTGTTTAGCTTTGGCGCATCTGCAGGATATGGACCCATGTTTGGTGGCTTGTACGAGGATACGCGAACTGATTCCTGCACAGGTTGTGCTAGCTCAGCCTGGTCCCGACGCCGCTTTTTCGACGCTCGTGGTGGTGCAACCTCTGGTTCCGCTGCAACAGGGAACTCTAAAAGGTATGGAGGCTCGACAGGTGCATGTGCTTCCTCGTTAGGTTCAACGGATTTGCCGGGAAATGACTGAACCAAGTGCTCCCAGTCCAAAAAGGTATCGCGGAAATCAATCTTATTTAGCCGATTAGGGAGTCGCTTGTAGGTTGCAGATGCAGGATCCCCATAGCCCAAAAAGACCTCCTGCAGCCAAGATGGTGCTGGGATGTCCGAGAGAGTCAGGCGCTTGATGGACTCTAGGATCGGCAAAAAGTTGTTCTCGCGTCCTTTTCGGCGAACAATGAGATTGATTTGCTCGTAGACGTTGGGCGCTCCTTTGGCGGTTTGTTCCATATCGGCATGGTACTGCTTCGCGTCGATGTTGACGAGGAGCCGTCGTTGCCGCACTCTCGGACCAAAGCCATCGTCACGGGCTTGTTCTCTTAGTGGCCGTCCCTTGTCATCTAGAACTTGAACCACCTGCGCACATCTCATTCGACGTAGACCAATCTCTTCTCCACTGCCGACATCCGCATGGTGACCGTTTCGCATGGGTACGTCATCTTTGCCCTCAACGGAAAGAAGAAACACTACATCGTCTGGCCGGAGCTGTTCCCAGTCCCGCCGTACTGGATACTGAAGTCGACTGACATCAAGTATTATCTCTGCTCGAACATAGGCGGGGTGTTCTTCTCCGACTCTTGATGGTGCTACATCAACAATGGCAGGCTTCATGATGGGAAGTGACATTTTTGATACACCAGTAAACTTGGTGTTGACGCCTCTACCTTTTGGTTTGACGCGTTTTACGACATCCTCCATGTCTTTGCGAATACCGTAGAACGACTCAGCCCGATACAAGATAAATGATCTCCATAAGAAGTCGCCCATGGTCAGGTACTGGAGGTTCAGCTTTGGGATGGCAAGTGGTCGTGAGCCGTCGTAGGATTCATTTCGCAAAAATGTAGTTTCGTAAAGAATCTTTTCTGTTGGCAGTACTGGCATATCGCGTACTGCGTCTTTGAAAGTCGGGCGTTGCTCGACGAGCATGATTAGGGTCTCCATGTAGAAAGCACGATCTCGTACTAAGTACGTCGTGGCAGGATACTCTGTTCGTAGACCCATGAGCGAGCAAAGTTCAACAAGCTCTTCATCACTCAGTGTGCGTAGGTGACCATCCAGCTCTTCCCTGTTTCCAATGCTCTTGTAGTTTGCAAGTGCCATAAGTTGGAGTTTTTCCTGGAATGCAGCGTAGCCAGTCCGTTGCAACTTAGACAAAAGGTCATAGTGCTGCTGGTCATACTCGAGTTTCGACAATTGTCTGCCAGTCTGGTCCTCGATGGAGAAGTTGGTGAAGTGGCTGAGGAGGTCGAACAGATCGCGGAACAGGCCATTGTCCTCGTCGGCGTACATGGGTGACAAGCGAATAGCCGAGAGCATGTTGAGGTCCTTGAGTAGGGTATTGACGTATCTCCTTGTAGGCAACTGACTCTGCAGGTCTATTAGCAGCTCCATGAAGCGCTCACAGTAAGCCATATTATCCCTCATGTCTTGGCTATTGCTACTGTTGTATAATCGGTCGATGAAGTCCAGAAGGAGCGTGTAAAGCCACGAGCGCTCGAAGCGCAGGCGGGCTTGTAGTGCATCGTCTCCAGCATCGAAGCGCTTCGATGCAGCCCTCCAAGCCTTGCGAAGCATGCTGTGCTGCTCAAAATGCTGCTCGCGCACAGCATCTGAATGCAAGTTCTGCCATATGGATATGCCAACTAGAGGGGCGCACTCCTTTCGCACCAGGCCGCTGTCGAGTGATTGGAAGGCGCCGATGACAAAGGATATGAGTTGTGTGCGGATCTTGCTTGGCTGCGAGGGGTCGACGGTCATGGACAAGATGCGACGGAAGAAGGATGAGAATTCGGCGGGCTTGGTTGAGAAGTGTTCTGTTCAGTGTCAGCGCAGTCCCTTTAGTAGCCAGCAACAACGGCGCAACGTACCCCAAGACGACAGGTTCTCCCTCCTCTTAACATTGACCATGAGAGCCAGCAGCAGATGGTGGTAGTTTGATGCATCCTCTGTAAATCCAGGCCACAGGTAGCGCTCCAACAGCTGCAGATTCTCGAGGATCAAGAGCGACGAGTATGCAAAGTCGGCGCTCTCCAGCTGGTCCCAGAGCTCCTTCTTGACAACTTCGGGGCGCACTTTGGGCGTCTTTTTCGCGGCCAGCCAATTCTTCCTCGCAACTTGCGCGAAGTGGTTCTCGCCGTGCAGGTCGGCGACAGTTGGGCGGGCATGTAGGTTGGCCAGGTCGGGCGCATGCGCAGCGGACGCGCCTGGGGAGGTGGTGGAAGACATGGAGTCGCCCGTCGGGGTAACGTCGTCCATTTGGTCTGGCTTCATGGCCATGGTCGCGATGCAGAGAGGGTTTCGGCGCAAGTGAAGGGGGGCGCGCGCATTGTCGACGCACGAGGTTTGGCGAATGGCGTGGTGACGCGCCAAGAAGTAAAGTTTCTGGAGTGGATGGCGTTGCGGAAGCTCCAACGACTACCGGCCCGCAATGCCAAGCCTTACATCCAACCTCACTCGCCCAGCCCGCAACAAGCAAGCCCTCGGCCGCAGTGCATATCAACACCACAATGACCAACGCAGAAGAGGCAGTCAGGCACCAGCCTGTTGTGCCGGACAAGCTCCCCACCGGAGACTACCCTGTGAGTCAATTGCGCCCCCAACTGTCCTGCAATGGCTCGCACCACTAACGCCGACAGCTCATCGACAATGACCCGTACGCCTTTATTGTCCTCTACTGCTCTACACCATGACTAACCTCTGAAAAAAAAAGACATCTTAGCCGCGTCATGCGGTACACTCGCCCCTCCGACTGGGCCTACGGTGCCGCCCTCGGAAGTTTGAGCCCTGGATTGATGCTTTACTGGGAGAAGGTATCGCCCTCCATGGTCGGCAAGGGTGGTTTCGCCCCCATCATGCGATTGACCGGCGCTGTTGGAGTGGCTGGATGCTTCGTGTTCGCCTACTCGAGGTCATGCAGTACGTCATACACGGGCAGGGAGGCAGACCACATGCTAACACATAGCAGTGCGTTTCTACGGTGCGCGTGAGAATCGCCGCGAGGTGGAGATGGACATGCGCGAAATGGTCGACAAGGTCAAGAAGGGCGAGCCGCTGTATGGAAAGTCGGAAATGAGCGAGTACATGCAGGGAGTCGCCCACCGAAACTCGCGCTTTTCCGCCACATTTGGTCACGTTCTCCCATGGCCAAACCTCGTCAACCACCCCTATCACGGTGTTGACACCGCAAAGTACTACCGACAGGCTGAGTTGGAACTTGAGCAGGAGAGACTCGCCCGCGAAGGTCGGTAGAGCCAGAGAGGCTGTAACAGACAAAGCGTAGTTTTTTGAGTCACAGTGGCTGTAAATAAGTTCAAACAAGCCAAGTGAGCATGTATCAACATGTGTTTCTTGTTTTCATTCCATCCTTAGTTTACAGGGAGTCCCTCCAAGACCTTGCTCTGTCCAAAATGGGCCATTTTGAATTTGCTAATCCAATCGTCCCGATTAATGTACGCACCGCAGATCCTTCGCTTCCCAGTGAAGCTGCTTCGTCCATGTAGCACCCTCCAGTTATCGAAGATTAGCACCCGCCCTGGCTTCAACTGCTCCCAGTACTCGTTCTCTTTCTTCTTCAGTAATGCATCAAACTTCCTCGCGGCATCGTACCACTTTTCCACCTGGTCGATGGGGAGTTCAATCGACGCGCGATCAGATGAGTTCCAACGTACTCGCAGGAGATCTCCTGTTGCAATATCGTGTTCGAGCACGGGGAAGCCGCGGTACGGCTGAATGGAAATGCCATCGTTCCCTGATGCATGTCCATGAACATTTACCGTTGCAAGGATCTCATACGCCTTCTTGTCTGTTTCAAGAAGTTCCTCAGCGACCTTGAACCCGTCAACGAGCAAACTCGCTCCTCCCTCCCCATCCGTATGCGATAGCAAATGGAACGCCTGGAGCCCTGCTGGATCAGAAAAGTATGTCGTATCCGTATGCGCCTCCAGTGCAATATTCGTATACGCCGTATCCTTACTCGCCAAATCAGCCGTGAAGTCGTAGAACCCACCATAATGCGTCTCGCGGATAAACGCAATCTTCTCCAGCAACGCCTTGGTATCCTGCGGATCCTCAACCGGCGTCCCATCCACATAGCAAAACCCATATTCCCGCAGATTCTTCAGCAACCCCGCCATCTCCCCCCTCATAACACCCTCATACTCCACTATCGGCGGCTCACTCGCAACCCCCTGATCCCACAACGAAAGCGACACAAGCCCCAACCGCTGCACCACCTTCGTCCCCTCCGTCTGAAGCGTATAGCGCAGCAGCGAAAAAGGGTACAAACTCTCATGTCCATCCTCCCACACAACCTTCAACCTCCTCCCCTCCTCCTCCTCCGCCGCCGCCTCCTCCCCCTCAACCTCCCACCCCCGCATCCCAATCCCCGGCGGAATCCCAAACGAGTCCAGCAACCGCTGTCTCGTCTCCCCATGCATACACCTCGCACACTGGCAATTATCCCTCAGCCACACATTCGGAACCCGCTTATCCCCCACCCACACGCTCCCCTCACGCACCTCCACGCGATCGCGTCGCTCACGCGGCGCCGTGACGCTGCCACGCACCCTGTACGGGCCCTGCAGTTTATGGTACAGTCCGCGCCGCCGCGCCTGCAGCTCACTGAGTTCGAATTGCGCTTGCCGCAGGAAAGTCGGCATGCTGTTTGCGCGCAGGGGATCCGCTTTTCCCAAGTGGTAGGAACGCGCTCTGGAGCCGAGCTTGCTGGTGTATGGGACAAGGCTTATTCTTGTGGGTTTGGCTTCTCTCGTTGTACCAGCATTGGGGTTTTCTTTGGTGTCGACATCTTTTTTAGCGGGTTTGGGTTTGCCTTTACTGCCTTTTTTGAAGTATTTGGCCTTGTTTGGCCGAGGTGAAGCCTATGTGTGTGTGTTTTAGTTGAGTTGTGGAATTGGATACGACACGTGATTGTATTTACTTCAGAGTATGGTCGAAGTTGCGATACACATCTTGTGACATTGGCGGCGTTTGATGTCCATCGCGATGCTCGTGCCGCCAGCATGATGGGCAATTGGGGTGTCAAGATGGTGTAGAGGGTGTAGAGACAAGAACAACACCAAGTTTTGAGCGATAGGTGGTTGTGAGCCGAGGGAGAGATTGGTCGTACAATGATGCGGAGTCACAAGCTCGGGTATCGGTTACTTTGAACTCTTCACATGACGATTTTCATAAATCAATATAAATAGTGCAACTGGAAAAAACCTCATCTTCTGGAGATCAAAGGCACCATGGCCTAATGGTAAGGCGTTGCTTTCCGGTGGCAAAGATTGTGGGTTCGAGTCCCACTGGTGTCGTCTTTTTGCCTTTTGCTTTCTTGATCTTCCAATCAAACTGTGCCTCTTGCTTTGTTCTCGTGTTTTTTTCCTCTAAGCGAGTTGGTTTTTTTGGTTGTGGTGTGAGAATGCAGCTACTAGGCCCCCCACCCCCACCTTTTGAAAACCGTAGATCACCACTTGAGAACAACACTCACAGGGAAGTTTCTAGATAAACGGGAAACTCACAAGAAAAACTCAACCAAGTCGCTAAAATGATACTGCATATTTGTCAAAGAATATGATTAAAAGTACACGAGACATGAAGATTGCTCTCTCTTTTTCTCTTTCTCTCAGCTAAGCATGTATCCAAGAACAAAAAACAAAATGAACAACTCCCATGCTATGCTACCACTATGACAAACAGCCTCCCCTCCCCGCTTCACAATCATTAAAACGTAAGGTTAAAAGTTCTGAAATGCATGCTGCCCCCCCTTCTTTGCACGGCTACCAGAAACTGCACCAACCGATATAATGCTGGCATAGATTCTCCAAGTTAGTTGCTTCTTTAATGAGTCGATCGACCTGCATCTCCGTCTTCAATTCCTCGCCCTTGCCGAAATCACGACCGGTTAGCTTTTCCTTGACGCGGCTCAGGACTTGCAAGGCACGCGCGTTCTGGACTTCCTTGGCATCGGCCTCGTTGTTTTGAGGAGGGGCAACAGAGGAGCGGTGGCGGGGGCGACCAACGATGCTGGACATTTGGTGTGGGTCGGTGGTTGCGGCGGCGGTGTCAGCACCCATGATGGATTGGCGGCGTTCAGACGGGTAGTTGGGCTCCACGGGGGACGCATCGCGGTGGTTTAGGCGCCAAGTTAGGAGAGGATCGTGTATGAACTGTAGTTGAGTATGTTAGTATCAATGCATCTCATCTTCAATTTTACAATGCGCAGTCGACTTACAGCTTCAAGAACCGCCATGACACTCTCCTTGTTGCTTCGTAGTACCCGCATGACATGTTCGCAAGTGGTTCGGTAGCTACCCTCGATATTGCTCACTTCCATGGCATATGTCAACATGCGCGTGAGACGGAATGGCACACGTTCAGGATACTTCTCACGGTGCATGGCCACCTCGAAACAATCTCCGAAATCGATGTGAATAATCTTGCCGGTAACTCGGTCCAACATCAAGTTACTTGGGTGGCGATCTCCCAGGCCGAGAATGTATCCGACCATGGACATGACAGCAAGCGAACGCGTGTAGTTGGTACGGCGATCAAGCCAGGCTTCCGAAGATTTAGATTTCAGCCAGAGGACGCGGTACAGATCTTGACCCGTCGTATTATCAAGGGCGTAACCGAACACTTCCACCTTTTGCATGAGAGTGAGACAATCGTAGTCAGGCGCCATCTGCAACATGATACGGTGCTCAATGTTAAGCAGAATCTTCCGACTGTCTCGGTACTCTCGGATGAGTACGTGCAGCGTGTCACTATTAGGGACGAAACCAAGCAAACCAGACTGCGTACTAAGCGGAACGGCAGCATATCGTTGAATGTTAAGGTGACGCTTGCGCGACTCCACGTCGTTGGAGAGCAGGGTATTGCAGAGACCAAAGAGTTGCATGACACGTTCATCTTGTCGAATATCTTCGTGTCCTTTGAGAATGTGGGTGTGTGCTTTGCCGTCGCTGCCACGCATTTCCAGTTTCCTAGGTCGCTGTTTGGACTGGATGACAGTCGCGACCGGATCGAAGGAGATGATTCGGATAACAGGCTTACCAACCTGGTAGGTTCCAGGAACCGCGAGCTCAAGATCATGCGCTTCCTTGAGTTTGGGCGAGACATACTGCAACTCGAGCGTCATCAAGGAAGGTAGTTGTCGCGCAATCTTGCGGAACACCTGGTAGTAGAGATCCCACGCTTGATTAAGATCACCTATTTCACCGGAGGTCCTGAATGTGTTGCACCAGTCACGGGCCTCCTGGAGTTCACGACCAAAAGACTGGATGAACGAGATTTCGCGGAGTGTTTCAGGGCCCTTGTCGAGCATTGCGTGTAGGGGTGCCAGTGTGGCGAACATGCCGTCTATGTTGTGGTCGCCAAAGTACAATCGACTGGCCTCCTCGAGACCCTCGTGCCATTGTTCATGCCACAAGACAGCAATACGAATCAGCTCATGACTGACAAGATCGGCTTGCTCAACCAGCCGTGGCGAGTGTTCGCGCATAGCTTCCATAAGCTCCTTTGCCGATCGCTGACGTCGTGAGACATCGGATTTCATAGAGACAGTCAATGGGAAAACCAAGGCTTGGGGATGTGCTTTCCCGACTTCGATGAGGAGCTGGTGTATGGATTGCCGGACGACAGCGTTGGGCTGATTGATTCGGGCAAGCAGTTGCGGGATGACCTCAAGCCAAGTATCGATTGGAACCGACTTTGTGCCCTCCGTGATGGTGCGGTTGACTCCCTCTCTACCGCCATAGCTGAACCACAGGGTGAGCAGCCTCAGCGTATCTTGTAGTGAACTGGTTGATGACAGTGCAATGGATTTGAAGAAGCCTTGGATAGCCGGGATCACATGATCGTGAATAATGTTATGAGGCACGTCGGTGGCCTCCCGGTCAGACTTAGATGTGATGGAGTTGATGACTTCAAAGTTAGCAAGTGCCCACGCATGCCATGCCTTGTACCAGTCCTTGTTGTAGCGTGTGGCGGCGGCATAGGCGGCGAGAATCTCATGCACAAACTCATGATCCCATTCGCCGTCGTTGAGTTCTTGTTGCCAGTCACCCTGCTTCAGATAGCATTTGGCTAGCAGACGGTGGCATTCGGCAAGGTCCGTGGGCGAGGTGCCAGTGACTGATCCATTCATCAAACTCGAGCCGTGCATTCCATTGACCCCGTTATGTCCATTGGTGGCAGCAAAGGGGTTCACGTTACTGAACATGTGCTGGCCATTGGACATGCCGTTCATGCCATTTTGTGCCATCATGGGGTTAACTGCGGCTCTACTCCTCATGGCAAGGTCTTCAGAAAGTCGCGCAGTGAAGTCCTTCATGCTGTCGAGTGCTTCTTGCTTGTGGTTTTGGTCGGCCCACATGTACTTGTACGTAGTGTAGGCCACGGGGTGTGAGATCTCGTGAGCATTGTTCCGCACAAACTCAACCACGGTGCTATCGCCAGTACTCTCGATATCAAGCAACTTCTGGAGAGCCTTGTTTGCGAGGTTCATTCTGTTGCTCTTCCTGCACAGATTGGTGTATTTGATCCACATGTCGGTGCCTTCTTGCGGTGAGATGACAAGCTGGCGCACCTTGATCATACGCTGCCAGACTTCTGGATTTGGCTGCAATCCCCTAAGTCGCTTCATCCAGGTCTTGCGCATACTCTTCTGCTTCTCAAGGTTGCCCTCGTTCTGTTTGTATTGCATGATTTCCTCAAGCTCCGCAAGCATCTGCACACGAATCATTGGCAAATAAGCTCGCTGGTACGACTCTCCCAGTAGCGAGCTGAGCTCCGTGTCCAGACCTTTTCGAGCCTTGGCAATTTCATCAACGGCAATTTCGAATCGGTTGTTGTGGATGTTGAGAATAGAAGCAAAGAAAGCGCGGTCAGGCGACTGCTCCTTCATGACGCCAAGGTAGTTGTCCATGTCCGCAAACTTGCCCAGACCCCACGCAGCTGTCGCAGCGAGCGGTGCTATCGCCTTGCGATACTCCTGCGAAGCATTGGCCCACTTCTCCTTGGACAGACTGGAAAGAAGATCCCACTCGCCCAGAGCGTGCAAGCATCGCATCTTGCCCATGGTCACATCGAAAGAGTCGGGCTCTTCAAGCTCACGTCTCTGGTAAGCAGCAAGTGCCTCATCCCATTTCTGCAATTTCTCGAACCAAGTCTCCTTGAGCTCGACGTCGTGGTAGTTTTGTGCCTTACGTAAAATACCAAAAGCTGCGTCGGTCTGTTGGAGTTGGTTGTTGATGCTAATAAGGGCTTCCACAGCGCTGGAATTCTGCTCCGCGTTGAATTCGAGCTCCTTGTAGTGCAGTGCTTTGGCAAAAGCATGGCATTTTCCAGCATACATACCAAGTATCCTGACATCGATTGGTAGTGCTTTATCGTCGTGCTCCATAAACTCTGCCAAATTAAGCAAAACCTGGAGTATCTCGGGTGGGATGTTTGGTGATGTGAGTGCGGTTTCGATGGATCGAACAAGTTCTTCCTGATATTGATCGTACAATTCCGTCCAACATGAGACGAAAGCCGAGTTGAACAGTGTCCTGGCGATGGGGTTGTACACGCTTCCGAGAGGTGTGCAGGCACGTAATGCTTGCTGAGGCGACTCCCTGAGAAGCTCGACACTGAATCTTCGCATCCATTCGATCCAATCTTCTTTGGTGGTCTTGTTGGAGGCTTCCCAAGCTTGCTTCAAATGCTGTTGGTTGACTGCCAACTTCTTGGTAAGGATCTCGGCGGGGTTCAAGTCTTCGTCATCCTCACCGTATCGCTCGTCTGGGCTAAGATCCTGCGGCAGTGGTTCGCCTTTTTGCAGCTTCGATACGATACGGGCATAGTTCTCATGAGGTACCTTGTGCGCAACCAAGATTTTGCTGACTGTCGGCACAAAATGAATGTAGTCTGGACCGAGCTGGAAGATCAGGGCACAGAGTGTCTCAAGAGCGGTTTGCTTTAGGGTGGGCTCACTGCCAGCAAGTACTCGGCAAATGGGATGTATGATGCGGGCTGCAAACTCAGAGACATTCACCTGCTTGGAAAGCCGGCCCAATGTTTCAATTGCATGCCTTCGGATCTGAATAGGCTGTCCGGGCTTATCGAACATCTTGACCATGACCGGAATGATGAGATGCATGTATTCTTCGGCACTTGAGCCAAAGATGAGAAAAGCATGTAGTACTCTTTCTGAAGGTAGGCGCTTGCCAGTCTGGTCCGAGTCGAGCACACTGAGCATAAGTGGTAGCACATCGGCCAAGTAGACTTTGAACTCGCCCTCCAGCGAGCGAGCAATAGCCTCAATCAGCGACAAGATGGTGGCTTGTAGTTGTGGACTGCTGCTCCAATACTCTTTGATGGTTGAAAGAATGCTGGGAAGGTAGGGACGAATATGCTGGCGCACAATACGGACTAGCTGACTGAGCTGGTTGAAGTAACCTTCTGAGCGTCCAGCTGGCGTCGACCTGATGACATGGAGGAAGCCAGGCACGACTTGGTTGAGAAAAGGAACGCATTTTAGGCCCATGGTTGCGTAAATGTTCATGACAGCCTCTACAATTGCAGTATGATACTGCACTAGGGAGGGATCCTTTAGCAGTCCCATGAGCGTGCTAATGACAATGGTCGGGTAATACTCTTCGTTTGAAGGAGTGATACCTTGCATGATGAGGGAAACATCAGTGATGGCTTGCGCTTCCAATATGAGATGGGTGTCCGGTGATTGCTCCATGATTTTCTGGTACTCATCCGGATCTAGTGCTCCGAGGGTACCCATGAGCCGAACGGTTTCCCTTCTAAGTTCACCTTCAGGTTCGGTCTTGGCGATGTTCATCAGGATGTTCATAAGCTCCGGGTACTCTCGGTATGGTTCAATCACATATCCAGCGTTTGTGGCCAGTTGTCCAAGCGCCTTCAGGGCAGAGAAGCGTTTGGCGTCCGATGTCTGATCTTGCATAAAGTCCAGAATGACGGGCATGAGGTCTTTGATATATTTGATCATTCCTTCGCCACCGACTGTGGCAAGGTCACCAATAGCTTTGAGTGTAGTCGAAGCGACCTCGGGATTTGGATCTTTGCACTTTGGAAGCAACACTTCGACAATGGGATCTATCAGTGGCTTGATAAGACTGTCGGCGGCACCAACAAGACTACTAATGAGTTTGGCACTTTCTTCTTTACTGCGCGGACTGTTGGCGTAATTCACTTCAGTCAGTAGTTGCAGAAGGACTTTGCGAAGCGAAGGAAAGACATAGGCAGGATTGACGGCTGTCAACCGACCGATGATGGACATGGCAGCCTCTCGGATGCCAAATACCTCGTCGTTCAGAGCGAGGAAGAGAGTACGGACATTGTCAGCTTTACCAAGGTGACGATCGAAGCGGGCGTCCAATGCTACGAGGACGTCCCACCGGATATCTGAGTCAATATCACCTACGCCGACAGTTAGAAGCTTCTCAATGATGTCGCCAACCACTTTTGTCGCGTGAGTGCTAGTCTGGTGGACGATGGGATCTTTGACAAAAAGTTGACAGCAGGTCAGGGCAGCACGCTTTCGAATCTCTGGGTTGTCCGCTTCGACATATCGAATAGCAACATCGCGAACAAACTCGTTCAAGACGTGTCCTGTGAAGTCAAAACTACCCAGTGTGTGCAGTGCTAATGCAATCTCTGCTTCTCTTTGGGCAATCGCCTGTGGGTCCTTATGATCGCGTGTCCATATCTGTGGCGGTTGTGAGACTTGGTAAGGGCTACCCAGAGGTAAAAAGTGCCGGCCAGCGAGAATCTGGCTGAGGAGATCCAAAAGCTTTTCCTGGATCATGGGCCGTGAAGGTGGTACGTAGTGAGCCATGTCGACGAGAGCCTGAAAGAGAGAATCGCTCAGCCCGCAAGAGAAGATGGGATCTAGCAAGCGCTCAACAGACTTGGTAAGAGCCTGACCGACCGCCGCAGCAATCATACTGAGACACTGGAATATCGGCGCTTCATTTATGACGCTTTTGTTCCGTGCCTTTGCAATGAGGCCTTCCTGGATGAAACCCAGAATGCCTTCCAAGTACGGTGAGATGGCGACTCCGACGGCGTTTGCAATTTGTCCAATAGCTACAAATGCCTTATCCCTATCGCGATCCTTCCTAATCAGACCTTGGAGGTGGAGCATGCACTGATGGAGGTACTTTGTCGCAAACTCGGTAGGCGAATAAGCAGCAAGAATAGGGATAATGAGCACCACCTCCCTCCGCACCAGAGCATCACGATGCTCCCTGTACTTGAGCACCTGCTCAACCGTCTCCTTGTATTTTTGGTCGTTCATGAACATGGCACTCTTGTCAAGCAGCTCCTTCATAGTGAGCAGCGAACCGTGGATGGCCTCGTTGGTGTTGATTGTGAAGCCACGCAGAATTTCGTCATAGACCTTGCCGAACCAAAGTTGTCGCATCTGCGAGTCACGCGGGGATATGATCTCGAAGCAGGCACTGATGGCCTCGGCCGCAGACTCTCTGATGAGAACCTTGGGGTCGCGTAGGGCCACCCAGATAACCTCGAAAATCTGTGCAATCCATTGGTACATGAGGGTCGGCGAGTTTTTAGCCAGCTCGCGCAGGATGAGGACAGCAGCGAAGCGCCGATTCTCCAGGCGTTCCAACTGCAGCCACTCGAGGGCACCCTTGACTTCTGCCTCGACAAGCTCTGCTGTGAGGGTGCCACCGGGTTTTGCGAGGCGTCCGAGAGCCTTGGCTGCTACCACCATGGCTGTAATGTCCTGCCCCCGCATCACCGCCCTCAGGTACGAGGCAAACCGCGTCGTCTTCTGGCCCGCATCGTCGCCGCGGAAATCGATGAGGGCGTTTAGCGCGTGGATGCCGCCGATGCGTTCGTTCGAGTCGCTGCCGGTGACAATAAGGCCCGAGATTCTGGTGTAAACTTCGTTGTTGAAATTGGTAAAGAGATTGGGCGCGAGTTCTGTGCTACGTCAGTTTTCCGAAGCCTGGGCGGGGGGTTTTTTTTTCTGCATCGCGCTGCTGCCTCACCTCGGTGCGCCGACTCGACTGTCTGCCGCAGCGTGTTTGCTGCTCGCTGTCGTGTCTCGTCATTCTTCGAGCGTAGTTCGTGGACTATGCGGTCCAACGTGGACGAAAGGGGACTCTGCTGCGCCATCCTGTCTGCTTCACCTGAAGCCTCTCGCAGCAAGAGTGTGGATGCTCAATCCATCCATAGAAAGGAAAAAAGAGACAGGTAAGAGAAGACGCGTGGGTGGAATTGGAGCGCAGTCAAAGTTAACTGCTGTGTCGGCACCGCACGTCGTATGTCACCAAAGCGGACTAGTAAGCTCTGACCCACATCACTCTCGCGCTAGTCCTAAAGCTTACACCGGGGAAGCGCTTCGTCATGCAAAGGCCATCAGCGGCGGTGAAATATCAAGTAAATGCTACCATGCATAAGCTTCTCAATTGAATCCAGAACATGTCACGGCCACCAATAACATTATCTTCGGACACATGCGCTGCTTTTGCTATGATACATTTCCACTCACCGCGTACCGCGCATAGTCATTATGCCGTATGCCTCTCTCTCTCTAACCGCCCAACACGCCCTGCGCAGCCTGCCCAACCAGTCCACCTAGCTGCCCAAAGAAGATAGACTTCAGGATGGTTTCACCTTCTCCTACTGCCCACATACCTGCTTCACTTAGCTTCTCACGCCAGATGTGCTTCTCCTCCTTGCTCAGCTCATCCCACCTCCTTGCCGCGGCGTGCTTCTTCAAAACTTCCTCGTCTCCTTCGTGTACTTCTGTGCTAAGAGCACCATCGGACTCAGCATCATGGTGAACTACCAAAGCTTTTGGCTCAGATGGGATGTCTGCTGATGCTGTCTCGTCGGATAAGACATGAGGCAGGTGGATATGCAATAGATCGGCGATGCGGTGCGACGTTTTCACAATTGGCGAGTCTGCATTGTTGAGGACAGCTTGATGACGTTTCTCCCGCAAGGTTTCACCAAATGTCTTGTGTTGACCGGCTGCATTTTGTAGACTGGCAGGGAGTATGCCCTTGGTCAGGTTGCCTTCTGGATCCACGAGCGACTGTATCAAAAGCGCTAGTACTGCGACAACCATGGCTGTGACGAGGTACGTCGCCAATGTAAATAAGTTTCTCGATTGAGCTGTCTGCAGGACATGGCGCGATCCAATATTTTGCAACGGGAAGGTTTCCACACTGATCGTATTGCCCAGGCTGGTACTCGCCAGACGAAGATATGGGGTTGCTGGGCGGCCTTTAGGGGTCTCTGGCTTGTGGAATGGCGAAAATACGACTTTGGTCATTTGGAAATCGTGGACCTAGTTTTAGTTAACAACCGCGAATAGCAATTACCAGGCTTTCATCTTACATTGTCATAACTGTTGAAAGAGTGGAAAGCACTCAACGAGTCTCTCGATGGGCCGTGGTAGTCCATCGTGTAAACCGTCAAGGACATGTCAATCGCCGCTATAGCAATAGCAATCTGATAGGCGCCCTGGTCATCCGCATCAAGGAGAGCGACATCCATGTCAGTTGCCGCCTTCACGTGCTTTGGTAACGCTTTGCGTAAAGCAATACTGCCTCCGTCCTGGTAAAAGTGAAACAATAGCAGCTCAACCCCGCTCCTGTTAGGCTTATTCGCGAGCAAAAGCAGATGCTTTGGCGAAAGCCATCGCACACCTCTTAACTTGCTTCTCGAGCCCTTTTCTACGTGGGGTAATGTGTAGACTTTTCGGTGTTCGTTCCGGCCTTTTGTCTTTCGTTGTTCAAAATTGTAGCCAGCCTCCTGCACAAAGACTTCATAATCCGTCACAAAGGCTACCCGGAATCGCCCTTCCTCTTGTGTGAAGATGTCAAGATCGTTTGCTTCTTGCCCTTTTTGTAGCTTGATGCGTTCTATTACGTCTTGGTTCGATGGCTTGGTAGATGTTGCGTTGAAGATTACAACCTCGTTCTCGTCGCCCGCAAGTCCAGAAGCAATTGCGCCGATCCGCCTATTTGGTATGTTCGTCGTCGTTCTTTGCGGCGGTGACAATCGGATTATTCGCTGGTATCCTTCCTTTTTCGCGCCAACTGATTGCGGGGTCGTAAAAAGTGTCGTCTTGCTGAGAAACTCTATGTCGCCATCCGCCTTCTCTGCACCGCTGCTAGCCCCCTTGTTCTTAGGAAAGCGCAGTTCAAAGGCGCGCAAGTGTTCATTCCGCGCAGACAAGCGGTCTTCTTCGCTACTGTTGTTACCCGCGAACAGAATCAAGCCATCCTTGGTGGAGAGGTTCTCCAGACAGGTAATCGAGTCATCTTTGCTTGCCTCGATCTCGGCGATGGCTTCTACGGTTGGCGCTCGTGAGCTGAAGTCGAATGCAGTGATTTGGTTCTTGACTCCAGTACGCCCGGCCTAAACAACAACGAGCCACGATTAGTACATGTGTGTATACGGCTCTATTTGAGCATTGTACGCACCCCTCCGCCACCGCCTACTACGAGAATCCCGGGCCTATTGCTGGCAAATGTGGCCGCGAAGATGGGGTAGCTTGCTGCTGCTATTAGCGGGGTTGCACCTAAGGGGCTACGGCAGCGCGAACATACTCTTAGCTTTCGAGACGGTAGGTCGCGACATCGGATTATTTTGATACCGCGCGACGCACGGTAGGTTGTTGCCGTTGTCCAAGCTTCGCGGTCAATCTAAGCAGGGTACAAATATCCGCGCGGGGTGAGCGTCTAGTAAATGCGACTCGAGTAATTGTGTCGCGTAGGGATAAGGGTTCTTTTCAGGGATGCGAGAAGGTCGTTGTGTATAGAGAATAGGGCTGGGATCTCTGGTTCTGTCCACGTTGCGCGCAGGAAATCAACAAGCCACCTGCGCAAGCGTCATCGTTCTGGCCAGTTTCATGGTAGGGCCTTGGCTTATCGATAGGGCTGAAACAACCAGGTTCCCCCTCCGAGGGAACAGCGATCAACGCCCATCACTCCGGGATATCGTGTGCAACGCAGCAAGCAAGACAGATATCCAATGATGCGCAACGATTACGTCTCATTGCATGCCGGACTAAAAAATGCTATCTACGGTGACCTTTAGGTCGGGGCAATCTCCTCCTCATACATATGCTTCATCATCATCATCGTCATCCCAAAAATAATTCCTCTTGTGGATATCGCCCTCCTCTTTTTCGTAATCCCGTGTGCCAACACACGCCGAAATCAACGCCGCCTGACACCAACAGAGTACCACTAGCCAGAAGAAACCTCCGGCTCACACCGTCTTCCGTAAAAAATCAAAACGCCAGGATGCTCGCTAATTGGAATCCAAGAAGACTCCTAGACCTTAACCCGCCTCCCTTCCCTTGACATTAGCAGCCTTTTGCCTGTGCATACTTTCCATTCTATTCGCCTATCATGTGAATATTTGCCAATAGGTATTTGGAACCGAGGCCTCACAACCCAAACAGCCAAGGGTCGCCATCATCAGCTGCACTTTGAGTCAAGGCACACGTGCGTGCCACGTCGGCAAACTGTCCGTTTATTGAGGTAAATGATATGGTTGTTGGAACCAATTTACTGAGGCAGTGGCAATGGCTGTCCGTTTGCTGCTGCAGCCCGTGCTTCGGCCTGGGCTTGTGCAATGACATCAGCCTGGTGGACGGCACTTTGCACGATTTGCTGCTCGTCTGGGCTGAGGTTCTTGGTAAGGTCTTCGTAGAGTGCAGGTTGCTCTTGTTGTAGGCCTACATCATGTCAATACACACTTTGAGTACTTTCAGTGCGACAAACTTACGGAGCAACGCATGCTTGAACATGCCATATGGCTCGACCTTGTCAAGGGGTGTTTCCAGGAGACTCTCCTCTTCCAGCTCGTCATCGTCCTCATCATCGAGGGAGCTGAATTTCTGTGCCTGTTGCCTGTTAGCATTTATTGCGTGCTTTAGGACGTAGGAGCATTACCTCTTCGTTTAGGAAGTCGAGATAGGCGGCGCTCTCATCTTTGACATCCTCGGCTTCATCCGCTTCATTACTCCAATCAGCTTCCTGCTCCCACTCTTCGTCTTCCTCCTCTTCGAATTCAGCCGAGTAGTCAAATGCGTCTTCCTTCTTCGCTTCTTCGCGGTCTATGTATATGTTAGTACTAATATGTAATAGAGTTTTTGCTTCAAAAACTCACTCTTCAATGCCGCGGGAAGTGTTTGGAAAAGGCGCGTTACGCCCTGTAGCAGACGTGGCCAGCCCTGTTGTACGCTGACAGGAACATCCTGAGCTCTCAGTGTCAACAGAGCGCAGATCGCCGAGATGCACAGCTTCTTGTCATGGACTCTGGTAAAGTGGTCGATGCTTGAGAACCAAAGACTAAAGAACTTGTTGGTCCAACCATTGCTCTCCAGCACATGCAATGCCAATGCGGGGTTGTAGTAGATAGAGTTAATGACCACTTCCATCAGATGTATCCTCAGAGACTTGACCTTGGGCTCTTCATTGGTCAGGACGTGCATGGTTAGTCCAATGAACTCTGGAATGTAGTCGTCAACGGAACCACGCATGTTGAGCATGATGATCTCAGCTAGCTTGCAGCCGCAAATTCGATCAACACCGCCAACTTTGTCGTCCTTGAAGATTGTCCTGACCATGTCGACAATGGCATCAAGATATGCTCGGTTTTGAACCAGCATGGGAGTACCATAGTTGACAAAGTTCTCAAGCGCAGGAAGCATATCTGCATATCGTCAGCGACTTGATGTTAGGATACAAACGTTGAAGTATACATGCCTTCGAGATATAGCTCAGCGCCAGCCTTGAACGTTCTATGTATCAGCTCAAACGCCTGCCACATGGTGCCGGAGATGCTCTTAGCAGCAAAAGTGCAGCTGTCAATAATTTCGAAGACTTCGTTGTACAAATCTGCGAAAGAAATTAGTATGAATAAAAACATAGGTAACCTATGGAACTGCATACCGTAAAGCTTATTCTCGAGAGTGATGGTGATGACAGGCATCAAGATAGTCTCCAAGTGCAAGAGAACATCGGGTGTGCTCTCTAGGGTTAGGATAAGGGTACCAATGGTTTGCAGAACACCGAGCGCGGTAATGCTCTTCTCATCGAGGAAGTCACCATACTCGCTATCTTCACCCTTCTCCTGGTTCCTCGATACCAATTCTCGCACGATACGCAGGTAAGTGTCGCGCAACTGTTCGCTCAGCGCTACGGCGAAGGGAGTCAACTCTGGTGCAAAGACCTCGACAAAGTCCTCCATCACGTTCGATAGGGCATCGACATCGACCTCGTTTGCGAGCTTCAGGAGTTGCTGCATGACCTGAGGAATGTTTTGCTTCATGTTATTTCGGATGACATCGTGACGGATGAGTGGCTGAAGTGACAAAGCTGCAGCTACGCGAACTGGGAGTGTGGGGTCGGCCATGGACTCGAGAATGTTGCGGTAAATGATGATGAGGTTATTTTGATCCTTGAAATCAAGCTGCTCAAACTTCTCCAGGGTGTCGCATGCGCGCGCACGGAGGAAGCCATGGGGACTTCGGAACTCGGGGAAGACATGTCGTACGAAGAAGTACTCGACTTGGTCCGCAATGGGGCTCTTCTTGCCCAAAATGACACCAGATAGCGTACCAATCATACGTAACGCACCCTCCTTTTCCCGCGGGTTCTTCTCGTTGTCGGGTGCGGCCTCGTAGCGGTTGACGACTTCGTTGACAAAGTTCAACACAGTGAAGGTCTGCTTGCGGCGGCTCTTGGTAAGAGTGACTAGGAAGTTGGTGGCAGCAACGTCGGGCGCAGTCACGTCCTCGTAAAAGTTCAACTTGCGGTGCAGGTACTCCTGTGGCTCCTCCTGGAACAGCTCAATATCTTCGTCAGACTGGCAAAGTACTGGAAATACGAGATGCGCAATGAGGTTGTCGGTGTGAGGCTTGAGCAGAGTCCACATGGTCTTGGGCTTGATGCACTCGTCGAGGAAGTTGAGTGTGTAGTACAAGCTGGCTTTTGACAGCCAAACCTGCTTTCCCACCCACTTCTCAACCTGCTGGAGGTAGATCTTGAGGATCTCGGGCGCAAAGTTAGCAATGAAGTTCTTGGCTACCTCGGTGTAGTCGACCTCGTTGTTCTTGCCCAAGGCTGTGGGGTTGCCATATCTGTTTCACGTCAGTATCGCCCGCATGCAAGGTATGACGCTGTGCCACCCACCTGACGTATAATCTGTTCAAGTTTGCATAAGACCACTTCTTTGCCTTCCACCAGTGGTTTACTTCGCGCTCGTCGAGATCTTCGGGGAGTGATGACTCAGGGGGCTCTTTGCCGACCACAGTCAGGAATAGCGTACACCAACCAACCATGACCTGTTGGTCGCGGAGAGATGCGGGGAGATCGAACTGCATACTAAGTCAGCTGCCGTTTCTGCCATGCGCGCGTCGGGACCTTACATAGATGGCATGCTTGTACACCTTGAGCACTGTCCGTAATATCTCGCCAGCTTCCAAGCTTGTCTCGCCCGCCAGTGAGTTGCCAATGTTGAGCAACTGTGGAAAGGACATGGCGACTATCTTGTCAAAGTCTGCGCGGTTCTCGCCAGATTTGAACCTGTAGATTTTGCATATCGCCAGCAAGCACTGCACACCGGCAAACACCGACTCAATGTTTCCAGCATTCAGCAGTTGTACAGTGATGTCGAGGAAATCCGGCCATTTGGCGGGGAAATCATATGCGAGGATCTTCTGGAGGGTAGGAATGAGTTGAAGGCGCACTTGGGGTGGGGAGGCGACGAGGACGGGGATCAGACGATTGCGGAAGGCAGTCTTCTCATCCTCTGGTATGGGTATGGCCTGACTGTACTCCTCGGCAGGCGACCAGCCCTTGGATATGCGGTTCTTGAGGTAGACGACGGCTGTGGGCGGGACGTCAGTGTCAGGAGGGGAGGGCTCTCGTGTGCATACTTGGTGGGCGCATACTTACTCGACAGACGCACGGCGTTGTGTTGCTCCTGCTCGAGAATGTCTAGCAGGCCTCCAGTGAAGCCTGGCTTTTCTTCAGCCTATGTTTCCGTCAGTGCCAGGTTCGAGTATGGATCGTGTGTCGCAGACACCACGCACATGCTTGAGGTCGAGCTCGGCCTGCTGTCTAACGGCGGCATTCGCGTCGAGCGTCGCCTGGATCCGGTCCCGCAAGCCGGCAACGTCCATGGTGGAGAGTGGCTGGCGGAAAGTGCGTCGAGGATTGGCGGCGGCCTACTGTATGTAGCAGACGACGTCCCGGGAGCCGGTGCGGTGAGAAAAGGCCGGTGGGGGTTGGGGTAAGTATATGTACGCCTATTGCTGCGGCCACAGACGGTGGCGTCGAGTAAGAATTGGCGGGAGAGACAGAGAACGGACAAAGGCACGCGTGCTTTTTCCCTTTATTTTGCGCCTCGTCGGGCTTGTGCAGCTTGTGCGGGACGTGAGGATGGAGGGGCAGCAGTTAATTTTGTGTGGACCAGAATCAGAATCGCGGCTTTCCCCCTAGCATCCTTAGCGCACGTGGCGGTCAATGCATTCTCTCCGCCCTCCCTGCCCTTGGCCTTTGTTCTATTCCCCCACCACGCACCCTGTCATGCTTCTATATCTTACACTCAGCCTGCTGTTTTGAATACTAAACATGTTGCATCAAAAACAAGTGAACACTGGTCGACTCGAGAATTGCTCTTTGCTCGCCAAAAGCCGCATTCCGCATCAGCATGCCTAAAGCCGTACCTGCAGCGTGAACATTACAAGTCGACTGACTACAGCAGACCCTGAAGCATCGTTACCATGGATAATGCTTCTCCGAGTCTAGACCAAGGCGACACTTTACTGCCATGTTGGGGTGGCCGATTGTCCTTCTTCTAGTATATATCCGTATAGTACTCATTGCACCATCTTGTTCCAATGTCAACACGACCCGATCTCTGAGCAAATGGCACCATGCCAAATCGCTTGAGCCTGATTGTGTCACCCTTCTGACCTATCACGACCCTTGACCATAGCCACCATGGTGTACGTATGCGATTAGCACATCTGCTACGTCGGCACCCAAATCAGGATTCAACATTATGCGACATCTGCACAGTTTGTAAGAAATGCACGTATATGCGGGCGAGTCTGTTGCGGATACGAAGATGATGTGACATGACTCTGCAAGGGTTGCCCATCCAGAGAGCTGAAAGATTCCAAAAAAAAAACCCCCGAGCGCTACGTCTGTACACTAGGTACTTGCACATGTGTAGAGTATGTTCCATACCTATCGTCATAAACATGGATCTCCCATGCACATCGTTTCACCTAAAGGCACAATGGCAATAGAAGTTCCCGTTGACAGATCGACGTATGGCGCAACGGTCGCATTCCGCAGACATGTGATTGGCACACAAGCCTGCACCTGCTTTTGTAAAGTGTAAAGGTTGGGCGGTGTCAAGGCTGCAGCTCGGCAGACAGACTGACAAAGAATGTGCTGTGATTGGACGTAGACGCCTTCAACAAAAAAAAACAGATGATGGTACGACCTATGAATTTCCCTACCCTTGCAAATTTTCGGTGCTAGACAACTATCCTCCAAGACAGTAATATCAGAACTTGAGACATTGTCGTCTATTATGTTCTCCAAGACACAAGGCTCGTCTTGAGCAGGTCTAGGCTCAAGTCCCCTCATCAAAGTCACGTGCCAACATCACTAACTGTCCACAACCCTGAAGTAATAGTAATAATGAATTTTACTTATAGACTAATCTGTAATGTGTAACGAAAATATGAAAACCGGATATCCCACGCGCCCTGTAAATGCTATGCTGTAACCCTATAAAAATGCCACTCAAATGAAATATCTGAGTTAGAAAAGAAGAGGAAAGAAAAGAAGAACGCCGCTCGATGCCTCTTGTCGCGAAAAAAAAAGAGTAAACAGGTAAAAGGCGAAATACGATACCGACCAGCGGTATCAAACTAGTATATATATATTTTGTTGTTTCATCCACATGGTATCATGTCCCAGTCGTATCCTCGTTTCCTCATTAGCAGCTCATAAACCCCACATCTATCCGATGCTCTTGCCCCTCTTGCCTTTGCCGCACTCCCTCTTACTAAGCGGCTCATCGGGGAACACCCATCCTCTGACGCGCTTAGCCTCTCGCTTCTCGCCAAGCTGGGGCTTGGGGATCCAAGAGTCCTTTTCGAGGAAATTTTGGCGGGTAAGAGCAGCAGGGCCGCCAACGTCCATGCGCCAGGTTCCCATGCCCTCGAAGGGGTTTTCCTTGGCGAGCATGTGGAGGTACCAGAGGGCGAGCGCGGCGGTAAGCTGCATCTCACCGGTTTCTGGGTGCGAGCCATTGGTGGACAGGCTGATGGGGGCGGAGGTCTCGAGGTAGCCGAAGATGGGCACGCCGGTTTGGGCATTGACAGTGGTGGGGTCGGGGGTGGACATGTCAGAGGGACCACCACAGCGGACGCAGAGGAGCTCGATCTCGGTCATGATGAAGCCGTAGCGGCATCCGTGCTCGCGCATCACGCGCTGGAGGTGGGCGAGGCCTTGGAGGTAGAGGACCTGCTTGGGGGGTGACTCGCTGCGCATGCCAGTGTTCCACTGGTCGTAGCACTTGACGAGACCAACGACACGACCGCGGCTGTCGCCAAAGAGCGTCTTCTCATAGTCGGAGGGGTAATTGGAGATGAACTCTGGTTGTTGACGTTGGCCAGCTACAGGCTTGATGGCGCGCATGACCATGTGGCTGTTTCCTTGAGCGACCTTGAGGGCTGCATTGACCTTGTTGGCATAGTGGTTGGTGCAGATATCTTGGAGAGCCGACTCATTCTCGGGCTGCAGGTTCTGGCGGCAGGGCTGGGGAAGGTAGGTGGCTGGGACGGGGACCTCAAGGAGAGGAAGTACCGAAGGGATGGACTTGATGGTGGTGATGTTGAAGTCTTCCCAGCTGCGGAGGTTGCGGATGTCCCACCAAAAGTGGTTGTTGATGCCTCGGGGTGCGCTAGTAACGCGGCGAACCAGAGATGGAGATGGGTTGGGAGAGGCGAGGTACTCTACCAAAGAGGATGTAGCTTGCATTTGCTGAAAGCCATCAAAGGTAAAGTCTCCAAAGGTTGGGTATTGAACTGCTGGTGCAGTGTCGAACTCTGGGACGGAAAACTCCTGGATGCAAGACGCAGTAAAGTTGGACATGTCCTGGGCGGAGGAGTATGTGGAGGGGAAAGCCGTAGCAACACCCAAGTTGGACTGGGGCGCAGTTGAGGCAGTGACGTAGCTAGGCATGTTGCGGTAGGTGGGGAAGCCATAGCGGCTGATGACTTGCTCGTCGACACTTCCAGCAGAGCCAGAGCGGTCATGGCGGGCGCGGTTGGCAGAGGCAGAGCGAGAGTGCGAGCTCATGTATGACGATCGCCGAGTAAGCTCAGGCTGCTGTGGGTATGTGATGGGAGAGTTGAGAGTAGAGAGGTTGAAGTCGTATGATGAGGCAGTTGACACGGGGGATGTGAGCGTGCTGTGCATGTTGTGGATATTGTGGTTCAAGGGGCTTGATCCACGGCGGGCCATGGAGGATGAACGTGAGTAGGGGCTGTAGGCATAGCCGGCACTGGAGTTAGACGTCGTCCTGCGATGTCTGACGGGACCAGTGGTGGGCTCAGACACCTGGTCCTGGACGCGGACCTTGGGGAGAAGAACAGGGCCATACTGCCTTACTGGTGACCTTGGGGGAGTAGGGACAGCCAGTTGGGGTTCTGGTGATGAGGCTTGCGAGTAGTATGTCATGTCTGAGCCGACACTGCCGGGGATGTAGTTGAATGAAGCATTCGGGGGGGTTGTTTGACGGCTGTACATGTTGGATGGATGAGAGCTACCAGACTGGTCCATGTCAGCGGCAGCCCACGTGGTCTGTGAGAAGGGGTCCAGGGAGAAGAGAAGAAGAAGAAGAAAAAAACAACGTACGCTGTGGAGACGGAGAGAACAGGCAAGAGGAGATTATGGAATAGGGATTAATAGTAGAGACCAGCTCCGAGTGTCTAAGACCAAACAATGCAAAGGTGGAGAGAAAGGAAAAGCAAGGGCGAGACACGGTTGACTCGGGGTGAGGCAGTGCTCTTGATGGAAATGCAAGCGCAAGATGAATGAATGGGCATGATGGATTGCGGCACAGCCAGACTTCTTATCCTTGGTGTTCCCCGCGTAGAGAGACGAGAACCAACGCCCTCAGCGCGCTAACAAGCCTGAAACACGATGCATCGAAGGGGGTCCGATGCCTTGGGCCGGTATACCAGAGTACGAGGCGGTCTGGCGGCAGTAGCACGAGCGGAGCCGTCTACGACATGCGAGCCTCACAGGGCGTCTGAAACATAGCGTAGCCGTTGCATGGGCTGGGCGAGTACGTGGCTAGTTAGCGAACGGCTTTCTGGAATGCTATTCTTGAGGGCTGGCAGGCTTGAAGGGGTCTGGTGGGCAGGCTGGACGGTGTGTGAATGGCCAGCAGCATCAAGCAGCAGACGGAAGCGGTAAGGCAGGCCAGCGAGGCGCCTGCACATCGGGGCGGTTGGACAAGTTGAAACCGGGATTCTCGGCCCCGTGGTCTGCGTCGCGGTGCAGCGGTAGTACGGTGAGCGGGTGCGGGCATATTTTTTTTCCCTCGTTCTCTTGCTCTCTCTCTGCCATGGCGGCAGTTTGTACGTGGGCGGCGCGAAGGGACGAATCGAGGCTTGTGGTGCAGGTGTGGTTGGCGCCCTGCCGCAAGGCCCGTGCTGGGTCCCGCGAAGGGTGGGGCGCGCGGCGGGGGTGGTGAAGAGTCATCGACGGGGTCTCGGGGGTGATTGGCTGTCAGCCCTCCAGCGTTTCGTTTCGGCAGCGCGGCATGCGTCTTCCCGCACGCCCGACACATGCACCTCGCAGTGACTCACAATGGGCGGAGAGAAGTGTATTCACGACTATAACACGTCGTCCAAGCCCCTCTACACGTCAACGCGTTATTTGGAGACCGCGTTGTTGACAAAGCACCACGTTCGGGGTCCCGGCCCTTGCCCACCTTGCTGCGCTGTCGCCACTGCTGTGTAGTGTACTGTACAGAGTAGTGTGCACTCACTACACACTACGCCCGCCCCAAGACACCAACCCAAGTGCAGCGACGGGCATCCACAGCGCCAGCAGCCTGCTCGCCCAGCGTACAGGTACCACGGCCGCACCAAACCATCGCCCCCCCGGCTGGCTCCATGGCCACGGCATCTGCCAATCCAAGCGCCCGTAGCCCTCACCCGTCGGTACGCAAACTGGGCCAGCAGCCTTGCTGTGTGGTGCGTTTCCTTGAGCCTCACCCTCCGGCTCCCGAACATGGTTCACTAAGCGCCCGCACTCTGCCCAATCGGGAAGTATTAGGTTTGACCAAAGCCCCCAAATATAGCCCGAGCGAGTCGGATCACCACTGTGGAAAATGCCGTTAATTTCCTGAAAGCGGACCTCTGCCTGTCAAACGTCTCTGGGGTCAGGACTGCTTCATGGAGCGCTGGCACCGGATTGGCACGACACTGCACAGCCTTCATTTCGCCTTCCCATGAACCCCGTGAACCAAGCTTTGCAAGAGCCTCATGCCATGTCATGCCCTCTCGCCCTCTGTACGCGCCCGCCATGCTGACCAGCGTTGGCATCAATTGTCATCATTCCATGCAACCCATGCCCCCGTGCCATGCCATGCCATGCCATGCCATGCCACCCACGTTACCGCTGGTCCAAGTGCGACCCCACCCGGTCAGCCCACCACTTCTTCCACTCCACCACCTGGCGCTTCGTTCGGGCCTCTTCAGCCGCAAAAACCATGGCATGGCTGCGGAAAGCCTCATTCAAGTCGCACCCCAGGTATTCACGCTGAGCGTCTGCCGCGGCCATGGCGCCTGAATCCACAGCGTCAACTGCCAGCAAAAACTGCCGCGCAAGTCCTTCGTCGCCGCCCCCGTGACCACCACCTGCCACATATGGGTTGTGGACCTTGGTCTGCCCACTGCCAAACTTGTATACTTTGATCTCTTTGCTGTCATACTCAATCTCGCCCTCTGTGCCGTATATGCGGCCACGTCGCTCGCACTGCTTCTCTGTAAACGCTACCATGTGGAATTGGGCCGTCTTTGCACCGCGGCCACGCAGTATAGGCAGACCCTCTTCATCCTTTGCTATCGGGTCATCCTCCCATGTGATCGTCACGCACTGGTCGTCGCATACGTCATTGCTCGACTCCCACACACACCGACCAAACCACGACCGTTCGTCCACTTTGCTGGCCAGAGTATCGGCACTGTAGTCCTCGGCCAGGCTCTTAAGCAGTGCTTTACCAGCAACTTCTTTCCCAGCCGTCTTGAACATGTCTTCAATTTCCGGATTGACAACTTTGACCGGCCAATCTGCATTGCCATTGTTCAAATGCCCCTCGAGATAAATTTTCTTCGCACTCCAGTCGCAATTTGGCTCGTGCGCACAGGATAGACAGTTGGTCGCTGATCCAGCAGCCTTTGGCTTCCGATCTTTGCGGAAGAACTTGAGTGATCCAGTCGAAGTGACGTAGGAGGGAAGATGAGGCACCGCATCTTTTACATTCGCGCCGGGTGAACACAGCATCCACATCAAAAAGTCAATGTCGTGACATGACTTTGTAAGCAAAGAAGGTGCGGTCTTGGACTCCTTCCTCCAGTTGCCCCTACCTCATGTTAGCCATACACCAGTGAAAAAAAAAAGCCCATATACACCTCACATACCTCACATAACTGTGACTAAAATGCCACCACCCAATCGGCTCCACATGCTCCACACTCACAACATCCCCAATAACCTCCTTCTCCAGCACCAAATGCCTCAGCAACATATTATGCTGCGAATACCTCAGCACGTGACAAATCCCAAACACCGTTTCTCTCCCCTCTCTCGCCCCCTTCCTCAACGCCCGATACATCCTCACACAGCTCTCCAGACTCGTGCTCATCGGCTTCTCACAACAAACATGCACCCCCAACTCCGCAATCCCACACACAACCTCCTCATGTAGCTCATCTAGGACGCAAACAAACACCGCATCAATGCCCTTTCCCATAGCTTCTTCCTCGCCATCTTTTTCCCGCTGCCGCCGCTGCATCTCATAGTCTTTCCAGTCCCGCCAGTCCTTGAAGCTTTGCTCGGGAGACGCCTCGCCATCCGCTCCCCACATGTAGCGGCGCCCGAACTCGGCGCGCTTGAAGTCGTTGGGCTCGCATACTGCGGCGATGATGGCGTTGGAGCACAGAGAGGTTGCGTCGGCGTAGGCGGCGCCGCGGCTTCCGGCGCCGATGATGAGGAGGCGGGGGGGTTTGGTGAAGGCGAGTTTGCTAGTGGCGTGCGTGAAGGGGGTGTCTTCTGCTTCGAGGCTGGGCATGGCGAGGTGGTGGTTGGGGGAGGATAGTGGGGAATGGGGATGGGGCCAAGTAGGCTTTGAGGTTGAACTTTGAAATGGTGGGTTCAGGCCTTGTAGTATGGCGATGATCGTTTTTGAGAGCCGGAGAGTATGAAGTGTGTCGATCTATACCACTAGTATTCTCCCCTTATTCTTTTCCACACAAACAGCCAAAGCAAATCCCAAGTTTCTCCCCCTCCGGCTCCAAACGTCCTTGGTTTCCCCTTTCTTTAAATACCCAAGTTTTCCACCACCTGGCCTGGGTCCAAATACAATACTCGCTAATGCAGTAAGATTCCTTCCCCTCCCAACGCAAAAAGAAACAAAAAACAAAGACTTGCAGAGCAGAAACCAACAATAAGACGCGGGGCGGGGCGGGGGCGCGCGGGGCACCAGGAGACGGGAATTGGATTAGAATTTCCTGAAAAGGTGGCGTGGCGTGGCGTGTGTGCAGAGGACAACGCATACAACAACACTGTTCCTTCCTTCCTTCCTTCCTTCCTCCTGCTCCCTTTTTGTATGCAAAGTCATGCAGCATATGTATGGCAGTACACAAGTGAGGGAAAAAAAAACAACAACAAGGCTGAGGTACTACTATGGAGGTTACATTGCAGCGACTTTAGTCCAAGTTGGTATAATTCGTTACTTTGTAAAGAGGGGAGAATCTAGGCCACGTGGGGGGGAGGGGGGGACCAATGGGGATCTGACAGTGATTAGGCACACACACGTATACGTCAAAAGGTAAGCGTCTGGCTCTTTCGTGCAGACTGTTTGCGTGCAGTACATGATTACACAGCATTTATAGGTTTTGTTGGGGGAGGGGTGAGGATTTGTATGCCCGTCGTATTGAGAGAAGAATTGCTATTCGAGCTTGGTAGGTGCTCAATCAATGCATAGTAATACCATTTCCCATCGTACAAACACTTCATAGAGATAAGCCCCATGCCGAAATTCTAGCTATTATTCAGCTCGTAAAATAACAAATACACATCCTTCTGCATGTTCAGAACTTCAGACGTCTTACTCTCCTTGATCTTATCATCGCTAATCCGCCACCACCGGTTGTTGGCCTTCTTCGGCTTGCGACGCCGGAGATTGTTGTCGGCAATTGAAGAAGCCTTCTCCGACGCCCGTTCCCTCAGTGATCGTATACTTCTTGTCCGTGACAACGACTCGTCTCCGCTTCCACTACCATTTCTAGCGTCAATGGGCGATGCTAGATGCGACCGGTCTGACTCTGATAGTCGAGGTGCAGATGTTGGCGCTGGTCCTCGTAAGGGTGGTATGTTGTCTTGCGAAGACAGCGATCGTGACGATGGTGAGTCGAGCGTTGATGCAGTGGAGACTCCTGATCCGCGTTCGATATGGTTGGGCAGGTTGAGTGCCGAGATGCGTGGGCTTTGCATGGCAGACGGCACTGCGGATGGTGCTGCTGAAGGATGCGGACTGGCCTGACGACTGAATGCACCTTCTGTGCCAAAAGACACAGGTGTGGAGAAGGGCATTGGCTGTACTTGACGGCGGAATGACTCGTAGTGGCCACTGTTGTGGCTTCCCTTGTGAGTGACAACTGCAAGAAGGCGATAGTTCTTGCGATGAAGCAGTCCTCCTAATGGAAGAGCTTCCGGGAAGGCGACCTTGGCAAGATTCTTCGTTGAGATGGCACCAATCGCAAAGGTAGAACGTGATAGGTGTATCGCAAGAACCTTGGGAAACTGTGAAATGTACATGTGGCGGGAAATGCGGCGCTTGGGTGCTTGACTTGAGGCAGGTAGCTCAACACCCTCCGGTGTCTGCTCAGGATCTTCATCTAGTGCTTTTCGAATCTTAGCAATGTCTGATTCCAGCCGTCCTTTGATATCGGGGTCAGTTGCTTTTGAAAGCTCATGGTCTTTGCTCCTGAGGGCATGTTCTAGTCGACAGCGCTCACACTTGAAGTCATCTATGTACTCAAGCTTGAGCATGCCGTCAAGGCACGCGTTGAGAGAGGTCGAGGAGGCTTGTGGTACATTCAAAGTCAATGTGACGAATGTTGATACTGTAGGCTTCGGCTTGAAATGGCAGACCTGACACTCAATTTGCGACTCGATCTTGCCCTCAAAAGGGAACCCTTCTTCTTCTGTAGAGACTTCGTCTCCTTCAACCTCATCTTCGCCCTGGCCATCAGCGGGTGCTTGGGCAGTTGTCCCATTAGACTGCGCGACATTGCTTCCTTCAGGAATACTGTCGCCGTTCACAACGGTGACCGCATCTAGGGTAGCCCGTCGCCTAGCGTTTCCTCCAGCATGGTATTCATCGCACAGACGCTCCGTCACTATTTGGAGAAATTCTTGCGCATCTTGTTGTTGCCGGCTAATGCGTGTGCCGAATGCACGCTCAAGTGTTCTGATGAAGGGTTGCGGTGAGATGGTCTTTTTGTATATCGGCCGTTCGTTGAGTCGGTCCAGGATGTCTTTCAATCCATGGGTCAGGATGCCCCTTTGCAGACCCTCCAACCTAGCAGGCTTTACGGGGCCATTGGCTACGGCTGGTCTCTCAGGGTCCACATCGTAGACTTCGGGTCCGTCGAGCAGCCGTCTGTGGGTTTCTCGTATGAGGTAGATGCGCAAATCCGGTAAGCCTGCGAGGGCCTGCAGGACCGAGTTGATGAAGCAGTCGTTTGCTGCATTGGTAAGCCCCACTACACCCTTCTTCTTACTGCTAGCTGCATTTGAATCATCGTCGAGGAAATACGTTGGTCCAAAGACATAAACCAGAGTGATGGCGGCAAGAGAAGCGCCGGCGGCGTAGGTCGCGATTGTGAGAGGCTTCTCAGGCATCTTGCGGAGCCTGGCACTCCCGCTACCGCGGGATTGGACGGAGGCAAAGTTAGGATCTTGAACGCTGGTGCTGCAAATGCGGTACGTGGTTGTGCTAAGTGCGTGTGGCAGTGTGTGGAGTAAGTCTGGCTGCGACCGACGCCATTGTCTGGCTGCTGCCCAGTGTTGGGTATCGCGCTGGCCGTCTCCTGGTGTTTGGTCGTGAGGCAGGTGCAAAAGTATGCCGAGCCCATCGACGTACGGCACGTCGCACCGGCCCATTTGCACCTCCGCTTCCGCCGCGAGGATCGCCAGAATTGTCCGAACGTCTTGCATATTTCTCGGACCCGGACAAACTCGCAGACCACACGCACAATGGCTTCAATGAGGGGCATGGCCCTTCTTCCCCAGTGCACAGCATGTGTACGCAGGGCCACACTGCAAAATTCTGAAGCGTGGGGGACGCAGCAGATACGCAGCATCTCGAAGAAGGCGAAAGAAGCAGAGCGCAACATTGTCGTGAAGCTGCTCAAGGATGTGCCAAGGTTCGGCCGCGCAGGTACGATATATGGAATGAGAGGGTGCTCTGCAAAAGCTCGACATGTCTTTGCTACAAAGCCATTGTCGCAGTGTCAAGCATGCGCCCAGAAAGCACAAACTGCAGCACTGGCTAACACTGCAAAGGCTCCTATGTCCCCCTCAACCCCTCGCTGATGCGCAATCGCTGGTTTCCCGCACGCATTGCCGACTATGTTCCGGCTACCCAATTGAAGCAGCTCAAGGCTCAGGACGTGGATATGGCACGCGACGTCACATTTGGCGTAAGGCTGAATCTGGAGGAGGCCGATGAGGAAGAGAGCGACTTGATGCAGCAACCCAAGTACTTTGTGCGGCCAATTGAGATTGATGTGCTCAGTGTAAGCTACATGGTCTCTTTTGTTGCAAAGCGGCTTGCTAACAAAAAGAACAGCCTGAGCGATCCATTGAGCTCCTCGACACGTTCGTCCCACCAACGATTGACTTTTACCGCCAGCCTATCGAGCAAGACAGTCCAAAACGAGAACGGGTAGGGGCATCGGGTGCAGCGGACATCTTGACTGCAGCTGCCATGAGCAAAGCGAAGGCATCGGCAAACGCTATCTACGGATCTGTATCAACTGCGGATCTGGCAACGACTATCAAGAGCGCGCTAGCGCACAACGACGAAGCATCGCGTGTTGTTCTGAGCGAGAGTGATGTCAAGTTTGTATCAGGACATGAGGAGGGCGATGCATCGCGAGTGAAGCAATTGGGTACAGTCAAGGCCGAGATACGGTTACCGGGTGCAGAGAGGGTACTGGTGCGCAACATACGGATCAGGGCGAAGGAATCGGAAACGTGAGCGGCGGCCAGACGCGGACTTGCAGGCCGTTGTGAGGCTGTTGGCATGAAGCCGAAAGGGCCAGAACCTCGGGAAACGAGGGCTTGTCCGGGTGCAGAAAGGACATGGCTATACTGAACACGTGACGAAGATTTCCGCATATCGGAAGCGAAACAGACAAAAGCTCAATGGTAATCACGATATGTCGCATGTACTCCGGTGAATCGAGGGTGATATCATTGGTGGGGCCCCTGACGGCTAGCCATTGCGTGGTTTTGACGCGGGGCCGGTGAACGGGACGACTGGCGTGTTGCGGCGAGAGTCGGGCAGCCTGTCACCTGTGGATGCGATGATGCTGCGTTGAGCTACCCATGGCCGTGGCATGAGATGCAGAAAAGAGACCGCCCACTTTTCTTAGTTCCGCGCTGCCGAGCAGATGCGGCCCCGCCATGACTTCAGAGCGCGGCCGTGAAGGACATGGTTGGAGACGTGCCACCACCACTTGCGGTCCGTTGCGAGGGGCAGTGGCAGTGGGCAGTCCATCCAAGGAGCCAGAGTAGAGGCTGGTGGAAAGGCGACTAACTGATAGCATCAAGGCCATAACTGCATAGCCTTATCTATCAAGCACACTGTGTGGCGTTGTAACTATTCATGTGTGTTTCTGCGCAGACCCTGGCTGGACTGGGTGGTGAAGGCTTGGGCGACACCAGCTGCGTCACTACTGCGGTCCTTAGCGGGGGTGTTTTTTGTGGTCCGCCAGCCAACCCCACTACCGCGTTTGAACTTTACTTGAGCAATACAAAGCTCGACACGCCTGCACAAACTTTCTCTTCATCACACCCTCTCTTTCCCATCTCCAGCCTTGCAATTGACCCTTCACCCCATCATATACCCACACCCACAACAGCAACCATGGTTCAAGCCAGTGAAGTCCTGTCCCGCAAGTACGTTGCCCTCGACCCCGCTTGGCCCCTCAGATCACGTTGGAACGCGCAAACTGACATTGAACAGGACCGGTGTCATCGTCGGTGACGACGTATGCGACCCTTGATACTCAACTTTCAACCTGCGCAACAAACTAACACTATTCAGATCCTCGCGCTTTTCAAGCACGCTCAGTCAGAGGGCTATGGTATGCATCCTGACAGGCTGAACCCCCGGGCATCATCACTAACTCGGACTTTTGCACAGCCATCCCTGCCATCAACGTCACTTCCTCCTCCACAGTTGTCGCTGCCCTCGAGGCTGCCCGCGACGCAAAGTCCCCCATCATCCTGCAACTGAGCAATGGAGGTGAGTAATGCCTAAACAGACTGTTTATGACATATCTACTAACCACCATGATTGAACAGGCGCCGCATACTTTGCAGGAAAGGGCGTAGCCAACGGCAAGCAGGAGGCCAGCATTGCTGGTAGCATTGCTGCCGCCCACTACATCAGGTCCATTGCCCCTGCATATGGTATCCCCGTTGTCCTCCACACAGATCACTGCGCCAAGAAGCTCCTGCCTTGGTTGGACGGCATGATGGATGCCGACGAGGCCTACTTCAAGGCTCACGGAGAGGCTCTCTTCAGCTCGCACATGATTGGTGAGACAAAAGCAACTGCGTCTCAGCATATTCACTCCGCTAACAGTTTTGCCAGATCTTTCTGAGGAGCCCAAGGAGTGGAACATTGGTAAGCACATCACCGAAATACAGAAACAAAAAAAGAAAAAAAAATATTGAGTGAACACGCGCTGACATTCACCTTCAGCCACCACCAAGAAGTACCTCGAACGCGCTGCCCCAATGAAGCAGATGATTGAGATGGAAATCGGTATCACCGGAGGAGAGGAGGATGGTGTCAACAACGAGGACGTCGACAACAACTCCCTCTACACTCAACCAGAGGACATCTACGACATCTACAAGGAGCTGTCCGCCGTCTCCCCTCTCTTCTCTATCGCCGCCGGCTTTGGCAACGTCCACGGTGTCTACAAGCCCGGAAACGTCAAGCGTGAGTATTATTGAGCCGGTATATCCTTCAAGACATGCTGACAGTGTGGTTCCCAGTCCGCCCCGAGCTCCTCCAGAAGCACCAGGCTTACGTCAAGGAGAAGACCAACTCCAAGGAGGACAAGCCAGTTTTCCTTGTCTTCCACGGCGGTAGCGGTAGCTCTGTTGATGACTTCCGTCAAGCCATCTCATACGGTGTCGTCAAGGTCAACCTCGACACTGACATGCAATGGGCCTACCTCTCCGGTATCCGGGATTACATTCAGTCCAAGAGCGGTTACCTCCAGACCCAAGTGGTACGTTGAATCTGGAATAACCTGTACATTCATAGTACCTAACTTCCAATAGGGTAACCCCGACGGCGACGACAAGCCCAACAAGAAGTACTACGACCCCCGTGTCTGGGTCCGTGAGGGTGAGAAGAGCATGTCTCAGCGCATCAAGGTCGCTCTTGATGACTTCTACACTGCTGGCAAGGCTTAAATGGCTCTACCTGAGCCGGAATTGGCATCAAGCTCGGCCTCTGATTGAGGCAGGCGTTTGCGCATGAGCATAAGCTAAAACTGCAAGCATTGTTACAAGGAGTCAACGGTCCTGGTGATGAGGTTGGCGAACGGTGCAGATGAATGTAATAGACTACGAAGCAATGTCCAGATATGAAAGAATGTAAAACATATTGATCAACTCTTCCATTATCAAGCGACATAGCCGTGATTTGCAAGTATAAAAGCTCAATTTGTGGGGCCTGATGTATAGTTTTGTTACCTATGTAATGCCAAGTCCAGATAAAGAGTGCAAGGTCGTGATTTTTGCACGAATGTAGGCTCTTCCAGTTGCCCACTGATCTGACATCTCTTGCTTGTACCTCTAGCTAGCATATCTAATTTGCTGCTTTGGGATATCTCGTGCAGATATCCGGTGTTCGTCACGTGACTATGCGCTTGCTAAAGAGAAAGATTGCTAACATCTCAGTATCAACATCATTAATCCAAGTATACACAGGTGCTTGAACTAATTATATTGTATTTCTTTGTGCACGGAAACTCCTCCCCCTCTAGAACCCATATGGTGACATACAGCTAAAGTTGTAATGAGATCAGAACTTGCTACCACCACAGATTGAGCTTAATCCAACTTTGTTTTTTTCTCTTCTTTCTTTCTTTCTTTCTGAGGGGATATATAGACATGGTAATGCTTCTAGTATTTGATTCCAAGTCCTTGCTCCCTTTGAGTACAATGATTCGTTTGATTTATTGCCCCCCACCCCCTTTGTCTTGGTTATCTCCAAGTCAAACAAGTATCTGATGGGTGGTACACCTTGCCCCCCCCCTCACTCTCAACTTTATTCCTCTCTATACTTTTAGTCTTTACAAATATGATGCAGAAACTATTCGTCATTCCCTAACCCCCATCTCAAATTCTGCAATCCAACGCGTGTTCTCTTCCTCCTCGAAAACTGCATCGTTCCTTCCCTTACCCCCCCCCCCCCTTCTTTTCGCTTATCCAGACTTGCTTGCCTCAAAGTCTTTTAGTATTCTCGACAGCCGTACTAGAAAGTTCTTGTTGGACGGTTTGTAGCCTTTGTCGGTTAAGGACACCTTTTTTTGGGTGCCTTCCGGAATTTCTGTTTTTTTTTGCTGAATGCCTCTGGTTCTTCTTCTCTGCCTGTCGCCGTCTCGTATCTGTGGATTAAAATGGACTGGGACACTTGATATTTGATTTGTCCTTTTGTGACATCGTCGAGTGTTTGGAGGGTTTCGGGAAGCTTTTATTAGCATCTTGATACTGTAAGTCTAGGAGTAGCGAGGGATTGGCCCCAATGAATATGGGGGTAGTCCAGGTTCCTTGCCAGTCTATGATATATGATATCTGGGCTTGGTCATCAATGGGGATGTTACCAGTGTGGAAGTTTGGGTGCCAAAGTCTAGGAGAGACTAGCTCTGGGCCTTGGGGATTGATAAAGGGAATTGCAGCTAGGAACCTCTTGCAAAAGAGCTACATGAGCCTCGAGGGATTTCTATTGCACACTTGTGTACTGCCATGTATTTTTGTCTAGTTCTTGCAGATTTGCATGGGCGTTAATCCAGTCAATTTCATGGCGTGCGATTGCTTTTAAGTATCCTGCAGAAGATGTCCCTACGATTTGCTTTCAGTTTGACATCCGAATGCAACAAACATGAGACTATTTACATGGACTTTTGATATTTCATATCACTGCACTCCTTTTCCAAAACTCTTTGCGAGTAATGGGGCCGATACAACATGTTGGCTCCACCTGAGAGGCGACCTCTTGTGGGTCAGTCGTTATAGTAGCCGGCTCACATCCCGCAATACCGCTGTCTTTGAAACAACGACCATACCCTGTGAGAGTGTATGTGAGTCAGGTGCAATGATGATTTTCTGTTAGAATAAGTTGAATACTACTTCGAGAAGGAAACTGATAGTAGTTTTGTTTCAATGTCTACCACTTCACGAATGATATCAGACTTTTTCCTAAATGAAAGATCTTTCCAGGCTTCATGGTGTTGGGTACCTTTGGCTCCTTTCATGATGATTTATTCCGCTTGGACAGGAATTTGGTGGGTAGCAATCCATGCAAGCACTTGTGGGACGGGTATCTTCAATATGGTCCGGGCGCAATCCATGGTTGCTACTTCAGATGCTGTAGTGAGTATTCGTGGGCCAGCATTAGGGTGTGGGACCTTTGCAATAACCCTGCCGCCGTCTTCCATCTCAAGGCGATATGACTTGTTGTAGTTGCCTTCGCCGATCTTTGTGAAGAATATATATTTGTCTGCACCAATGGCTCTGCAGGCCGCTTGCTGAAGACTAGGTATATCAAAACACAAATATATGTCCTCCAGTTGCTCGCGTTCATTCCATAGTCAACGTCCTGGGATATTGGACATGCTCCGACTTAGCAGCATTGCTGAACACATGGGTTCAAAGAGGGTCCACCTTTAGTCACATGATTCACTGGCTACCTACCGTTAACGACTCAATACCTCTCTAACACTAGCGAGCACTTCTAGAATGACCAAAATGAACAGATTTTATGATTGCTTCTACTAGGCAGTATATTTCTCATATAACTGCTCTCGTGTTTTGTGGGTCACATGCTCCAGCATAACAGTTCAACGATATTTCAGCCTTCTTCAACGCGGGGTATCGCAGTATCTTTGCAACACAACACAATATCCAGCGGATCCGATTATTTGGTATTTGAGTTTAGTTTCTAGACTACTGAAGGCCACCACTACGGTGTTTAAAGTGGGCAGCAGTCCTGCACTTCACGGTTGCCGATCTGTTGAGACCTCGGCGATCTTCCCTGGAACAGATCGTGAGTACATTCGTTCGAAATGTCCTGCGTTTACTGCCGGAACATTTTGTGCACCGCAATTACAGCAGGCTGCCTGCATGCACCTACCTTGGCTGCACTGCAATCTAGTGCTCAAGACTGCTGGCTTTGCTCTCAGATACTAGCAAAAGCTTTACGGCCGGTGGAAGCTGTTCATAGCACCCCTCGCATTGGTATCGAGTGGCCCATCAATTGTGTGATTCAAATCAGATATGGGGCTGCTGTCCTCGTGGTCCGTGATGCTCGACTCAGCCAGTTGGGTCGCTTAGATTATGTGAAGGTTTTGACGAATAGAGGTGAGCTTTTCAGTCGTCGTTGATTTATTCAGCAAGTACTGAATCTTTAGGCGATCCTGCGGTCAGTTATGGCGTTCCTGTTCGACATCGTCTCACATCTACGTCTTCAGATTCTTCATTCATGATTGCTCGAAGCTGGATATCGGATTGCCAGCTCAATCATCGGTGTTCTGAGGCTGTTCCGGCACTCACTGTGCAGTATCTTGATGGTGTCCGACCAGCCCGCATGATTGATGTGGCAGCTTTCCAACATCCATCCCAGGACGTTCGGCTAGTGGAAATGGATCAAGTGTGTACATATGTAGCCTTGAGCTACTGTTGGGGTCATGACACGTCCTATGTGACAAAGCAGGATACTCTGTTATCACGGCTGACGCGCATATCCTACAATGACTTGCCAAGAACATTTCAACATGCAGTCACAGTAACTCGGAACCTGGGGTATAGTTACTTATGGCTAGATGCTCTTTGCATCGTTCAGGATTCTTTACAAGATTGGGAGCGAGAATCACAAAAGATGGGTATCATATACAGTCAAGCTGTTGTCACAATTGCCGCGACCGCAAGTCGAGGTGTGCATGACGGTTTTTTCAACCACCAAAGCTGTAGCGAAATTTCTCCATCATGGAAGAAAATGTTAGTGAGAGGTACCACGACACATGGTGTCCCTACTGAGTTGCTACTCTATGAAGACACTTATGTTCCCATAGACCCTGCAGCTGATATGGCTGCAGGACCACTAGCACAAAGGGCATGGGCTTGTCAAGAGAGAATACTGTCTGCTCGCGTCCTCCACTACAAGAATAAACAAATCTACTGGGAATGCCGACAAGCAGCCCACATAGAGGAAGGAGTCCCGTCTTTCTCGGATAACACGGCTCGTGTTCGCACAGGTCCCAATCTTGGTCGGGAGCTTGCTGTTCATGATCTTGATTTTTTCTTTCGAATTCTCAGGTGGTATCGCGGAATACTTACAACACACTACTCAACACGACAACTAACATATGCATCCGATCGGCTGCCCGCAATTTCAGGTCTTGCAAAACTTGTCCAAGGCAGCATGAAAATGACGTATCTTGCTGGTCTCTGGAAAGAGGGTCTCCAATTTGGATTGTTTTGGGGGGCGGTAAACATAGTGCCTCGTTCAGCAGTCAATGCATCTCCCTCTTGGTCTTGGGCGTCTTATGAGACGCCATTGTGTTGGCCGATGACTGCATTCAAAAGCTTTCCACCCGCAATTTTCGATCTGAACGACTACAGCGTTGAACTTGCCAGTAGCGACGAGTTCGGACGTGTGAATGGAGGTTTCTTGAGGATCACCGGTCTCATGAGTGTAGTACAGATTGGTTTCCGCGTAGGCATAGCCCATCCGTTTGATGCTTGGAGTCACGAAGGCAATATGGGCGATTGGAGTTCGAAGCTTTCAGACTCTGATGGAATTTATATGGGTAATGCATGGTTAGATCGGAATCCCGGCATAGATGCTGTGCACGCGTTGATACTTGCGACGGCTAATCCACTAACAGAATGCGATGAGGAATGGGATATGCTGTTGGTAACCTCTGTAGGAGAGACTAGTGACAGATTTGAAAGAATCGGTATCGCACAGGTGTTCCACAAAGACATCAAAGAAGAGCGCCGTTGGCTACCAAAGTTTAAAAAACGAAGTATCACGCTTGTTTAGGCTTGGGACCACCTTTTCTATCATCAAAGCATCATGAAATCGAACTCATTGTTGCACAGGATTACATGATTAACTATAGAGTAACCCTAACTTATCCGAGCCGAGAGAAGGCCATAAAACTTGCATATAGCCCTGGGTGATCTGTAGCCGAGCCTGAGAAAAAGAACAGCTCTCGGGGACCATTCACGTAAACTTAGGACTGGGAAGCTATGATCACACGCATTAGATACATAGCTCTCATCCGACACTTGTACAGATCCTCAAGAATTCGTCTTATTCCCAATCTGCCAACGTGTTGTGTCAAACACTGTACCGTAGTTCTTAGTCTGTGAGAGTAGGGCTTAAGGATCTGGTTATTGGAAGCAGCTAGTAAAATTCATTTGCGCTTGCATTCCTTTGCCAACACGCTAAACACTGTCGTAAACATGCGATTCTTGCCCTTTGTTATAAGGCATGCTGCATAGTACGCATAAGTAGCCTGGCCAGCTCGGGGAACAGAACTGGAAAGGGTATGGCCAAGGAAGCCACTTATAGATCGCCGACGTTGCTTCTACACTTGCATTGTAATCATAAAAATATGTGTCTTACTAACTTGAAGGGGTTCTGTTGTATTTAATATAGTAGTATTTCATTCTTCAGCAACGCTGTGTGCAGCAATAAATGTACTGAAAAGCCGGAAGACTGCACTTCGATTTGCTCATATATTGAGAATATTGGTCAGAAATTATGGCACTGCCGTAGAAATAATTAGAACTCGTGGGGGACTATGAAGTAAGTATGTGTCGAGTATACGAGCTGTATCTACGGCGGGATATAGAATAAACACAGATTGTGACAGCAACATGGAAAATGCTTTATGTAGCGGCTAAGCAATATTCCATATAGTGACTCCTTAATGCTCAATGCTATGTAATGCACACTCGCTATGAGAAGGGGTATAGTACAATGCAATACGCGCGCTATTTCCTTTTCTTCCTTTCTATTTTTTTTCTCTTTTTTATCGTTTTCCAATGATTGGCAGGTACTTGTACAATTCATCGTACTCCTTGCCCACCCATCCCGGCATCGTGCCCTCCAGTCCCACAACACCAAGACTGCCGCCCAACCATAGCAAAGTAAGGCCAGCACTGATTCCGTTGATGGTATACCATCTTCTCTTCCTAACCAATGCCCTGTTCTCTTCTGTGTTCTTGACTTGGCTTGGTGCAAAGCCTAGCCACTTGGCCGCACCCCAAACAACATGCCATGCGCCAACGCTCACTAGGGCTGTGAAGCCGGCAAAGGAGACTTTGGGATGTAGCGCAAAGCCGTGTGAGATGTAGTTAAGACTGATCAGTGAAGAGTCGCCATGTGCATACAACGGCAATATTCTTGTTGTCCAAATATGGAAGCCAGCTAGAGGTATTAACGCATACCCCAAGGCGCTTGTCCCACTGAGCACCGGCCAGGGAATGGTGCGCTTTTCCCTTCGTGTCTCAGCGCCATACCGCAGCAGTGCTTGCCGTCTTCTCCAAAATCGCAGCGCAATTCCAGACGTAATGTGTGCGGCCAATGGTAGCGCAACGAGCAAGGGTTCTGTGAGAGCAGATTGGTAGTAGGGACGGGTGAGAAGAAGGTAGCGGTTACTTTCGACAACGGAGCGGGTCGCCAATGGTATTATGGAGACGTTTGTTATGTGCAGGGCAGCAAATGCGGTGAATGTGTACGACGAGTACTTTTGGGTGCGAAGGACTATGTCGTGAGGATACATCAGTAAGCGAATCCATTGTTGAAGAACAATTGCGACAACGTACGCCACCAAGCAGGTCCTCTTTCGCCTAATCTCAGTCCTAGAGTATTCATCCGTCTGATTCCCCTCATTTCCTCTGTCTCACCCCCCTCGGGCCGCTCTTGGTCTGGGAAATAGCTTTTCTCTCGGTACTCGGGCGGTGTGTCGACAGGCGAGGGATCGACTTCGGTCAGCCCTATGACGCTGCCGTCGTCGTCGAACGGCAGGTCAGTGTTGACCTCCATGTTTTTTTTGGCGAATTCAGTCGTGGAAGGCGAGTGCGAGAAATGGGGATTTATCAAGTATGGGGAAATGCATCAGGATGGGGAATTGCTTTGCTGGCTGAGACTTGGGATGACGTTGATTCGTGCGTGGATCCGTAGCGGTGGGTCTGTGCCAGTTGGTGTGGACCGAGGTGGTGCGTCGCAACACTAAATGTTTCTACAACTTTACGCGTTTGTAGAACGCACTTGACGCGTGTTGAACCCACCCGTGCATTGAAAGGCGAATTGCTGTATTTCTTCACCACACCCAGAGATTCATCGCGGGATTCCCTGGAAAATACCAAAATGCCTCCCGTACGTCATGCCTTGCTTCTACATCTCTTCCACTATGCACACATGTATACTAACACGCTTCACCAGCGAAACAACCCCCTCCCCGCCGCTGTGCGACTCTTCAATTGCGCAATATGCGACAAAGGATACCCCCGCCAACTCGACTATGAAAACCACCTCCGCTCCTATGATCACAACCACCGTCAGCGCCTTGCAGACATGAAGAAGCTTACTGCCTCCAACGAAGGCGAGAACAGCACTAAACCGAAACAAGGCCTGGATATGCGTAGTATAGATGTTGGGAATGCAAATAAGAAGCCCGGTGTGGGGAGCAGGTTCACCAAGATTGGGAGTGGTGGCGGGGCAGCCGCAGCGGGGAGCAGGTTCAAGAAAGTGGGGGTCGCGGTGGGTGGAAAGGAGAAGGAGGCTGGATCTGAGAGTGTGGAAGTAAAGAAAGAGGAGGAGACAACTAAGTCTGAGGTCAAGATTCAAGAACCTGTTGTTACTGCTAATACTCCTGCTGCCGTACCTAGTTCACAGGCGGATACTAAGGAAGACACCATCATGGCGGACGAAGATGCGGGGGAAACTATCACGTGGGAAGAGTATGATTTTACCAAGCCGACGGGTTGTGATCACACGAGCTGTCCTGGCTGCAAGACAGATGGCATTTGGAGCGGTGAGTGGGTTGCTGTGGGCGGGACCTGAGATATGATGTTTACATGAAGGACGAATTCACGAAATGAATTTTATGGAGAAAATATCTCGACGTAAAGACGGGATTTATCGTGGCGGGCGCGACGGTGAAGAATTACTAGCCACTTCAACCTTGTATTGTGCTAGCGACCTGTAAGTATTTTTCCACTATTATACAGATTCCCTTCGGGCTCGTTCTGCATCTTGTAAGGTCTTTTTGTTTTCCCGCTTCCAGCCACAGTAGATGGTGTTAAACGAAGAGCGCCAATGTGCCCTGGATCTTGAGTTCCACTAACAATTCGCAGTCATCCCGGCGATCAACTCTCAAAGAACCCAATACCCAAGCTCCTCGTGAGACTTTCCCTTCGGTAAAACTTGAGGTAGAGGTGCCAGTTGTATGAAATATCGGCGCTGCCTTCCATCCCACCTGAAGCTGGCACACGGATAGCCAGCATCGATGCACCTGTCGTCTGCGGACTTATACAGTCTCCCACCTCGAGTGAAAGTTGGATCTTTTGCGAGAAGCATACTGTGAATGCATACACAGCTAGTTGTATACTTTTGCAAGTTGTGGGTATAGGTGGTGTACTGAGTAATCGTATGCTCATTCATTGACCACATGTCTTTGAAACGGCGCATGAGCTCGGCTTGAACATTTCCAGGAAGCCAGTCGCACCATCCCAGTTCGTAGAGACAGGGATACACCAGAAGTTTCTTTGGTCGCCGTCCACAATTGCAATACCCTCGCTATCGGTGATCATCTCCATTCGCCGAACGCACTCTTTCAATCGAGATGACCGTCGAATGATCAGGCTGTTCGTGGCATCGTCTTCGTCCGTCTCAATTTCAATAACTTCTCTTTCCACAATCGCTTGACCTCGTGTGTCTTCTTCAATTCTAGGTCGTTTGTGGTATTTAAGAACAGTGGTTTGCCCGGCTTGCTTTGTCGGTCTTTCGTCCTGTCTATGGACTACCTCGCTCATATCTTTGGTCACAGGTGGATTTGGCGGCATAGTACTGTCTATTCATGGGCGATTAGCAAAAGCTCAAGGCGCAATTTCAATTGACTTACCTCCACGTCTTTCGCTCTGACGAAGGGAAGCTTTGAGAACATCCTTCATGACTTCGAGAGACAAGAGATCTAGTATGCGGTCGCGTCCAGCTTCGTCTAGCTTCTGCAGGTCGCTTAGCAGACCAGCAACCTTAGTGTCATCGATCATATTGTCGTTGGTGTGAACGCGCAAGAACAACCTCCAAAGCAAGAATGTCGAATGTTTTAAATTTAAGGTGAGAGTAAGTCGAGCCAGCGTATCTCGCTAGTATTTTGCTTGGACGACGTTTGCTGATTGCGACCAGGAAGGCTTGGCACTCACCATCGGTGAAGGAGTGCCGCTAAACAGTGACAGGTGAGAGACCTTGATAAGAGCCTAGAGCAATGGCAGCGCATTAATAGTGAACTCGAAAACCGACCGGAGTTCTAACTGGATCATGATCCCACTGATGAATGGCAATCGTGATATACAGTTCTACTCACTTGTAACAGATGGATGTGGCAGTCAGGTCGATACAACACCAGAAAAACAATATGGCTTTCTCAAAACCACTTACATAACTTCTATGTAGGACCAATACAACTCAGATAGCATTACAACGTACCGAGAACGACCGACGACCCAGAACCCATCACCATAGCCACCACAGGCGTAAAGTAGCTTACTCCATAGGCATACCATCCATGCCTGGCAGCGCCTTCATCCACCCATCCCGTTCTTCAGGAACCCGATTCGGAACAACACACTTATTCCCATCAGCAGGCTGCTGCGTCTTCAAGCTCCCACAGTTCGCTCCCATACATCCCTTGGCATCATCCATAGCCTTCTGAAGCGAATTATCTTTCCACCCGAACACGTAGTCGCCGTGCTGGCCGTATCCCGTGTTATCGCCCGTGCTAAGGAAGAAGGGTTGAGAGCCATCGGCGGGCCAGTCGGCCTTGTTGTTGAATTTGGTGGTGTCCCAGACGATCTTTACACAGTCAGTTGATGAACGGAATGGAGGGGGTGGGGGGAAGGGCACCTCAAGCATGAGTTGTGGGATCCTAACGGGGTGGTTGGATGGACAAGCTCCGCCTGTGCTAGTGCCGGTGAACAAGGCGGGCCCGTTGGTCGGGTATGCGACATGTGATTTGTGGTCTGGTGAGTCGAGGTTGACGCCGTCCCAGCAACTGTTTTGTATCAGCAGGAATGTGATAGTAGCGACAAGTCCCTTACGTGGGGTAAAGAATGTTGCTCCGGATACCACCTGGGCAGGGTGTAGTTGGGAATCCTTCTGTGTCCAGTCTACGAAGCATCAGTACCAAGATGGTAGAAATGTATGAATCAGATACTTACTTGGCGTCCTGACATGGTGCAGCATTGTCGCCACCAAAATTGGGTCCGGTGTAACATCTGAAGCAAGTCTGAGACTTGCGGTTCTTGGACACGCGGTTTGCTGCGTCGCCGACGAGCATGCGGAATCCCTAAATAGGCGTTTTAGATGCTTGTTGGCTATCCTCAGGATATGTGGAGGACTTGAGATTTTTGCTTACCGGCTTGAATGCTGTGACATCGCCTTTATTACCAGAAACGTAGTATACTACGAAACCACCGGTAGTCTTGCTAGTGTACTTGTCGTTGAAAAGGTCGCTGAGTGTTGTTAGTTAATTGAACTGAGAAAGACTGAGGTCGTATATGCGAACCGGTTCGGTACCTGTGGCACGCGTTTATACGTCCCGTTCCTTGCTTTGAAATACACGTTCGCTGTCCAGTAATTACTTAACTATATACTGTCAGCTCTGTTGCGTTTCTTCATCTCTCCCCCTTTGGCATCTTTGTATCTAAAGGATAGAAACGTACATCCTCACTGTACCCACACGTAGTACAACTGGCCAGTTTCGAAATATCTGTACTCGGCATCGTGGTATTGAAGGCGTTCCCACCTGCAATCTGGTGCATATGCGGTGATGGTGCGAGACCTGGGTTCATGAGAGGATCAATACGATCAATGACACTTTGAGCGCAGCCAAATCGTAGCATGGTGAAGCGCTGGTTGTTGCCGAACTGCGGCACAGCGCCTGCAAGGGCCGCGAACAAGAGTGGTGTGAAACGCATTACGACTGATAAAGTTGTATTGAAAGAAGAGTTTGAAAGAATAATACTGGTAAAGGACGATGATGTGTTCTCGAAAATGTCTTGTTTACAGGTCTTCATATCTTTTCGAAGACAATGTATACGGTCCATACGCCCGAGTCTTCTGCTTAGTATTCACACTGCCCCATATCTCAACCGATACCTTGCAACTGCCGGCCCCACAGCATGTAGCAGGACCGCGTAAATATTAATTGTTCTTGTTACCTCGTGCGCACCTATTCACTGTCGGCAGTTGGAGAGCTAATATAGCGTTCTTGCATTTCGGCTAAAGGCTTGTTATTACTTGACCAACCTCAAGCAATATTTTATGTGGAGCGCATCATGGTTCAACAACATGGAATTTCGAGGATTGTGGGGAGAAAGATGTGCAGATTTGGTTCGGGTTATTGTGTAAAGGACTACATAGTCACGGGTTGAGATGGGTAAGATGCCACGGCTGTGCCAAGTTTAGTTTCAGCCGCTTTTTGACCGTTGTGGTGGTACAAATTCGATATTTCTAATACATGAAATCCAAAAAGGAATGGATGTGCTGGAGGTGTTGTCGGCTGACTTTCCTGAGCGCTTGGCATTATCATGAACAGTGGTGAACGCTGGTGCAAGAGGCGCACGCTGGAAGTCTATACCTACGTCCCACTGTTTGTGTATGAAAATCCCTGGACTTCTCCACATAGGAACTCACATTCTGGAGTCTGAGTATACAACCCATCTTTTCTGGCATTCGAGTTTCCGGTTCATCGCATTGACCCATATATGGATACCCATGTCTTGTTGCTTCTGGAAACTCTTTTTTTTTCTGCCATAACGTAGTTTACAAGCGAGTGACGCGTACAAGCGAGTGACGCACCCCACCAACTTTGCGCACCTCTCAAGCCATATAACTCAACAACACAATAGTATAATATATAGAAAGTGATAAGGTAGATTAATTACTAGCTAGAGT